AATTTTTTCTCTCAAAAACAGTTTAAATTGAAACTATTTGATCACAAAAACCAAGAATAAAATTGAGCTCTTAAATTGAGGTCGTAATTTTTGCAGAAATGACGACTTTTTGAATGAGACAATTTTGATGAAAAAGTAAGACTATAGGCTTAAAAATATCGTTAAAATTCTTGAATAATTTTTCTCCCAAAAACAGTTTAAATTGAAACTATTTGATCACAAAAGCCTAGAATAAAACTCAGTTCTTAACTTAAGGTCGTATTTTTTGCAGAAATGACGACTTTTTGAATGAGGCAATTTTGATCAAAAAGTAAGGCTATAGGCTTAGAAAAATCGTACAAATTTTTGAAAATTTTTTCTCTCAAAAACAGTTTAAATTGAAGCTGTTTCATCACAAAAACCAAGAATAAAATTCAGCTTTTAAGTTGAGGTCGTATTTTTTGCAAAAATGACGACTTTTTGAATGAGACAATTTTGATGAAAAAGTAAGGCTATAGGCTTAGAAAAATCGTCAAAGTTCTTAAAACATTTTTCTCCCAAAAACAGTTTAAATTGAAACTATTTGATCATATAAACAAAAAATAAAATTCAGCTCTTAAATCAAGGTCGTATTTTTTGCAGAAATGACGACTTTTTGAATAAGGCAATTTTGATGAAAAAGTAAGGCTATAGGCTTAAAAAAATCGTCAAAATTCTTGAAAAATTTTTCTCACAAAAACAGTTTAAATTGAAACTATTTGATCACAAAAGCCTAGAATAAAACTCAGCTCTTAAATTAAGGTCGTATTTTTGGCAGAAATGACGACTTTTTGAATGTGTCAATTTTGATGAAAAAGTAAGGCTATAGGCTTAAAAATATTGTCAAAATTCTTGAAAATTTTTTCTCCCAAAAACAGTTTAAATTGAAACTATTTGATCACAAAAACCTAGAATAAAACTCAGCTCTTAAATTAAGGTCGTATTTTTTGCAGAAATGACGACTTTTTGAATAAGGCAATTTTGATGAAAAAGTAAGGCTATAGGCTTAAAAAAATCGTCAAAATTCTTGAATAATTTTTCTCCCAAAAACAGTTTAAATTGAAACTATTTGATCACAAAAGCCTAGAAAAAAACTCAGCTCTTAAATTAAGGTCGTATTTTTGACAGAAATGACGACTTTTTGAATGTGTCAATTTTGATGAAAAAGTAAGGCTATAGGCTTAAAAAAATCGTCAAAATTCTTGAAAATTTTGTCTCCCAAAAACAGTTTAAATTGAAACTATTTGATCACAAAAACCTAGAATAAAACTCAGCTCTTAAATTAAGGTCGTTTTTTTTGCAGAAATGACGACTTTTTGAATAAGGCAATTTTGATCAAAAAGTAAGGCTATAGGCTTAGAAAAATCGTCCAAATTCTTGAAAATTTTTTCTCCCAAAAACAGTTTAAATTGAAGCTATTTGATCACAAAAACCAAGAATAAAATTCAGCTCTTAAATTGAGGTCGTATTATTTTGCAGAAATGACGACTTTTTGAATGAGACAATTTTGATGAAAAAGTAAGGCTATAGGCTTAAAAATATCGTCAAAATTCTTGAATAATTTTTCTCCCAAAAACAGTTTAATTGAACTATTTGATCACAAAAACCTAGAATAAAACTCAGCTCTTAAATTGAAGGTCGTATTTTTGCAGAAATGACGACTTTTTGAATAAGGCAATTTTGATGAAAAAGTAAGGCTATAGGCTTAGAAAAATCGTCAAAATTCTTGAAAAATTTTTCTCCCAAAAACAGTTTAAATTGAAACTATTTGATCACAAAAACCTAAGAATAAAACTCAGCTTCTTAAATTAAGGTCGTATTTTTTGCAGAAATGACGACTTTTTGAATAAGGCAATTTTGATCAAAAAGTAAGGCTATAGGCTTAGAAAAATCGTCCAAATTTTGAAAATTTTTTCTCCTAAAACAGTTTTAATTGAAGCTATTTGATCACAAAAACCTAGAATAAAACTCAGTTCAAAAATTAAAGTCGAATTTTTTGCATAAATGACGACTTTTGAATTCGTAAATTTTTATGAAAAAGTAAGGCTATAGGCTTAGAAAAATCGTCCAAATTTTGAAAATTTTTTCTCCTTAAAAACAGTTTAAATTGAAGCTATTTGATCACAAAAACCAAGAATAAAATTCAGCTTTTAAATTGAGGTCGTAATTTTTGCAGAAATGACGACTTTTTGAATGAGACAATTTTGATGAAAAAGTAAGGCTATAGGCTTAAAAATATCGTCAAAATTCTTGAATAATTTTTCTCCCAAAAACAGTTTAAATTGAAACTATTTGATCACAAAACCTAGAATAAAACTCAGCTCTTAAATTAAGTCGTATTTTTTGCAGAAATGACGACTTTTGAATCGGCAATTTTATCAAAAAGTAAGGCTATAGGCTTAGAAAAATCGTACAAATTTTGAAAATTTTTTCTCTAAAAACAGTTTCAATTGAAGCTATTTGATCACAAAAACCAAGAATAAAATTCAGCTCTTAAATTGAGGTCGTATTTTTTGCAGAAATGACGACTTTTTGAATGAGGCAATTTTGATGAAAAAGTAAGGCTATAGGCTTAAAAAAATCGTCAAAATTCTTGAATAATTTTTCTCCCAAAAACAGTTTAAATTGAAACTATTTGATCACAAAAGCCTAGAATAAAACTCAGCTCTTAAATTAAGGTCGTATTTTTTGCAGAAATGACGACTTTTTGAATAAGGCAATTTTGATGTAAAAGTAAGGCTATAGGCTTAAAAAAATTGTCAAAATTCTTGAATAATTTTTCACCCAAAAACAGTTTAAATTGAAACTATTTGATCACAAAAACCAAGAATAAAATTGAGCTTTTAAATTGAGGTCGTGATTTTTGCAGAAATGACGACTTTTTGAATGAGACAATTTTGATAAAAAGTAAGGCTATAGGCTTAAAAATATCGTCCAAATTTTTGAAAATTTTTTCTCCTAAAAACAGTTTAATTTGAAGCTATTTGATCACAAAAACCAAGAATAAAATTCAGCTTTTAAGTTGAGGTCGTATTTTTTGCAAAAATGACGACTTTTTGAATGAGACAATTTTGATGAAAAAGTAAGGCTATAGGCTTAGAAAAATCGTCAAAGTTCTTAAAACATTTTTCTCCCAAAAACAGTTTAAATTGAAACTATTTGATCATATAAACAAAAAATAAAATTCAGCTCTTAAATCAAGTATTTTTTGCAGAAATGACGACTTTTTGAATAAGGCAATTTTGATGAAAAAGTAAGGCTATAGGCTTAAAAAAATCGTCAAAATTCTTGAATAATTTTTCTCCCAAAAACAGTTTAAATTGAAACTATTTGATCACAAAAGCCTAGAATAAAACTCAGTTCTTAATTTAAGGTCGTATTTTTTGCAGAAATGACGACTTTTTGAATAAGGCAATTTTGATCAAAAAGTAAGGCTATAGGCTTAGAAAAATCGTACAAATTTTTAAAAATTTTTTCTCTCAAAAACAGTTTAAATTGAAGCTATTTGATCACAAAAACCAAGAATAAAATTCAGCTCTTAAATTCAGGTCGTATTTTTTGCAGAAATGACGACTTTTTGAATAAGGCAATTTTGATAAAAAAGTAAGGCTATAGGCTTAAAAAAATCGTCAAAATTTTTGAATAATTTCTCTCCCAAAAACAGTTTAAATTGAAACTATTTGATCACAAAAACCTAGAATAAAACTCAGCTCTTAAATTAAGGTCGTATTTTTTGCAGAAATGACGACTTTTTGAATAAGGCAATTTTGATGAAAAAGTATAGCTATAGGCTTAGAAAAATCGTACAAATTTTTGAAAATTTTTTCTCTCAAAAACATTTTAAATTGAAGCTATTTGATCACAAAAACCAAGAATAAAATTCAGCTCTAAATTGAGGTCGTATTTTTTGCAGAAATTACGACTTTTTGAATAAGGCAATTTTGATGAAAAAGTAAGGCTATAGGCTTAAAAAAATCGTCAAAATTCTTGAATAATTTTTCTCCCAAAAACAGTTTAATTTGAAGCTATTTAATCACAAAAACCAAGAATAAAATTCAGCTCTTAAATTGAGGTCGTATATTTTGCAGAAATGACGACTTTTTGAATGAGACAATTTTGATGAAAAAGTAAGGCTATAGGCTTAAAAATCGTGAAAATTTTTTCTCCCAAAAACGTCTTAAATAGAAGCCTTTTGATCTCAAAAACCAAAAATATAATTGAGCTCTTAAATTAAAGTGCTATTTTTGCAGAAATTAAGACTTTTTGATTGGGTCAATTTTGATGAAAAAGAAACGCTTTAGGCTTAGAAAAATCGTCGATATTCTTGAAATTTTTTGTCCCAAAAACAGTTCAAATTAAAGCTATTTGATCACAAAAACGAAGAATAAAACTTAGGTCTGAAAAACTTTTTTTGGTAAAAAAGAGAAGATAAGAATTTAAAAACACCCCTTAAAAGATCACAATAATCGTAGCAAAAATTTGAAAAAACACACTTTGCTTTATACCAAAAGGGGAGGGAGGGACGGGAGAATAAAACAGCGTAAAAAGAACACTCCATACACTCATCTGAATCAAGAGACAGTGCTCGTGCTAAAGTTCGAACAACAAATTCCTCGAGAATTCCCAAAGGCACTCCCTGGGTACCAAAGCCTCAGAGAGTCAAGGTTGAAGAACGATTAAGCGTATTTTTTGGTGCACATCATTGGAAGAACCCTAGGTGTTATGAATATCGGAGACATCTTCTGGACAAGTTGAGATTTTGAAAAATTTAGGGGGTAACACTAGTACAGTCTCGTTAATTTGTAAGGATACGAAAATTTCTTTCAATTATCAAAATGAAGATATATTATTGGCTGAACTGGTTCCGTATTTTAAATGTAAAATTGTTGAAGCTATAGGATACTGTTCCCTATCAATGCATTTGAGGAATAGCTTTCAATATCTGTAGTTTCTTGTGCAAGAATAAAGATTAGTCAAGGATATAGATCTAGTGTAGCATATGAACCAATTCCCTTCTATGACGAGTCTCTTCAAAACAAATCACACAGTTACCGAATCACTTATTCAATAAGGTCTGAAATAGTTTAGCTTAAAACATACAAAGGCTGCTAAAAAAGAAACCTTCCATTAAGCAAAAGGATTCTTTAACATCGACCGCCGAAATACTGAAATACTGATTCGACGTTTATCGATAAAATAAAATAATCTGCAAATGATGAACTATTGAAAAAGATTGTGGAATACAAATACAATAAATAATAAAACCTCGTTATAAAAAACTTTGACAATACGTAACATTTCTTTTGCTATAATATTTTGAGTTCTCCATGCAAATACCATATGCAATTTTTATATTCTACTTCTTTCCAACACTAGGCACTATGTAGATGGAAGAAATGGGTTTTTTAGAGCTTAAACATTTAACTGTCCAAAACAAAAAACAAAATCACAATTATGACTTTGATACATTTGACATCCGCTGTCATGAGCCCTAACTAAGGCAAATTGTAAATTTGTTCGAGATAGAGGGTGGTCGAAAGAGCGAAATATTTTTCTATGCTCAGCCTGTATAACAAAACGCAGAGGAAATGATAGATCGTTCGTGATACCGAGCATTCAAATTAGCAGATACAATCTCTATTCTATAAATATTTCAAAAAACATAGCATTGCTCAAAGTGTCCACTGGCTGCAGTATTTATAGGATTAAAATTGTAAATAAGATATTTGTCTTCAAGCTCTTCTGATTTGAATCTATGTTTGCTTTTCCTTGCTTCATTGACAAAGAAATCTGCCACGTACTGAGCAGCCTTGACTGCATCTTTAGAATGTGCTATATTCCTTTGCTTACTCCATTCAAAAGCGTTCTTCTCGGGGTGCCACTGTGTTCCATAGAACGGTAGTTCTTTTCCTAGAAAACGACGCATAGGGCTAGGCATTAAAACACAATCACTATTATCAGAAGTTGACATCATTGTTAATTGAGTACAGATCATCAGCATAGCCTGGCAAATTGAGATAGTATGCCAATGCTTAAGCTCCACAAGTGTTGTTTATAGAAGTTGGGGCATCTATTCAAGAAAATCGCATTTACGTATTGATTCTTTAAGAATTGATTGTTCGTTGAGAAGCGATCTGTGACAATTTTCAATCATTTGCAACCAGTAAGTGTCTAAAGCTCAGAAGTTGGTTTTTTTTATACAATTTATAATCTGCCTATTTGAAAGGGCTTTTCCTGATATTCCTAAAAAAGATGGGGGGGGGGGGGGGGTTTGAAGGCTCTTCAAGTGAGGCTTACAGGTGAAACAAAACGACCGGAATCCAACAATATAAACTACTAACCAGGATAACGAAACTTTATATATACAATTTCCTTTCTCATCAATCTTCTTCTACCTGATTATTTACTTCTCAGGAATCAACCTCTTTAAAACATCTCAACCTTTATTCTTATGATTTCTCTACGTTCTCTCCCCATTCCCTATTTATATGTGACTACGTAACTAGGTTTCAGCCCCACTCATATATCTAAACAGGACATTTTCTGCTTGTAACGCGTCTTTTGACGTCATTTGTATTATAAAGTGATCAGTACCGTAAAAAGAATAAAATTGATTGAAGATGGACATTTTGGAAAGAATAGGAGCAAAAGGGACATCCAGTAGAAATAAAGAATTTTTATTGGAGGGGCACAATCCCTGCTAAGAACACTAGAGGTTATGGCCCTGGGAATAGCAACAAACTCACCTTCAATGGTTGAAACAAAGGTTTTCCCATTCACGTCAACATTATACGATAAAAGATTGTAGCAATCCTTTAGCTTCTCAGCTTCTGAAAATGTTTCTGGTGTAACACAGTTATAGTGATAGTTGTATGTGACGCCCTCGGTACTCAATATATTCATGAGCTCATTGCTAGCTTCCTTAAACATTCTACTCCCTTTAGCGGCATCTGAAAAGTTGAGTGGAAGGGTAAGGTCTATTGCATTCGAAGACGACACAACTGGCTTTCCAGCAGTTATACTTGACATGGCTTGGAAGCCTAGGCATGTGCCCCAGATAGGGAAGAAGTCACCTTGCTGGTTCGCCTTCACTGCCAAGTTGTAGAGTTGATCTGCATTGCTAAAGTATCTTGAAGCAAATAACGTTGCACCGCCTCCAGGGTACAGAACCCCATTGATCGAATGGAATATTTCCTCGATCTCTTCCTTCGACATTGTCGTCAGTATTGGCACGACCCTTCCACCGGCACTTTCTATGTATTTCACATATGATGCTGCGATATACGAAGTGCCTTTTACGTGTGGTGGAAGAAGGCCGGGAGAAAGTTCTTGCGATAGAATACCAATTATTGGCCTTTCATTCAATGCTCCAGTAGAGGGCTCGTTGACTCTACTTGGAAAACCAACAACCGCAGGCCAAAGAAAAGCTCCTGCAAAAAATACGATCACGTTGATACCCTCTGCAATCATTGTGATGGTCCGTTGTTTTACATAAAATGTCCTTGAATACAGTTGCTATACCCGACAGGATGATTCCAGTGTCCTTTCCAGGAGAGGTCTACGTCCTCCAAAGCGTGGATCGAGAATGATAAACACTGGGCCTTCCTCAACATTTAAACCTGCTTCAACGTGGGAATATAGTCAAGTGTTTATAATACAATGTTATTTGAGGATTTGTTGAATATAGTCATGTGAGATCAACCGGTTCTTCCAATTCGCATGGAAATCAATGATATGTAAAGTTGCGGGCAAGCGTCTTTTGCTTAATCGCATGTTTTTATTTTTCTATTGTCCGATTTCAAAACAAGCTGTCTTGTGTTGTTCGTTTGATAGTCATGTGATTGTCTTCCGGGTAGCACGTGGGGATGTCTACACTATGGGAACAGTTCTACAGAAACAATCCAGTTCAGAGGGATGCATGCAATGATAATATCATTGGGGGGATGCTACAAATACACATTCGAGGCTCGATTTGCCCCAGAAATAAGAACATCGAACACTAAACAGATTATAATTTGTGCCAATAAAAATTTCATGCAACTTTTTAGTGGTCGTAGAAACAATTTACGTGTGTAAATGTAGAAAACTTATTTTGAAATTTTCCAAACGAAAGAACACCGAGCCTTGGCAAAAGTTACCCTATTCTTATAAAAGGCCTGTGACGCCATTTTTTGGTGTTGCACCATTTGCCTAAGAGATGGCAGCAGATAAAGTTGGTCAAGAGGGGCGCACCGGACTATCTTTGTAAGGCATGCATGGACGTGCCACATCGATGGGGCAATTCACATTTGAAAAAACGTGGGAGGTTTCTACAAGAACAAAAGGACTTCTAGGGGCATCTACACAACACAAAAGGATTCGACCAAAAAAGAATTCGAGATTTATTTAGAGTGATTAGCCACTCGTGCAATACTACAAAACATTATCAAAAACAAGAAAAAAGAAATAAAGATAATTCAATGAAATTTGACGTTTTTTGCTAAGATGTTAGGTGTAGTAGCAAAAAAACTATTTGGGAGTACACCTGAACCCCCTTTATCTTGGCTCGCTCCCCTTGCGTACCATCTTCATGCCCTACCATACTCTTGGCATCCCCGCAAAGAGGGTTCAGATTACCACGGTATAGAGAAGTATGCAAGATGCAGATTTAGGAGGGGGGACTAGGGGCAGTTGCCCCTCCGTCGCCGAGCTGAAGCAAGTCTGCTGGCGCCCCTTGTTCAAAACGCTTACTGGAAATTTGGAGTAAGAAGGCCCAGTGCCGGTGTCATATGCGTTTCTGCATGGGCATGCGTTTGTGCATGGGCTGAGACACATATGCGTTTCAAATGTTAAAGTGTAATGGCGGACATGGAGGGCCTAGCTGTGAGGCACACAACGCGCACATCCAATATAAACAATACAAAACGAAATCAAAGTTCTAGAAATTAACTAAATATCAAATACTCAAATAAATAAACCTCTTGACATGATAAACTCAGAAAATGAAATTACAATCATGCTATTGATAAGATGAACAACTACCATCCGCTTAGCCCATGCAGAAACGCATAGAGAATTTCAGTGTTATGCGTTTCTGCATGGAGCATCTAAAATCAAAACGACACTGAATTTCATCGCAAAAGCATGTTAACTAACAAGAAGTGATTGTGAGAATATGATCTAGGTCCAGCTTTTCCATGCAAGTAGCACTTCTTAATTTTTATTATTTTTTGTAGTTTGCCTTAGGCCCATGCAGAAACGCATAGAGAATTTCAGTGTCATGCGTTTCTGCATGGGGCATACAACGAGAGGAACGGATGTCTAAATGCAAAACACCATCGACGATCATCGTGAAAAAAATATTAATAACAGAGGTTGGATTAATTAGCCTGACTCGATTTAAGTTACGACACAAGTTGCCTTTAGTATTTGAAATTTTTTAGTTTTCCTTCTATTTTAAATATATGTTTTCGCAATCCTAAGCTCGCATAAAAATTTAAATTTAGTAATTTTCACCAAAAAGCAATATTGGAATTTTTATGGAAATCCCTGTTCGACCATTTTGCTTCAACCGCTACATCCCAATTATCGGTACCCCTAAACCTTTTGGCAGTATTAAAAATGTTTGGAGAATTTGTTTTTGCCAGGGATGGCGCTATCGAAAAAGTTTTAATGTATTGATGTTTATGCCTTACATTATTGCTGACAAAAGATATGCCAGTTTTTTGAAAGGAAAAATATGAATAATCGCACAAATTTAGAAAATCTTTTAGGGGCAAAGCAGCCTATCAATGCAGGCTTTTAATACATTTTGAATAGAGACTTATGAGAGGGTTAAGCAATGCAAATACCTTCTACGGAAAGAGCTTTTTGCAATTGAACATTTTAAAGTCTACGAAGCATCTCTTCCTGTTCTTTCTAAGGACACTTGCAAGACTTGATGGGGATATTGTCGATGGGGGTATTAAAAAAAGGGGCCCACGAGACTTGACCTTGGAAAAATTATAAAAACCATGCCCTTTCAAACACTAAACGTTTTATGTCTTGATGTTTCTTAACGGTTTAGACTCAAAGATTAGTGATGTTTCTGCTGGTTTAAATTGTGCTTGAATTGGTAAAATTTTCTGTTCCCTTTTCGGTTTTTGATAATAATAAGATTCTGAAAGAGGAAAACTTGAATGACTAAAAAGTGCTTTTCATGAGGGTTTTCTGTTAAATTTACTATTAAAATTCATTAAGAGTTACAGAGAATTTCAGTTCAAATCAGTTACCATATTGTTAAGCCCCACTTGAGGCTTACCGCTGAATTATGTACATGATTTTAGCCAGTGATAAATCATGTATTAAAAAAAATATGTTTTGATGATATTATTATTGTTTTAAAGTCGATGTAAACAGTAATTGTTCAATTCATAGCTTTTACAATTTCAACTTTCTTCAGGCAGCGCTACAAAATTTTCAAAAAGCAAATTTGCTTTAGCCCGTTACAGAAACATCTACGATTACAAGAACCGCCCTCCTCCCCGGGCCAAATCGAGTATTAGTGGGACTTGGAAAAGTAGTGCCCCCAAATTGATTAAAAAAGCTGCCACTGGGAGAGGCCTTTTTTCGATTTAGTACCAACAAGAAATCTTGAAACCTTCGCGGGAAGATCATCAGGGACGGATTTCAGCGGCAATGATTGGGGGCGTTTGATTAGATTTTGGTGCCACACCTTTCAGGTAACTGGAAAAGGATGGAAAGGCCCATTTTAGAAATTAAACTTTTCGCTTCAAGGTGAAGAAGTTAAGAAGGTAAAAAGAGTAAATTATTCCATTATTTTTTCGCTACTGACCACCAAAAATGTTTTTAACCGAATCAAAAAAATTTACCAAAGGACACAAAAATATTGGGGGGTGGCGCACCCCCTACAGCCCTCTCCTGGTAAATCTGTCCCTGAATATCATATTAACCAACGGAGTAACAATCATTGCCTGATTCTTTATTGATCTCTGAAGACGTAAGGGCTCTGAACTACTTACAATTTTTCTTCCATTGAACCCCACACCCTTTGTTGGCGACACCCTCGGTGATGAGAAGAAGCAATAAGGCATCAATCTGAATAAGAAATCGAGCTTTAAAAACATGTCCACCTGTCTTATAAAACATCTAGTCATGCTTTTACTCGTATTTCATTTTTGATGGAGCCTGAGAAACTAAAATCGTTGATGTCTCAGATTGGCTATTGCCTGCTGATTTGGGTGTTTCGAGAAAGAAATTTGAACTATAAGATAAACTGAATTTAAGAGAAAGGCCTATAATAGTATATATTTATGATTCCATAAATATACTAAAATGCGTGCGGTACAATATGATGAATTTAATTAACGATCAATGTAAGTAAATTGTACCAGGAAAATTTTTTTTAAAATAATTAACGACGTTTCGAGCATAGCCCGTTATCAAGTAAGATAGAAAAGCGATGATAGAACTAAAAAACGTTAAAGGAATATGGAATTCGACCAACAGAATAGGAAGACGGATGTAAGAGCATGGAAAAGAAATATATGGAAAAAGCTAGTAAAAATAAATATATATATACATATACGCAAATACAGAATTTATGCATATGTATACATATATATATATAATTTCCTGGTACAATTTACTTACATTGATCGTTATTTATAAATTTATGATGCTTTTAGCTTTGAAAAATTATTTAAACTGATAGCTCTTTAAGCGTTCATCAGTTGAACCTGAATTTGCTTTTGGTAGAGGTCTACAAATCAATATCACATCTATGTATATTCTAGCTTCATTAAAGCTAGCTTTGGTGGAAAAAATTCCTTACAATCTAACGTCTCTTGATGAACTACAATTGTCAACTTGCCTTGGAATTAATATCAAACGATCATTTTTGTAGGAAAAAGTACGAGAAACACTATGACCAGAGTTGAAAAACTCAGACTCCCTTTAGATATTCAAAATATATATTTATAAAAGCTCATAAATGCAAAGCTTGCAACAGTAGATAAAGATATTTTATTCAAATTTTGGTTTGTTTATTGTAACAAGTATTTCACTAATTTATGTTTTAATAGTAAATTTTATATTTGTTCGTAAGTGATTGGTAAGCATTTTCAGCCTTATTCATTTGCGAACCTTAAAATATTACTGAAAATAGAGCTGTGGAGGATGTAAATCAACTACTACTGGTTTACTTTTTATCAAAATGGTAGGAATTCTATACCATCTGTGATTTATTCAAAAATTGCCCAGAATTTCTTTTTCTGGTTCTTTAACCAAATAATAGTCATATACCAGGAACTAATTTTATATCGTTGGCTTTGAATTATTGGAATCCTTTTGGGGGAAGCTCTTTGTGTAATTCTGCATAATTTTATCCGTGTAACGCATGATATTATCACATATACTTAGCTTTATGTTAGCTAGTTGCTGTTTTCTAACTTACAAGTCTAAATTTTTTATTAAGGTTTTGTGGCGATGGATCATTTCACAAACCTTTATTAAAAGTTGTCAGGAAACGCACATCCGTTGAAACACATTTGTGTCCTGTCTAACGCATATGCGCTTCACGCCATTCACAGCTAGGCCCTGCATGTCCGTCATTACACTGTAACACTTGAAACGCATATGCGTCTCGGCCCATGCAGAAACGCATGCCCATGCAGAAACGCATAGTACACCGGAATAAGAATTATCTAAAGCTCTGTCAGAAAAATATGAAATGTATGAAACCAGTGTGAATGATGGACAGGGTACAATCGCTATTCGCTGGGCTTTAGGATAAGAAGATATTGCGGTCAAAAGCACTTTCTATCCAATTCTGGAAACGAAAGATTTCTCTATTCTTTTCTGGGGGGGGGGGGGCGGGTTGGTGGCACCAGCTCCGAAAGAATAATAGTAGGTATAGCCCTGCAAAGTACTGCTTACCAACATCGGCTTCTAAAAGCATTTCACAGCTCTGTGATAAACCTCTTCCCTGCTTTCGACGATTTCCTGAAGACTAAGAAAAGATAAAGTTCAAATCAAACATCCGAAGTGTTCCATGTATAAAACTCACAGTTTATTTTAAATTAGTTCTCAAAAAAGGGCGTTTCTGAAAACCAATAATTAGTATAAAAACTGATTTCTAACTTGCCCCGTGAACATCTAAATGTTTACCCGCAATCAAAGGAAGATTCAATGCTTAAAGTGACGAGCAGCTGAACATATTTACGGATGTAAAGAACATTTCGAAATGAATATTAAAATATTCTCTAAAACTTCAGCAGGCCACTCGAGCATATACATTTTAAAAAACAAATTCACGATTCCTTTTCTATAGTTTGAGATTCGAATGTTGTAGTATATGTGCTAGTTTTCGAAAAAAATATAGAGTGGCATTAGATCTTTAGCTCGACGAATTCAAACAGACCCAGCAAACAAAGTCTTCAATCAAACATCTTATTAAAGCTATCCCAAAGTATTTGTTCATTTTACCTTCTTTTCAGGATGATTCGAATGTTCACCCACTGATGGCAAGCAAACTAAAATATGCCTTGTTATATTTCCATGCTTGCAATTTTGAAAATCGTCTTTTAGTTTCTTTCCAGTAACATATCTGAAATGCTTTGTATCAGAAGAAACCTAAAATATAAAATTTATAATAAACGACATCTAATAACCCAAAAAGCACCGAAATAGAACATTTTTTGTAGCTTTTGTGTTTTAAATTGATTGTAAAAGTAAGCTACTTGATTGCAAGCACTTCCATAAGTGGAAATGTAGAATAGAATTTGCCATGGCGCTACAAGGAAGAAACTTCTCTTGACGGGGCACGTCACAGAGAACACAAATGCATACATGGTTAGGGGAAGGGGAGGGGGAGGCAGACAGAAGTGCCCTTGAGAAAATATGTATAAAGGGCGAGAAAGCTACATAACTTTCGGCATTTATTTTTTATAGGCAATGTAGGTATTATTTGAGCGGGCATTTCTGCTCGTGCCTGAAACTACAAGCATTTTTGTGTATTTGTCCGTAACTGCCATTGAATTGACCAATTTTGGATTCATTTAAAGCCCCTTACGCAACCGGCACGTTTTGCGACTATATTTCAAAAGACCGGCCTAATATCTGCATGAAAATACAAAACAAAGTCAATTTCTCAAGACAACTGTCGCTAAGCATGCCGGTTGTGCAAAAGCCTTTAATATCTTCCTAAACCAGTTGCCTACCGTCATTGTTTTCACATTCAATCAGCTCTGTCGTTTATTTCAGTAAGAAATAATAGTGGTACACAGATGCATCCTTGAGGAACTACACTTACAACGTCTTACCAAAAAAGTTGAAACGGTTTAGAACTACTCTTTGTCTCCTTGCTGCCATCCATCGAAGTAATCTCCAATTCCACACGAGTTAACTTTGGAATTAGTCTTTAATAAGGCACGGATCAAAAATATCAATTCGATTATATCACTGCGATCAAGAAAGATTCTTCTAGATTCACGAGCCAGTAGGTCCACAAATTGCAGGTAAATGGATTAACAGAACAGAAACGAGAAGAAACGAATGTCACACGATCAATGACCAGGAGCAATGCAGGAGCAATGACCAGGAGCAATGCAAGGAAAAGGGAAAGAGATACGGCTAATCAAATTTTTGGGTAAATCCCAAACAGGTTTTTGTGTGTTTCGGCTGGGGGAAGGCGGGGCGAGAGGGTACGAACGCACATCTCCTAAATTTTGGAAAAATGATTCTTTTTAAGCTTCCTTTTGTGAAAGTAGCCCTTTCTCTGAGATACTGTTGATTTTCCAATATTTATGCGCTTCTCCCCTTCCTGTTTCTGACGTTATTTATCTTACAATTATCGCTCTCAAAAATCTATCAGGGTTGAACAATTAATATTATCATTGAAAAATTGAAATCAAACAGCTGTTGGCAGGGCGATACTCAATATTGTAGAACAAACATCTTCAGCGACACCAAAGAAAGCACAGAAAAAAACCACCGAGCTGATGAAACTTTCAATTTTGTTTGTAAGTTCAACACTGACTGAGTGACAGGGAAGAAATAAGATTGTGCTGATTAAGATCATACTACACAATTATGTTATTAAATGCTTTCTGCCATTCCTTTGTTGTCATTTTTGGGGAGAGGGGCTAAGATGACAAAATCAAAAGCACCAATGCTAAAGACTTTTCAGCTTATTGGGTAATGAAACATTGGGGCATCCTAGATATTGTTTGAAGAAATTGAAGAAAAAAGGTCTGTTATAACGAAAAAAGATCTGCATTCTATGTTATATGAATAAAGAGCGCAGCAAAAAATTGTGTAACATCCTTTGAAGATGAAAAATTCTTACCTTATAGTTCTGAAAATATATCACGTCCCTCAGAACAATTTTGGCTGGACAACCATGTTTCTTTGATATCCTTGAGCGATAATGTCTTTTTGTTAAATCGGGATAATTCTGTGTTGATATACAAAATGCAAATGTGTCATAAAGTAACTAATAGCAGTATTATGAATTTAGTGTAGAAAAAAATGAAAAGCAAACAATTTTCTTGATATCATAGTCAGGACTTTCACTTATAAAATTTATACATTCTTTATAACTTAAATGCTTTAAAAAAATGACTCAAAAATAAATACAGACCCTTTCTTGCTGGGCTTTCCTGTTTTCTTTCACATGTTTTTTCTGATCTTTGCCATATTGGCAATCAAGTTGCTTTTTGCCAATGATGACATATGGTATTATCTCATTTTTGCTATCACCTGACTTTATCCAGTGTATATTTTTACCCTTCAGGCAAACGGCTGCAGATATTGAGAAAATTGTAAGATGCTCTGTTAAAAAGTCTTTCTGTTACACAACAAAATGTTATTAAAAAAGATTGGATCTGAAAATAATTTCTTCCTACCAAAAAAAGCAATCCCAACTTCTACTATTATTTTCACTATTATTAAGAAAAATTTAGGTACTGAGAGGTCCAGTTGAATGTCTCTTTTAAAGATTTAATTCCTTTTATTTTTTGTTATAAAGGCCCTCTTAGCCAGGGTGAAATTTGTGTACCTCCACACCATAGTCATATCAGTTAAAAAGGCTTTTTGTCATGAGACTATTGAACTTCATGAATGAAAAATATTTCAATACATCACAGAAATGAAAACAGGCTTATGCCAATACACCAGCCTGGAGGACAAGTGGATTCCAGAGGTCGCCCATATAGCCTAAAATTTCAAAGCAGATGCAGTTAACAAATTTTCTCCCATCTGGGAAGTGTATATGTGGCTGGAAGACCTTACACAAATAAAAGTAAATTGTAACCTGTATCAGTGATGGGAATTCATTTTTCAAATGGAGGGAGTTTAAACCATCTAGAAGATGCAACTTTGCCAACAAGCGACCAAATTTATGGACAAAAGGCCAAAACTTGTGTTTTAATCCAAAATTTTAGCAAAGGGCTTAACCCCCAACCCCCTGCAATTACTACCACTGGTCTGTATGCACACAGTTGTAGCTATCTAGCTACATAGGCAGGCATAACTTAGATAAGGGTCCCACATTTTCCTGGCTTTATTTGTGGATCAGACTTATTTCTAATTAGCCAATGGCAAATAGCAGGGGCGGCGTGGGGTGGTATTAAAGGTATTAGTCTAATACCATTTTATTTTCAAAGGAAGGCGACTTTGGGTCTCTGAGATTGCAGGAAATTTATTTTGCTTTTTGTACGCTGCCACTTTTTCACAACAATTTTATCGATGCGACCAGCTCTATTCATATAGCCAAGCTATATTTGCTTTTCTGTTCGTTGAAAGAAAGCTTTCCTAATCCTCATTGAAATCTTTGAAAAGTGTAATCCATGCCGTAATCAGCAGCCCTGGCCATGGTATTAGCCTCCAAAAACTAATACACTGCCCCGAAATTTCTTTTGTCTGTTGTGGTCTGCATGACGTGAATTTCTCTTGTTGAGCCATGGTAGAAGAATGGGTGAACAGCAGTAAGGTATTAGTTTTTCATTTCTAATACTACGAGGGCCACTGTCAGTGGAAGAGACGGTGGAAAGAGCCCCAGCTCTATTCTAAGGCCTCAGCTTATAGAAAAAATATTTCTGGAAATTAACTTTATGAATTTACAAAATGTAGCTGTACTTTTGCTAGCAATGCCTTTGGATGGATAATTTGATTGACAAAATTTAGACACTGAATATAAAGAGCAACAGTCATGAAATAATTTGTTTAAGCTAAAGGCAGTTGTAAAAGTTGTTTTGTATGAACTGTATGTTTTGTAAAACTTCGATTCTATATGATTGTAGAGTCATAGGCAACATTCTCACATTATTTCTCTCGGTTTCTCAAATCAAATGATACATCTTACGTTTTTTTGCTGCATTACTCTAAAGTAAATCGCTCGCTTTATCGTAATAGAATCTCATTCGCGGGCCAAAAGCCTCATGGTATTAGAATTAATGGGCTAATACCTTGGGGCTCCATTACTGGGCAGCAAACCGCTGTATCAAAACACGATTTCGCTCGTGTAATTTGCCGCAGCCATAATTCATTTGTATTTCGTAGGACCGATCCTTCACCCAAAACTAGTAGGATGAACTACATTACCACACAGTCATCAGTGTCTGGGGGGAGACAACGGGGGCCAGTGCCTTCAAATAATTTTGTAAGATATGGTATTGCCAAAAGCTATTTTAAACCATCATATCGAAAAGTTCATTTTGCCCACCTTCTTAAATAAGAACATATAAGCTCCACCCCTGTTTAATAGTTTCAGGACCTTGCAGGGGGACCTTCTTATGTCTTAATTTCGGAGGCTAATACCAATACTTTTCTACTCCCAGCCGCCCCTGGCAAATAGTCTGGTACTCTTAAAAAAATTGAACAAAAAAGGTGCTGCGATCCTGCCTTTCTTTGTGCAAATGTGTATGCATAAAGAATTATGAAAAATGACCTTATGGATACAGTTGTCATACGCTTTCATGTAATCATTTGGACAAATGCCTGTTACCTGCTTTTCCAAAATCCTTTGGGCATGACCTTGAAACAAATCTGTTGGAAGTACTGTTCTCATACTCTTTCACAAGCTTGATGGCTTCATTTAAACTATCAGCAACTATCAGCTGTGGATTTTCTTCACACGTTTCTAACAGTACAGACATTTTTCCACTTTAGAACTTTCATTCCCTCTTGCTTGCAATGAGCAATAAAATATGAATATGGAAAAAATGTTGTTAGGTTGCATAAGTGTCTTCAGCTACATTTTGGATAATGATATGATAAAACCATTATCTCACATATTTCGTATTTGAGGAATGGGTGACGTTTATACAATTAATATTTGGTTTCATTGTCATTTTGTTTTTAAAATGTTGTTCCTCTGTTTTTACAATTTCAACGCGAAAACGCAGATGAAGCCTTGATGATATAACAAAACTTTGTATGACAGGAATGAAAAATTTAATGATTTCGCAAATTTTTCGAGTTATATTGACATCTTGCCTTTGTTTCCTTGAGAAACGTCAAAGAGCACTTCTTTCCCTGCCATGGTGTCCATTTGTTTTTGCCACCATTGCTGCAAACGACAGTGCCTGATTGCGAGGCTTCTGGACGGCATGCGAGGCAGGAAAGATGAAGTTGCAAACGACGGTTTAATGGCGGCCTTCAATCGCCGTAGCTGTGATAAACTTCTTTGGTGATAAACCGCATAAATGATGAACCCGTTTTTGCATGCCAGTGTTTGTGTCTGAAAGGGTAGAAAGTTTTGTTTTTAACTGAGGTGCTCTAAAGCAAAGGCCCAATCCATTCGGAGACATGAGAAGCAAAAGTTGGCTTCACTGTGTTAGAACAGCCCGGCTGTTCTCGCATTCTTCTGAAAATTCATTTCAAAAGCTGCAGACGGGAAAGAATGGATCTGAATATATTGCCTATAGGAAATTCGTGCCATCGTGTCCATCCAAAAATGTTGGTGTAATGTTTTGTCAAGGATTTATGTCAAATATGAATGGGACAAAGTCGTTATTTCTAGAGAGTTATTGCAAAGAGAAGCATATCAATTTTGTTACTTATGACTACCTTGGTCATGGAAGTTCTACTGGGAAATTCGAAGATTTCACAGTTGGTTTGTGGAAAAGAAATACACTAGAAGTTCTGAATAAAGTAGCTGAAGGTATTGTAGTTTTTTTTGCGGTCATCAAAATGAACCAAATTAGTGGTGATAAGGTGCAGAATATATTTCTAAAGGAAATATTCATTGTTTAATGGATGAATAGAGACAAATGGCCTTAATCAGTATAGAAGAATCAGGTTGTTCAAATGGGGCAGTAACTACGCAGCCGTGATGCTAAAAGGAGCCTATAAGAATTGCTTACACATTGGTGGGAATTTCAGCTGCAAGAAAGTGTTGATATGATTTTAGTAACAAAATACACAAATTTTGCTACTTACCAAAAAATACAAATTAACAAAGTGAATTTAAATGAGCCAAAATAAACAAAACAGTTTTGATATTTTTCTCATGACTGTTCAGGTAAATATCACATGGCAACCAACCAGTGCACATCTGGGAAAACTCAATCATGCAGGCAACTATGCAAATTTTTAGCTATAAATTAAAATGTGAGTTTCCAAATAAAGGTTCATTCTGGCCAGTGTGAAGCAAGTTTAAAGTGCAAGAGAACATGACAAATTCCATCCAGTAGTTTCTTTAAAATATTAATGAGGATTAAAGGTAACGTCACATATTATGTAAAATCTTTTGTTTTTTTTACATGCTGTCTTTGATGTGTTGAATGTATTGATTTTCAGGTCCCCAAATTCTTGTGGGGTCAAGCATGGGTGGTTGGATAATGTTGCTTGCAGCCATAGAAAACCCATCTAAAATACAAGGACTTGTTGGAATGGCAGCAGCTCCAGATTTGATGTACCACAGATATGAAAGCATTTCTGATCAGGAGAAAAATGAGCTCAGCGGATCAGGTTACTTTCTTTTACCTTCAGATTTTGCAGAACAGCCTTTAAAGCTTCCATTTAGGATTATAACTGATGCAAAGGAGCAGCAAGTGTTGAATAAAAAGGAAATATGCTATGATGGACCAGTTCGATTAATTCATGGTGTAGATGATAGTACAGTTCCATACTCATATTCTATGACAATATCTGAAAAACTCAGGTCTACAAATGTTTCTGTACATCTTATAAAAGATGGAGATCATCAATTGTCAAGAAATAGTGACCTGAAATTTCTTTCAAATGTTCTGGATCAGTTGATATTTAGTTAAAAGTAACTGTTGGATCTTTTTGTTATGAGTGGACTTAGGTCAGGTCAAATTGTTACCTTACCTGAGGAAGATAACTGCCCTAAATTTCTTGATCTCATTATATGAACATCAATTTGACTCTTGCTGACAAAATCTTAAAATTGAGACAGTAAATCCTTAATAATTTCTTTGCTGCTTAAAAAAGCAGAATCTTTAAAACGTTTCTGCTTAGATGTCAAATGTAAAGGTTTAAAAAATTGAAAGTCTTTCAAGAATTTGTAATGAAAATACTTATTGATACTTTGAATTTAATTGCATCAAAAACTTGTAATTGGAAGGGATAAATAAGAAGCCAAGTATCTGTTGATACTCATACTCAACCTCCTGTCACTTTCATTGTGACATATAAATTCTTGAATGAATTCAAAAATGTGCTTAAGCTTTTGGTCAGACAGTTTTCTCATTACTGACATTTTAAACTATTGCCAAAAATCTGCTCTTAAATTTCATGCTACCTTTGCTCCATCCTTCTTTTTGCTAGAATGCAAACAATATCATATAGGCTTGTGGGTAAGCTGCTGCAAAGTATATAAGCCTTTATGGAAGGAAAGAGAGGTGGGGAACTCAGAAATATTGGTCTAGTGCTTCGTGGATGCCCCAAACAATATAAATATGAGATACAAGATACAAATCAAGAGATCTATCATCGCTTGTGACAGTCAAAGAAGCAAAGCCTTTGATATCACAAAACTTGAAATTAGCACAGAAATAGTAGCAAATGACTTGACTCTGGTCTGTGTTTTGATAAGTGAAAAAAAATTCAATTTATTTGTATCCTAAAAATTCAGTCTGTGTTCATATAATCAAGAAACAGATAAGAAAGGAAGCATTGCACCTCAATGTTTGTGAATGTATGGCAAATAAAAAATGGGAATTTCACAAGTTTAATTCAGTGAACCAATTTTCACAGTAGCAAATTTTAGTGGGCTTCTATATCGAATTTTGCAACAAATAAGGGGCTATTTGAACACAAACAACAGAAAATTTTCCCCAAGCTGGAATGATGTAAGAGTACAATATTACAATAAAACACTCAATACAAATACCAGGCATGATGCCATATTGATCAAATATTCTCAAAACATACTTGTTTTTCAAAATTCTTTAAAAATTATAATAAATTACAAAAGTAGGTTTAAATCAAATGGTACTAAAATATGACACACTAAGTATTTGAATTACATTCTATGTAGTTCTTGGTTATAAGACTGTTTGTTTCTAATTGCACATTCATAATAATCCTTCCAAGGACAAATGACTCATTTTTCAAGTAAAATATTTAAATAAGGCAAGTGGCATGTCTGCCACCATCAACAGGAAACAAAGCACCAGTGACAAAGGAAGATTGGTCTGATGCTAGGAAGGCAATGGCTGCTGCTACATCTTCAGGACTACCAATGCGGCCAAGAGGATGTGACTTATACGCTTTCTCTTTGTACTAGAAACAACCAAAACTGCTTTACTTTCAGCTAGCAAGAAGATGAATTAGTGTGACTTCCAAATTGGATGTTAAAAAGGAATTTGCTGTCACACAGTCACATGCAATTATTAAGGTTTTTAAAGAAACAAATCAAGCATTCAACACACTTGGGAATTTTTTCGTTTATTTATGATAGCTAAGACTCAGATCATGCTGAGTATTCTCAAGGACAGCAAAAAAAGAAACAGAAACCTAAAAAACCACTTTCAGATAGAGTGAATGTTGGAACCCCAACAGGTTCCACATAAAGCTGGAGAAGATGTGGACAAAAATCAGACAAAAAGTTTTCCTTCCAGCAAGAAAGCACAATTCACCAGAGTGTTCTCAAACTATTTTAATCAAAACGAAAATTAGAGACAAGAGGTGGATATAAAGCCAAATTATTTAAAATGAAATCAATTTACGCAACACTCTGAGGCAGCTACAAATAAAGTCAAAAGTTGCCAAACAATGATACGCCAGTTGTTTTCTGCCCTTCTTTCTCAATGGCTCAAATTATCCCATATCCAATGGTATCCATTGTCCTGATAATAATAGTTCTTTTGATTGGCTCATAAGAACAGTATAGAAAATGCAATGCAATCACAAGATAGTCCTTATGACCAATCATCACTTGTTACCTATTTTTAGCCTGCACAGGACCCTGGGTTAAGCAATGTTTATAAACATACATCCCCCTCCCCACGATTCAAAGTTTTAGAGGACTTACTTTCGTGTAGGCCTCTTCATCCAGCCCACCTCTTCTATGAAGTTCTGTTTCGATAACACCAGGGCTACATTTAGAATAAATTGCCAATAATATTGAAAGAAAAGGTACTGACTGTCCTGATTAAGAAGTTCTAGCTAAACATATGTAATGGGTGATCCACATCATTACATTTAAGAAATGGGAATATAAATTTTAGAATGGCAGTGCTATAAACAGTGCTTTTTTATTTCTAGGCAATAGAATCATGAAAAAATTATGTTAGAAACAGTGTTAGTCTGCCAGCTGATGTCACATCTCATTAGTAAGGCTACCCAAATTGAGTTTGATAATTTTCGTGAAGAAAAATGCAGAGCTGCCTCCTTATGACAATTTGGGCAAAATTTCTTGACGATAAGCTTCATCTCTGAGAAAAGCTGATTTCAAATACAAGTGCCTCTGGAGGCTCTGATCCTTTTTGCATGGCAATGTAATTTTAGGCAAGAACTTTGCAGATCAAAAAAGATTTATAATTGTTATCATTGAAAGAGTTATCTTCAATTAACCCTCTTTTGGAGAAAGTGACATGTCTGATATTAAATAATCATACTTTGTAAAGATCTGTTCATGGTTTGTAAAAGGTTTTTAGATATTCACTCGCTACTAACGCCCATCATCTTTAATATAATGACCAAAGGAAAATCATCACACTTAAAGGCAGTCTGTCTCCTTTGTGATTGGCTAATTCTAGCTTGAAAGCCTCGCCTGAAAGGAGGGTCTTCCTTTGCCTTTTTAGTGTCCGACACTAGTTATTGTGGGTGTACACGACAAAAATTGCCTAATCTTTATATCATCGAAACTGACTTAGACGTTTGCCACCGAATCAAAATTCATAGCAGCTCCTCGCTGGAGGAAATTGCGCTATTGTGGTTCTTCATTCTGATTGTTTTTTTGCATTAAATCAACGATGCATGAATATCGTGGCTATGAAAACAATGGGGGTCATACTGCCTTTAATGAGTAATTGCTGCATTGTAATTTTATCTAGAAACAATGAATTTACTAATGCCTTACGTTACAGCATTGCATCTGACTTTCTTCGGAGCAAGTTCTGAAATTAAAAAAAAAACTAACAGAGGAACAAAGGATTTTGAATTCTGATTCAAAATTAATTGGAAGAATATAAAATGCTTTGCAATAATTTGCCATCTAGAAGATAGAAAATAAAGATTTGAGATTTTGCATTCCCTTTCCCAAAACTTATTGTTGATATTTCTGCTGTAAAATACAAAGCTACAACTTTGAAGGGGAGGAAGAAGGGTAGATGTTTAATCAAACTTTAAATGAATGCAACCCTGTATATGTTGGGGCATTTATCAAGAACAGGAGATTTTTGAAAAATGCTTGGGCTGACTTACCAAGAGCCACACACTGGGTGAATTGATCCAGAGCAGCTTTTGAAACACAATACGATAACAAACCTGGGAACTGTACAAACCACAAGATAGAGATATATAGAACATTTCTAAGCTAAAGCAAAATCATGTATAGATATTTAGCCTTCTGTTGATAGGCAAGAGACCACTGTTTCGTTATATGCACTTTTTTAAGTTAAGAAAAAAGTCACAAGCATGGCTCCCCAGATACACCATATACCGAATAGCAGTGTGACTTTGGCTAGATTCTTTAATGGTCTTTATTGTCCTTAGTTGACTACAATGTTGCTCTCTCTTATGCAAGATAACAAATAGGAAATTAAAAACATAGTGGTCATAAATTACTGATACTCATTCCTGTGCTCTACAGATACCCTAAGCTGCTATCATTGGTCAATAAAAAGATGTAACATTATCCTTAGAGAAACCAGACAAATCTAGAAGCTCTTGAAATCTTTCGATACTCTGTATAAAGGTTGGCTAGCCCAGAAATGTACCAGATGGATTATAAGAGAACAGATTGCCAGGCCGTAATCAATATGAAGTTAATCAAAAAATCAATGATCCGGGAGGACAAAAAGGTAACAATTTCTGTGATGGCATCCTTCTTGTGCAATATAGATAAAATCAAACCATTATTTATTCCTTTCTTATTCCTCCTTAAACGTATATGATTAAGAAAATTGATCTTGTTGAGATAAAAATGAAATTTAATGACAAACTAATCTCCAAAAAAGGTCTACTAAGTAATATAAGAGAAACTCACTGCTTTTGGGCCCCCGACACTTGACACATTTACAATATTACCTAAAACAAAAGGAATTTAGGATGAACAATTGAATATATTTCAATATTAATCAATATGATGAATTCTGGTTTAAAATTTCTTTTTCAGAAAAGACCTTAAGGCAGGGTAGAAGAGCTATAATTTAAAGAAAGAAGTTAAAAGGCATTTTGCCGTGCAATGCTGGTTACAGCAAATGTCGATGAACATTTTTTCAGAGTTCACAAAATTGTCAACATAGTGTCTGTGTATGATGAAGAAGGCTATTGAAGAGTAATTAGGGTACCAAAGCCATAGCAGATGCTTTTATTGTTTTCAGGCTGGTTTTGAACATTCTAGGTCATTGGACAGGGAAAGTAACCTTAGGGCCATTGTACGAGGTGTTGGCAATCAATCATAAGTATATCTGTTTCAAATATAAGCAAGGTTATTAACAACATAACCCAAATGCCTAAAATACAGTATTGAAATACAATATTTTTCGGGAAAATAATTAGCACTGTATATACATAATAAATATATCAAATAAAAAAGGGTTAGTAAAAATTTCTTGTCTGATAGGCATTAAAAAAATTGTTGATATTACTATCAGTACTATCAACACCACTGATCCAGCCCCACTGGTAACTCATATTTTATAATTCTTCAAAGAATGACTCACAAACAGCCAGCAAACCTCACAATAAGATTTCTTTAATTCCGTCAAAAACAGAGCCATAGCCTTGGAACTGAAATGCTTTTAATGTGTATATTTATTATAATACCTAGCACTAAATTTGCAGAGGCAGCTTCATCTTTCTTTATGTAATGAACCACCTGGCCGACATGGCCCATGCTGTAAAATCCATTTCTCAAGACCAGCATCAAAAAAATCTTCACAAAACGACCACAATCAGATGGATAAAACTTTGCAAGATCAAACTGGCATCTATTATTCTTGAGTTAAAGCTTGAGTTTCAGGAGATTCTTAAGATTCATTGAGACTTGAGCTTGAAAGATCTAATGTCTTTTGGGCCTCACTGCTTGCTGTGCTCAGTTTATGTTATCATATTTACAGTTTATGTTATCATATTCAGCCTCAGCATTTATATTTCTAAAACCTCCTGTTTCTTGACAAATTCTCCCACATATACAGGGTAGCTTATGAAGGCCTTGTGAGGTGCAAAGGCAGAAGCTTGACAAACTGAGCACCTTCGCTGCTTTGCATTTTTAGATAAAAGTGAAATTGAGTTTGTGTTTGCTGTGGCAGCTTAGACTTTAACAGCCCTTTTGCTCACACCAGGTTCATAAATACGCTTCGGATTGAAAGACATTTTGAAAGCAAGCATGTTAATTAAAACATTACTAGACTAGAAAGATAACATCTTCAAATTGCTAAATTGGAAAAACTGATTAGATTTTAGATGTCCGTAATATCCTCATGAAATTTGATATCGATAAAGGTGTGCATTAAAGGAAAACCTTAATTGACATGCCGTATCTTACATCATAATGAGGTCAATGGTGTCATGAATAAACTCATCTTTTCGAGAAACTTCTTAGAGGCCCTTGTAGGGCCCTTAATTTGGTGCTTAAAGGTGCACACCGTGTGTTATGCCACTGCATCCTGACAGCTCTAAATAGGATAATCAGCAGTCCTTTTCGTGAGCAAAATTACGCGTGTGTGGCAAATCGCACATGTAAACAAATTTGCGCGTGCGATCGCACTTGTAAGAAAATTTGAAGTACAAACCTGATAAAATTGGTAAAAGGAGCAAGAAGGGAAAAGCCACTCGAATACGTGCAAGAGCAAATCTCAATTAATCAATACATAACAGATTTTGTTGCCCTTAGCAGCCATCTTTTAAAAGTCGTCGTCACTCTCCAAAGTTACAAGAGCAAGTAAAAATTGTTTCCAACAGCTACTTGCTTTCAGGGCCTAATTACGTTTTGACAGGACTTCAGTTATTACACTTAACATGCTAATGGCGACTTAGCTTAAAGACAAGACGCTAAGTTGAATGGAGCACTCAGTCAAAAGCCAAACATCACTTCCGAAAATTGGAAAAATCATATTGTGGTCAAAAGTGCGAATCAAGTAACAAGGGAAAGGATAAACAATCATGAGACCATGGGAAATTGATGTTAAAGGGCCTCTCCAGCAAAAAAAAATTTTTTTTAATGACTTAAAAGTCTGGTGCGTGTGTTATGACAAAGTCATTGTTTTTGCAAAATTCCAATTAGTTTAGAAGTTGTAAGGCTTTAAAGTTGCACCTTTCCGAGAAAAAAAACGACAAAAGCCGAATCAGTTTGGTGACATTCTGACGTCACAATGTGCGGCTCTCGTTCGCCATGAATTTCGTATATCTTCCACCGAAGCGTGAAGGACTCATGATCACGCGTTGATAACTGCATCCAGTTCCAGTTCATGTTCCAACTCTTCCCTCGCGTATAATTAATCGAAATTGTCACTTCAGTTGTTCTCCAGAAACGATGAACAACTAAAGGCTTCAGAATTGGTGTCTGAAATGCTCAAACTGAAAGCTGGTGGAACAGAACTGAGAGTACCATCACTTGCAGTGTTTAATTTGCAAATCGCCGTCGTTCGATTCGGTTTGAGGCGAGACTATCCGAAATACACTGTGACGTCAAAATTGCATCACAGTGTCACCAAACCAACAATTTTTGTCGGTTAATTCAATTCAATTATCGAAATGCAAGAGCTTATATCTCACAAACTGTAAAAAAATATCGAAAAACAAATAACGAATTCGAGATCAGCAGGCTCAACTTCTTTATAAAAATTGCCAATAAAATGCAAGTGCCAAATTTGGCTGGAGAGGCCCTTTAACAGAAAACTGCAAAAACACCTGTTTGCGCGTGTGGTCAAAAGCACGCGCAATTTAACTTGCGCGTGTGCAGGCGTGTGCGGGTGCGATCGCACGCGCTAAACGAAAAGGACTGAATCAGAAGCTAGTATTGTTCTTTAGTTTGCATTCACTTTGTTCTGTACCTTTGGTTTCTATGAGGTGTGGCACAGCCAACTTTGTGAGATAGAAGATAGAACTGAAAAAGATATGAAGTTAGTATTAGATAAAATGCTCTATCAATTTTTCAGAGTCTGCATAGCATTTTCAGAGTTGCAAGATAGAAAGCAGACATTTCAATTCACTGCTTTCCTGCTCCAGGCCTAGCCTTGCCTTCCCTCCTTCTTCATGAAAAGAACCCTAAAGACTGATCATTACAATAGGAATACCATTATATCTGTCAGTCTCTAGCTAATGCCCTCAGCTAACTTCTACTGTTATGGTTTGTTGGGGTAAAACCTTTTTTGAAACTAACATAAATACTTTGTAACCCCATAATACAGTTAATGTAGTTATAAGTGGATTTTCTTCTTATCAATTAAATCTTTGAATTTGAAGAAACAGCAAAGCAAAGATTTTCTAGAAACAAATGAAAAGCTTTACATCAAGTGCCTTTGAATGACTGCAGCAAACAAGAAATGAAATAAATTTAATATTCTGTTACAAACCTAACATTGACTTTAAAACAATGTTCAAAACCTTGGACATCTTCTTCTTCAATTGACCCTTTCTGCCAAATTCCAGCATTGTTCACCTTCAAGGTACCGAAAAAACTGAAAGAATTTAGCTAATTGATCATTATTTGTTAATTTGTACCTCTTAGTGTCAAATGGTATATGTTGTTTCCAAAAGACTGAACACCATAAGAACAGGCTGTACACCCCAAGAACACCCTGAGAACAAGCCATAAAAGCCCCATTAAGCGGCTGAACACCTTTTAAAACATATCAAAATTGGCATATCATTCAAAAAATAATTTGATCGATCAATTAAAATTAATTTTGGGGCGGTAAAGGGCCTGATAAGTCTAATGCTGTTGGTGTTGCTACAACTAACTGGTCTTTTAGAAATGATGAATGGTGTAACACAAAAAGGTAGCCTACTTTCAATCTAGATTCTTTATACAACTGGAAAATTACATTGTTTTAGAATGGTTGCAAACACATAAAGATATTTTCTAAACATTTCACCCCTCTCATTTTGCATTGCCTTAAATTCAAATGTCAACTGCATATCAAATTATATCAATAAAATCTTAGGCCAAGAGGCAAGAATTGAGATCTTCAAATCAAGTATTTTTGTATTGGCATTTACAAATTTTCCCTTTTACATCGAAAATGAAATATATTAAATGCCTTTAGAAATGAACAATATATATTATCATTTTAAGTTTGAGAGAAAGTCCCTTACCAAGATATCTAGCTGCCCAAAGGTTTTAATGGTCTCTTCTACCAACTTCTCTGCATTTTTTGTTTCAGACAAATCTCCTTGCACGATTAGTGGCTGAAGCAATAATAGTTTAAATCTTAATGATAAAGTTTGGTTAACAAAAGGATATTTCTCACAAACATTACACCTTATCATAAAATAGAAAGCAATACTTCCTTTCCAAGAAACAAACATGTCAAATTAAATCATTTCTTTACATATAATTGAAAAGAGAATCTCTGATGAAGACACCGGCATACATTTGTTTTAAGTGGCAACAATATTCTTGATCTCATATGCAAGTGGTGTTTGGATGCAGTCTAAGGTAAGTGATCTACTGCTATCAGTAAAACAATAACAAATCGTGGTTACTATAACGGGAAATGAGTAGAAACAACTAGAAACAAGAAGAAACAAGTAGAAACAACTAGAAAACAAGTAAGAAACAACTTGGAAACAAGTAGAAACAAGTAGAAACGACTTGGAAAAATTTAAACTGCGGCACAATTTTATATATTTAGTGGAAATCCTGCATGATACTAGATGTTGATATGGTAATATTGTAAGAGGAATTAACCTATGAAAGCCCAATATGAAATGCCAGCATTGTAAGAGCAAATCTCACTGGCATTGGCATTAACATGGACCAACTACCGGGAAGGTCAAAATAAAGCAATTTTAATTCTCTGCTAATAATCAAGCCTTTTTCCCCCCTGAATTCAACTGCTTTAGGAACTTACTGAAACTTTATTCCAAGGGTTAGGCTCCCAACAAAAACATTGTTCAAGAAGTAGATTGTCAACCTATACAGCTTGTTCCTCTAGTATATTGGAGTTTGTTCTTTTAGTTTCTGTTGCTTTGCTAAAATTAGAGTTGTAGAAACATAAGTAAGCATTATTACTGGGTTTCTGTAACCTCATCTAAGACAACAGCTATTGCGGTGGAGAACGACATGACCGAACACTTAGGCCACTGCAACGAAGATGACAATGCCCACGTGGATGGATAAGCTTGCCTCGTTTTGGAAATCTAGTCTTTTCTACAAAGTCATAAACCGTTTCATGTTGTTTCCTTATCGTTTATTCTAGTTTGTATTCGTTTCTTGTTGTTTCCTGTTATAGTAAACGGGAATAACAAATACCTTAGAATCTGATAAACTATTTTCAAGGCAGGTGGTAGCAGTGTTTTCCAGTGCACCAACGTTCCTCCCACTCAAGACAAGCTTTGCTCCAAGCTTTGAAAATAGAACACTAGTTGCAAATCCTATACCAGAGCTTGCACCTGCAACACAAAAAGCAAATGACAGAATAAGATTAATAAATGAGATGTTTTCTTTAATACTTCACAGAAAGGATTGAAAATTGATAGCAAATTTATACTGCTCAGTGGATAGTAGGCAAGTTAAAGATCACATTAAGGTTACAATGAATGTTTCCTGGACAAAAGCATCCATTCTTCAATTTCTTCATATTCTACTTGGCGAAATTACAAGGCACACAATGATACCATGTTTGAAACCAACATAAATTTTTAAAATGGGAGAAATCCCATTTAAACGAAGGTTTCCATAATTTCTTTATCAAAGTTTTCAGTTGAGGTCTGAAAATCTCTTGACCTGTTAAGCTGATTATCCTTGCTTTGCAGATGTGGTAGCATTTCTCATATATAATAACTAGTTACAAGCCCATGGTATGTCCACGTATCCCATGTATGCTAGTGTTAATTTTAACAGGCTTATTGATCTTTAAGCTTCAAATTTCTTGACCCAGATTATACTTTGGTTTATGTCTGTACCTTTCACGTGCCATCAGTAAAATCCTGTTTTTTCCAGAATCACTATTCAATTCAATTTTGCATTCAAATTTTGTCTGAAATATCTTGCCTTGCCCCCTTGTGGTGCCACTGCATAGGGGCTTTTTCGAGGACTTATGGAAATGACAGGTTTGGAAAACAATCAAAGGTATCTGACATTTTAACTATTCCTGATACCTAAAAGTTTTATGACAATGAGAATGGGTTATATCTTTATACAAGAAGATACATCATGTTAAAGTTATATTACCAAAACATTTATTGGATACAAAAGTTCGCAACTGCACACCTGTTACAACTGCGACTTTGTTGATCAAATTTGACATCTTTTAAAAATTCCAATGGCAAAGATCTATCTCAAACACTGCAAATCATGTCTAAGGAGGAAAAATAGAGAACAAGCTAACATCTGTGACATAAAATGCAGGGGCTCTCAAGAGCACCAGGACAGAGTAGAATGTTGGGACATATGAAATAGAAATAGCTTTACAATGACACATACTACCAGGGATGCTGTTCTTAAAAGTTAGGAAGGGGGACAGTGCTGTAGACAGATTTAATAGGCCACACCCAGGGCTTTCGATTGGGGGCACGCGATAGCGCGCGAGCGTGCAGGCATGTGCCCGAGGTTACCTTTGAGAGGGATTAGTCACAAGCCTAGTGATAAATATTTCTCTTGAAGAGTATGATTACCAGATGCTGATAGGTCAATCCACTAAAGAAATTTTTTTAGAAACGGAAGTTTGACATCAAATCCTTGTTGTCGTCAAATCTACTCCGTTTTTGTATGTCTCTGCTTTCCGATCATTCAGTTTCCATCATTCTTGAGCCATTCCCATTGCTGACTTCTATAAATAATTGGCTTTTGTTGGCTATGCTTGGCTATTTTATACCTTTCTTATGCCAACATTGTAAATAAAGAGTTAATGGTAATAATAACAATGATAATAAATAATTGCTCCGGCCCACACAGTTTTAGCCAAAACGAAAACGAAGGTTTTCCCATTACTCTGTTTTGTCCTTTTTCATATCTTTTGTTCGAGCTCATCTTGAAACTGAAGATGAATGAATTCGTTTTTAATTGACTCCGTTTTTGATTCTCTCATTCAAAAAACTCGTTTTTTACTGCCTCCGTTCTCTAATGACTTCAATTTTGCTGTTCCATCTTCATCTTCAAACAACTCTGTTTTCAGTTGATAATGTTCGAAGATGAAACATCTCTATGTCACACAGTAACCTTCATGATTACTCCAGAGGGAAACATGAACATAACTATACAATGTGTAGCATTCAGTTCATTTATTATAAGGTTTGTCACGTTTAATGATTCAATAGAGCTATATCACAGCAAGAATTCCTTCCTATTTTTAAATGTCTTTAAACTGAAACTATATCTTTTGTTTATGAATCAATCAATAAGCTAACTCCAATGTATTTCCATAACTTATTTTCCCCTAATACATCTATTCACTGTCACGGCACAAGGCAATCAACATGTGGTGATCTCTTCCTTACTATGGCAAATACTTTACAGTATGGCTTGAAATCAACTCGATATATCAAATTATGGCAAAATTATGGAACAATCTACCTGTAGAAATAAGAACTACCTCTTTTAAATTCTTATTAAAAAAATATTTGAAAAATTATCTTCTAGAAACTATTTGAAAGTCAGTGGGCTTTGCAAAATTTCTTGTTTAGTCCATAAAGTAATTTAATTTACTTCAACGAGACATAATTAAAGATGAACATATAGATCACTGAAACAAAAAGGGGGCCTTCATCTCGTTAGTTAACCTACTTTGAAGGCTCCTCATTAAGAATTCTCCTTCATTTTGTCTTTTAAATATTGTCTTTTAAATAATGTTATTGTTGTTGTTGCGCTCTTTAGTTGATTTGTTTATAATTTATATAACAAACTAGCTTTTCGAAATGTAGTAGAATTTGAATTGAATCAAATCAAAATCAAATCAAATAGAAAAAACTTTATTGCTTTGTATTAAAAAATAAATTTGATTCTTGCGCCCCACTCTTATCACGAGAGTTTTTGGCCGCGTGCGTTGATTTCTGAACGTGAAAGCCCTGCACATGCATCGCAACACCATTAATAACTCACCAAATATATTTGCATTTATGTTAAAGACTCTCCTTTGTGGATATTGAATCATTCACAAACAGACTGAAAGGAAATTGCTCATTCATAAAAAATCTGAAGTAAATTAAAGGGCTGTCAACATAGAATTTATCCAACCAAATATAAACTAATTTGCTTAGGTAGGGCGAGTTTTTCAAGAAGTCAAAAGCTCTATGGACACAAGTTATGTTTTTGTATTGTAACATTAAGTTATGTTATTGTATAGTATTTTGTGTGTTGATTTCTATGGAACCAATTATATTTTCTAATTTAAAATTTGAATCCTGAACTGATAGCCATGGTTAAGCTATGGTATAACCATTGTGGAACATGCTACTTTGAGGGTATCAATGTGGTCATCTTCAATCATTTTCATCTAAAAAAGCAGATTAAAATGGGCAATAATTATATTTTCTTAAGTATGGTTATTGACTCAGCATGTAACAGCCTTACCACCCTGCACAGCCCTTGAAAGGTTTCACACATGAAAGGAATAAGTTTTTGTTGACAAGATTTAGTTTAAATATGATAGAAAGATTTCTGATCTCTACTCAGCCAGAGGCCAAAACTGAAAGTTGATTTTGGATTCTGTTTTTAAAAATTTACCCTTAGATTTAGAACACGCAGCCAAACTTCCAGTGGTTCTGCGTGTTACAAGTTGCCCATGTGTCAACAAGATTTTTCAAGCTTTAGTTTTGGATTTAATTGTTGAAATTCAACATGCTTGAACTCAAGGACCGAGATACAAGGGGGCCTAAGCCCCCAAAAAATCTTAGGTTGCATTAGTAAAAATCTTAAGTTGCATTAGTAAAATACGGGGTAAAATACTGTCATTTTGTAAAATATGGCTATTGTTACACGGATTTATCAGGGCTGGCCTCCCCAACAAAAAGTTGTACCTCGGTCTTTGCTTGAACTTACGATTATATCTGCATGGTAGTCGAGCCCACTTTCTCTTTGTTAAGTACAAACCAAATTGCAGATAATATCATCGGCTGTGGCGACAGAAGGTTGCGTGCAGACTGGATTGATTACTGTGGCAAACTGTTTGCAGCTGGGGCAGCAATGGATCAGCTAGCCACTTTCCCCTGCACCATACCGCATTTAGTTGAATTGAAAAGTTATTGTTCGGTCCCACGTGGCCTCTACTGGGAAGGGAAACACCTCCCAGAACTTTTTGCTACCGTGATATGATATTCAGCTATGAGAACAAATATGGGCATGGGCATCTTTCCAAACCGGGGGTTACGATCAATTTTGAATCACGTTCACTGCAGCCTAAACTGTATCCATACTTACTCTACAACGAAGTAACATGGCCTAACATTATTTTATTACAGTTAAGAAGTTTCTCAATGCAGTCTGATAGCAGATTTTATAAAATCTTAAATTGACACCCTTAGAAGGTGTGGGTAAAATATCTATCCATTGCCAAATCCAAGAGCTCAAATCCATTAACTTTGATTGCTTTGGGGGATTTTAAATTAAAACAATTTGCGTGTATTTTTACAGTTCCTGTCAGCAGGGCCACCGAGAGGGTGAACAAGGGGAGCAAATTGCACCAGGGCCTCAAGGTCTAGGGGCCTCACAATTTTCCTGAGTTCCATTTTGTGAATGGAATTAATCAAACATAGCAAAAAAATTGCAAAAATATGCCTTAAAATAATAAAGCGTTTTAAACGATTGCAAGAAATGCCCGGAAAAGGTATTCTGAAATGCATTTTAGGTTATCTGAAGGGTGTGGTCGCAAAAATTTTCTGCCGACTCTGCACGCAGGGGCCTCGCTTTTTGGCTTTGCCTCAGGGTCTCCAAAGCCTCAAGGCGGCCCTATTGTAGATTGCAAACACTGCAAACGTTACTGTTATTGCATAGTCATAATCATCGTCACAATTTTCGTCATGAATATCACCATCTATCGTATCTCCTGATATTCGGTTTCACTTAAAAATGTTACCAGAGCAGGGACCATATCCTTTCTCTGACATAACTTTCAGTTACCTTACAAGTCATTTTTTATAAGAAACTAAGGTAAAGGGCTGGTAGGAAGTGTATTAAATTTTTGGGCTATTTTGGCTACAAAAGTTTTTACGTGTTACTTGTACTGGGACCAAAATCAAGCAATGCTACTCCCTTAAGAAGTTCAAGTCAAAACAAGTTTTTAAACAGAAACTTTTTGAGTGGACGGTTTACATTTTATAATCTGTTTGCCAAGAGTCGTGTGTTCAGTGCACTGGTATTTAACGTCCAAACTGTTTTGAGGTTTTCAATTTGGAAAATAACAAAAGTTTTTCTGGCTTTTTGAATTTAGGTAAGGTTGGTTCTAGACTAGACTGTCAAAAAGTTGAGCCCATCGCTTTTTACTACCAGTTCGTTTTAAAAAATACGTGTTTTAGCCCTGAGACGGAGACTACGGCCCCCTAGATATCCTTCTCCTATGGCCTCGCTGAATGAAGATGCAAACATAAAACATGGGTTTCCTTTGCTTTTCTGATTGTGAGTTTTACCAAATTCTAATACATTAAAATTCTATATTTCTCAACCTATATGAAAAATTATAATTAACAAAACATTATGAAATCCTTTTTCGAAAAAAGATTCTATTAGACCTTAAAGCTGAAAAATAAATGAGTTGAATATTTGACTGTCTATAACAAGAGGCCCATGAGCCTGTCTTTCAAAGTTTTCTAATTTAGACTCATACCATCTAGCGTTAATCCCTGTGCAACAAAATGAAACAAATATTTATAATTTGTCAAATATTTTCTCATTTCTTTTTCCGTCCCTTTGTTTTTCCCCGTTTCCTGTTCATATTGCCTTGACTCGCCGCCTTCTTCTCCATTTCTTTTTGTTTTTTCAGCTCCATATCAAGAAACTTTTTTGGCGTCAAAGTATTATTTAATACCTGTCCAGAGCAGTTGTAGCAACTGAAATTTGAACCAACATCACAGCATCGGCAAATGAAGGAAGATTTGAATTCCGAAAACTTCTCTCGATACTTCTTATTACAATAAAAGATTGGATATGGCAGCGATATTGTTTTATCTAGCAAGTCTCGATTTGCAAACAACCACCCCTCAAGAAATTCAAAATCCCTCCAAACATTTTCTTCGCTATAATAGGGAGTCTTTCCCTGAAAATGCCGTGACAATGGTCGAAGTAAATACATTTTCATGGAATACTGTAAGCTTTATCGTCACTGTGTGTTGAAATCCTGGCAGGCAAATTCGCCATCTTTAGCTGTACACAGCAGTCAAACTTTTTAATACTTTAGCTAGGCCTAGGAATTGGATTTCTAGGAATCGGGGAAATCCCTCTGCTTAAAAGTAATGGGGATGTCCTGTGCAAGCAGGTGTCCGCTGACCAAACTTTCGGGAATACAAGAGTCTACGCCAGTTTGACAGAAAAAAAGTCTACAAGGATGTTGTTTCTACCAAAACAATTCTAGTTTGATCTTTCCGGTTTATTATTAATCTTTTGACTTTACAATAACTCAAACTGCATCATAGGCATCATTATATCAACTGGCAGCAATAAAACATAGGAGAACTTCATGTTTGCATATTCCATAGCTTATTTTATCTTCCTGAGAGAAAATGAGAGGGTCTTATCTAATTTCACAAATCCTGGTCTTCTATCAGTTATACCCATATATACTTACATAAGATAGTTTTACATATTTCAACATTAGCTTTCAATCTTTTGGTGCAATCTTTTAAAAAAAATGGAGAAAAAGTGTGTTTAAAAAAAGTTTGGAACTGGCAAAGTGCACTAAATTCTGGTATTCAATCAGGGGAGAGTATTTTCAACGTGCCAAGAATGGTTGTAGCCATTCTATGATACTGTTTATATTTTGATATTTTGTAAATGCATCCCAGTCATCAAGGACTGAATATAAGAAAATGCATTCGTTATGTAATAGAAGACCAAATTGCTGTGTAACAGAAGACCAAACTGCAAGAAAAACTTCTCAGCTTTTCATAATAAAGATTTTCATAAAGATTCGAAAATAACAGGACTTTGTTAAAGTATGATAGATACATTGAGATCTTTAAAAACATTTCTTTATAAGGCGAGAAAAGTGCTTACTTTAGAGGAAAAATAGCAAATGAAAGATGGTCGATATAGGGAGTAAAAAAGGTTGCAAAAACGTAATATTAGAGGCAAACTGGTTTTGAAAGAAGTAAATTCTTAGTCAAATGTAACAGTTCCTCTGAAGTATGGCAACGAAGTATGAATTGGGAAGTTAGGCAGAATGCTATCTAGAAAACTGCCGTGTATCGGAAATTGATTTAGGTTTAAAGTGCTTGGCCTTTTCAAATCGCTTTTTATTCTGGAATCCAAAACTAGTGCCTCCTCTCTTTTTAACTTTTTCTCCTTTGCTTGCATGAACCTTGAAGTTGACACTTGGAGGTACACTGAAACCGAAGGACAAAGCAACCTTTTGCAGATCCAATTTGTCAACATTGAATATATTCCGATGCTGGTGTGAGGCATAAGCATGGATGTAGGAACGATAGCCATCTTTCGCTGATTTGTTGAGGTAGTAATTTTTCGATATTAATTTTTCCAACTGAAAGAAAACAAGACTCTTCGATTATTTCTAGTGTTAAAATCTGAGAGCAAAGAAAAACTCGATTTTATAGATTTAACTTTCTTAAACGTAGAGTTTGAAAAAATTTAAACTAATGTTGCGTATTCCTACCGGAATTTCCTCCTTTAAAAAACAAAACAAACTACAAAATGCATATTAACAAAAAAGCTTTCTTTGCCAATCTCAAAAATTGAAACTAATGTTGTTTATTCTTACCGAAATCTCCTCCTTAAAAAAACAAAACAAACTACAAAATGTATATTAACAAAAGAGCTTTCTTTGCCAATCTCAAAAATTGAAACTAATGTTGTTTATTCTTACCGAAATCTCCTTCTTAAAAAAACAAAACAAACTACAAAATTTATATTAACAAAAGAGCTTTCTTTGCTGATCTCAAAAAGGTGTAAAGGGTTGTGAGAAGCTTGTTAGTTTAAAACTAGCCTAACATGTGTTGGCTTTCAAGATCCAGATCTTTTCTCGGCATCTGGAGCTTATGTAGTTTAATCCTAGCTAAATTTTTTTGTGATTATCTATAACATCTTACAATAGAGAAACAGAATGAATGTTCAATAATTGGTTCAATGACGACCAACAGTAGCATATAAAGTGACATCAGAGGATGAAATCCATTTTTGGGCGTAATACTTCCAGTATTAAGTGAATGACCAACTGGGGGGGGGGGCATAAAAACTATAATACAGATTCGAAAAGAATTGAAAGCAAGTTATGCATATATATCTTACCTGCGACTGAATATTAGCTATTTTGGCTTGAGAAAAATCATATTCGTTGAGGGTGACCTATAATGAGCAGGGTCACTTTTTAAATTGAATAAACGACGTAATATTTGCCGCAAGAACTCCTTGGAGCCCGTCGAGCAGCCTGCTACAGTGGCCTTTTCTTCATTCACACAACGTAATATTTGACGTTAAAAACTTACTGAAAACTTTAGACAATTCATAGCATTTTGGCAGCAAGAATGAGAATTGGGCCTATTATTTTACTTCTCAGGCCTTCTGGTTTGGCAATTGTGATAAACTTTTGATTCTTTTGTGAAAATTTGGTGGATTCGTGTCATGCAGAGAATTTGGTCCTCCAAAAGATGCATTTAAATACAAATCTCAACTGTCTCGGGTGGAAAATGTTATTTTTACTAATTTTCAACGTTATAACTTTCCATACCAAAAATATAGCAAGGATAGGAAAAGCAGCTTCATACCTGTTGTCAGATCATTTCGTTTTACACCTAAATTCTTTACCTTAATGATCTGCTTATCTAAAAACAATTCTTATACCCATCTATTATACAGTCAAGAGCACCATTCGAAAAATAAAATGTATTCGTCCTCGGAGTAATATCAATCATCTTTTGCCTTATTTTGTTATTAAAATGCTTTTTATCTAAGTCTTGAATCAAAGGACTATACCCTTGTATGCACAATAAAATTGGTCTAGGATGACCCATTTAATCCACAGGAAAAACTGCTAAAAATGAGAACCAATTTGCGATACTTTATAGAATCAATATCATGTACACTTACGTTCAAAAATTATTGGGACGAATTCGATAAACGAATTATGGCGTTCCGTTGGATTCGGTTTTGCAACGGAAACTTTTTCAGATTTGGGCAGTCTTTCTACAAATAATCTAGGCCTACGTTTCCCCAAAATGGAATAACAAGTTAAGAAAATGCTTCAACTTATGAAGCATAACCAAGAAAACAAAGGATTCTTTCGATTTTCCTGATTTTAACAACAAAATATGCAGAAGGGTTGTATGGCCTAACAATGGCAAAGTCACATGACCTTCCAAAAATTTTAGAGCTGTCCAAACAAATACAACTTTTTAATTTCACGTTTGCATAACAAAAAAAACTCATAAAAGAAATTATAAAATCAAACTTTTAAGCTTCAAAAAAAGTTTACTTCATCGACGAAAATGCTACAATTTTATTAAATTATTGCATTTATTCAAGCTACTTTTAAAATTGCGTAACATTCAAGGAGAAGTCATTGAACTCATCGTCGATGATTAATTTTAACTTTGAGAGAGCATTTGCTTTTCTTATAACGCTGGGAAATTTGTATTTTTCATAACTTTATAGCCATGTTTTTGCTTATGTTCCATTATTTAGCTTCTTTTTACATGACAACACGATGTCTGGTAAGGATTCAAACCTATTACTTCGCAGTTCCCTCAGTAAAGAACTGTCGTCCCTCGGCGTCGTAAACTTCTTCGGTCTGCCAACCCTTGGTAAATTTTTTACTGTTCTTGTACCGAAAAACTTTTTACACACCAGAAAAGCTGCACTCAATGAGCAGCCGACAATTGATGCAATATCGTGAAATCCATTTGCTTTATTTTAGTAGAAAGCAATTTGTATACGCTTCTCTTAACTCAGTTCTTGAGTTTTCAGAGCTTCCATGTTTTCGTCTCGAGACCTATAGAAATTTTATGGTCGATGATTTTTTAATTTTTTGGCGTACATAAAAGGCTTCAAAATATCAACAATGTCTTGTGAAAATTTCATGGAAATAGCTGCCGTACTTTTTTAATGAGAAGGATTTTAAAAAAGTCTTTCCAAATTTGTTGCATAAAATGTCTTTGAAGTTTCGAAGTGTGTCCCAATACTTTTTGAACGTATAAACTTGCATAAGTAAATCAGTTCTCTTGGCAATAGCAACAACATTTTTCACATAACTGGCATTATTAGTACACAAAAATGTGGAAGGAAATCTAGGCCTTTGTTGAAATTGACTGTTATCAAAAGACTACCTTTTTACGTACCTTTGCGTGTTTTAAATATCGTAAGAAACCAAGTTCCTCTGGTAGCAAGAACAGCAGCCCGCGGCCTTTTCCTTCAACCCCACGTGCTGTCCTACCGACTCGATGGATGTATTCCTTTGGGGAGATAATATATTACAATGTACTGATGAATACAATATAACAATATACTGATAAGGAGCCTAGGATGAATCTATTTGGCTTAAATGGTGACTATGTAATTTAAGGTTATCATAAAGAAAATTTTAAAAGGTTATCGTAAAGTAAAAAATGCTAAATTTGTCGGATTCAAAATTTACAATGTAAAAATTTCATACACTTGAGGAATAGGCTTAAAACGACAATGTTCATTGATCTTGTCTTTGCTGTTATTAATGCTAATTGTTATTTTTTTATGTTTTTTAAATATAAACAAATACATTATACGGAATGAAGGACAAAACACGATTTTAGAATTCACCAAGTTAAACTAATGTAAAAGAAGATTAACTGGATTGACTCGAGAGTGATTTTAACTTACTAGAGTGATAAAACACCTTGTTATATGTTTGATGCAGCATGGCAATCACCCTCAATGCTTAACAGTGCTAAACTTCCTAATGTTTACCCCTAGCTGCCTCAAAGATTTTTCATCTAGTTCCCATGCAAAACTCGAAAAACGAAAATAGATCAAAACTACAAATTCAAAACTTTCATCCCATAGCACCTTAAAACCATCGAGAAATGAACGTCTACAATCTCCATTAAGTGATGAAAACCTACCTTTGGATCATCAGGCGGGTCATACTGGACAATCCAATCCACTTCCGGAATATCAAGGCCTCTAGCTGCCACGTCTGTACAAAGTAAAATCCCAGAATCTGCTGTGCAGAATTCAAAGAAAGTACTTGTTCTTTTTTGTTGTTTTTGCTTTCCCTGCAAATGGTATATGATTGTGGAAATCTTACAAATAGAGAATACGTAAACAAAATTTGCCTAGCTGGTTAATTTTATTACCTAAATAGTACCGAGGTCGTCAGTGACCTGAAGGTTCATTGTGCAAATGGACACATTTGCATAACTAATGGTTTCAGCAAAAATAACATCAGCAGAGATAACTGGTTTACCTTATAACGAAAAATATCAACTGAAAATGTCCAGAACATGCAAATCGGTCCCAAAATTATAACGGCTATTTCCCATTTGAAGGGATCTCGGTTTAAGAGACAAATAGACTTTGTTGATAACAATTGAATGTTTCTTAATTTTTTGCATATTCATTCCTAGTTGTAACTGCACAACAAAGAAAAACTGGTTTGCAAAGAAAAACCATTTTGTTTATGTTTAATATGAAATGACTATCTGATACAGGGCGTTTTAAAAAAAACTGTAGGGCATTTTTCAGCTATCGTCTTTCCAAGTTTGCTCACCAGGATTGAACTGTCTTGAGAGGCAAGCTTTGTTTGAGCTTTCAACAAAGGGATATGAACTCGCAATAACCGTACCGATTCTTCCTGTCCCTACCTCCAGGTGTTCATTTATATTCACACACATAAGTGATATATACCATATAAGCATCACCAAAAATGTTATAATGGAAAGTCTGTTATAAAAAGCAGCTACATGTCTAAAGAAAAACTTTACTGTACTAATGAAAAACAGCGAGCAGACTCACGTGGATATCAAGAACGGGGATGTCGATATAGTTCAGAAGCTCTGCATGGTACTTTACAGAATTACACGACGAGAAAAAAACCATCACTTTTTTCTTTGAATTTCGCTTCAGAAAAGTGAACAGAAGCAGGAATCTCTTTTCAGAAGGCACGACGATGTAGCCCTAAATGAAAAAGATACAACAGCAAATTCAGTAAAAAAATTTGGCTTTTAAGTAACATAAAGAGGAAGGTTGCATATGAATTTCTCGATATGAATTTTCAGCTTACTTTCGGTCATAATCCGATGTTTACACTCTGAAGAATGTCGGATGAAAAGTACTTCAGTAAGATATATTTCTGCTCTTCTGTGCTATCTTCAAATTTTGCGGTATAAAAAACTAATTTGAAGACGTTTGGGTATCAACGTATGCATAACATTGCTCTGATGCGTAAAATAATTGTTCTTATTATAGAAAAGCCAATTTGGAGACTTCCAATACTGTTCAGGCATCTTCAAAATTGTTTCTCTTTCAATACACACCGCATGGTGACAATTTCAATTAAAACATGGAAAACAGAAGTTGTAAACTTCTTCAGATAAAAACGTCCCTATTAACCTTGATAATTTACCTGCTAGCTCTAAGACTATTTATAAAGAACAATAACAAAGTAAGATATACAGGAACAAAGCAATACGACGACGAGAATCCAATGGCACGAGATAAAATATTTAAAATAAATTAAATTTAAGGAATATACTAGTACAGGAACAAAGCAATACAACGACGAAAATCCAATGGCACGAGATAAAATATTAAAAATAAAATAAATTTAAGGAATATACTAGTATATTTCTAAGAAATTTACTCCCAAAATCTTACTTCAGAATACAATGAGTCAACAAGGCCTACCTGCTCTAAACCCTCTACAGTAGCAGAATCTTTATGATCATCCACACCAACATATAATGGTGCTTTCTTCAATGATAATCTCGCAAGGTCTTCAACTTTGCGAGTTTGCGTTGCAGAGAACAACATTGTTTGTCGCTTCTCTAAAAAAGAGTGTAAAAAATTCTTAAGAATAACGATTTATAAATTTTAGGAGTAGACATTTTCGTGTCTGTATAGAGTGGAAGAGTATGCATCTGAATAGCTGGTTAAGACCTAGAATACTAAGAATTGTGGAATGGGGTTCGTCCAAAACCCCCGCCTAAAGAATGGGGTTCGCGCTTGAGTTGAGTAAAGATAGGGATGTTTGAGATAAGGGTTTGTTAAAAGAACCGAACGGTCTGATAAAATTATTTGATGCAGAAAAAACAAGCTCTATCGCAAAAATATGGACAGTTTGCATTGTAAAAAGAAATAAAATCTCAATCTCATCGCTAGAAATACTTAGTAGAGTCAAATCGTATATTGCTGTTTGTTTGTTTCACGGTCTCAGATTTGTTAATTTCGCCTAAAAAGGGCGTGGCACTTAGAGATGGGTACGTGCGATCATTAAAAGGTCATTATTATTATTCAATATCAGAGAATAACAACTTTGTTCAAATTAGCAGATATTTTCATAATATTATTGCAAACACCGTAGCAATAACAACATATTTATCCTAAAAACATTTGTCACAAGCAAAGCTAATTTGACCTAGGGTTCCAATACAACAAGCCTGCACAACATGCAAGCGATTTTAGAATTAACACTTTTGATCTAGCAAGTAACGTACTTTCACAGCATATCACTTACTTGGTAACAGTCGGACAATTTGCTTCATTTCTTCCTCGAATCCGATTTGCAATATCCTGTCTGCTTCATCTATTATCAAGCACTGGAGATTTTTCACAATGAACCCCGAGGTGTTCTGAAGAAATAAAGAATTTGATCATGAACACGATGGGATCATGAACGTATTTGATCATGAATTTCTCTTCAACAGCTGTGACTGAAGTTAATCAAGCAATAAATTTTAACATATCAAAATATTCTAAACAAATTTTATATTGATTCTACTATTTATGTCCATGAAATGATAATTATCACAACGATGTGTTTGGTTGACAATTTCTTGGTGTTTACCTTCGTTATAATCAAGATGTTGATAAATCATAATTCCAAAAATCAAAAGGTAGCAACGTTTTAGTAAGTGGTTTAACTGCACATAAGGGAATCAGTTTTCTATTTCTCCAATTTTAAATAAAAAGGACAAATTCCAAGGTATATAATTGGTAAAAGAAAATAAACAAAACTCACTTGCAGATGGTCTAGCAGCCTTCCAGGTGTAGCTACTAAAATATTAACCCCTTTTTGGAGCCTTTCAGCCTCTGCTTTTCTGTTTGCCCCACCCATAACAATACCAAAAGTGTGTTGGTGGTGTACCAGGAGATCTCTCAAAACCCCAAAAGTCTGAAGTGATAATTCTCTTGTTGGAGATATGATTATTACACCAGTTCCTAAAAAAAAAAAATTAATAGAACATAACCCTTTGCATAAAGCCATATGAAGCCTAAACATACAAATGTAAAATATATGGATATCAAGACAGCTTAAGTTATTAAAATGTACAAAACTTAGTTAAAAAAACTTTATTCACATAATAATATGCTATGGCTTTGCATATATCTCATTGTCCAGGGCATGTCCAGGGCCCTACCCTACTTCCCTGCTTGACGAGAGTTCTAAGATCAGGATCTACTACTTACCACATATCATTTAAAAAAGAGCTCTGCAATTGTTAGAAAGGAAAACCAAATCCCAAATAGCAATGAACCTCAATGAATATCAAGACCTACTATTAACACTTCCATTCACTTTACTGTATAGCTTAATACATGCTAAGCGCTGTTAAAAAGTACACAACCTTTCACTTGACTACAACCATATTTTCATAACTGGAACGTTTTTGAAAATTTCACTTGCCCCATATGGGTTGGATAAGTTGCATCCCAACAATAGTTTCCTTATTTTCCCGTTTACAAAAAGAAAATACCAGACCTTTTTTAATCTCAAAATTTGAGTTTATCAGCAATGAAACATGAAATAGAAGGGTGTTTCAACAGTTAGCAAAGTTATTTTACAAATCAGAGGGGGGGGGGGGAAATTGCCTGTTCTATTCACCAAAGGCATGTACAGCTCTGCCGATAAACAGTGATTCTAATAAAAAAATATGAAAGATAATCAAAGGTTAATGATAATCTTTAAACCTACCATTTCTTGGTTTGAAGTTCAATTTGTAAAGGAGCTCAACGGCAGGCAATAAGAATGCTAAGGTTTTCCCACTCCCTGTCTTTGCAGCTCCAAGTAGATCCCTATTGTATAAAAATAATAAAAAATAACTTGCATTTGTAAGCTGTACCTCTATCCATTTTGAAAAGTTGCCAAGAAAGAAGGGCTTCCAATAGGATATTTGATATAAGCAGTGACATTTTGTTTTTCTTTCTTTCATTGATGGCAGCAAGGAAAACACAAACAATGTTTGCATAATATTCAAAAATAGTTACCATCTCTTATTTGCCGACAAATCTGGAAATTTTTCAATGAAGCACCCCCACATGGTAAAACACTCTTCATTAATACATTGAAATTATCTTCCAAGGGAGTGTCACATTCTCCCAACCCCCAACCCTCATAGCCAAGGCCCTGCAGTTAAGCCCCCATAGAAAGAACTACATTTGGATCATTGTAATAGTCTGTTATAGAGAGATGTCTGTTGTAAAGAGGTGTTTGTTGATGGAGGCTCTACAGTATAACCTTAATGTATAGCAGAATATACCATAAGTAAAGAGTTAAGAAAAAGGGCTTTGACAGAAAACAAAGTTTTTTTCAGTTATTCCCTATTAAAATACTACTGGAGATTCTGACTTCCACATACCTTATAAATAAATGGAAACATAATTGCCCTAATGGTAACAATATACTAAGATTCCATGGCACCCTTACACTAAAAAAATTTGGGTTTTTATTGGTGTAACTTAGCTTCCTTTAGGGCTCCATGTAAAAAGTCTAGCAAAATAGTTATAACAATAAATATCTGTGGTCTTGCCGAGTACATGATATCTGTATTGTACAAAAGATAAGATAGGTGACTAGAAGGTTCACAATGCATAATATCTGTGCACTGAATGATATCCCTAACATATGGTTGCATCTATAGAAAACAACAAAAAATAACCATTTACCTCCCAGCTAGTAAAGGCATTACTGTTTTATATTGGATTTCAGTCATTTTAGTAAATTCCATTTCTCTGATTGCTTGTAAAGACTTTTCAGAAACAAGGTCTTTTAAAGACTGAAACTCTTGGCTTGGTGGTAAAGTTGATTCTACAAAGAATAAACATTTTTCAATCAAATTCAAAACTTTTAATAATGTAACAAATAAAAGAAAATGGAACCAGCCTTGTACATTTGTTATTTGCTAAGTGACTACTAAATAAATCATTTAGTAAAGTTAACTTTTTTCAACCAAAAAGGTCTTAATTTAAAACACTAAAGATAATATTCTAATTCATATTATTTAAATAAAATTACACTTATACAAGACTGATTGTTCTTTGATAATTAATTAAGGCCAGTGATTTGAAAGAAATCTTCACATTTGATAATTAAGACATAGAGATACAAAGAAAAATGCAAAACGGAAATTATAAAGCTAAATAAACTATATATTATGGGTAAATCAGAATTAACAAACTTTTTTACCATTTGATATAGTGCTAGTTTCTGTGTTGTCCTTTTTATCTTCTGTTTCAGAGCTCTGATTTTCATCACTATCTTCATTCTCCTCTTGAGCATCAATTGTGCAACTTGATTCTGCCTTTGCCTTCTTTGAGTCTGAAAATTTACCAGAGGATTTTGAAGCCCAAAAGGGTATCTAAAAATCATTCTCCATCAATTCTCTTTCTTTATCATCAACATATATCTAAATTAATGGATCTCTTGACAAAAACAATAGACTTCACTAAAGAAAGAAATTTTGTCTCCAAAATGTGTCAACTTGCACTATTAGATATTTCACTCTTGGATATAAACCCTACATAAAAAATTCCTTGTTCAGAACTGGAAGTTTGCTACAAGTTCAATGGAATTAAACAATGGTTACAGCAAACAACATGTTTGAAAAGGATTTTGGGAGTTTAGTTATACATTGTGGAATAACTCTACAGAAATATTAAGTTAAATATCAGGCATTTTTTTCCCATGGAGGATTGCTATCACCCTCACCAATGTCCTTTGCTAAATAATTAACAAGGGGTATCCACCTCCTCACAAAACATGTCTCCCTTCAAAAGACAGTAAGTTCCAGGGTGTATTGCAGTGTTCTTGGATGAAAAGTTGCAATGAAAAAAATCATTATTGTTTCATTATTCACTTTATACATCAAAACATCAATCAGTTTGTTTACAAATTGTCAGTTATTACACATTCAGAAAACCAAAAATTAGGCAGTAGTGGGCAGATGAAACGCTAATACCCTTTAAGGCCATACAGAATTTATATCAATAATAATTGTTGGACAGGCTACGGCAAATGTAAGCTTCTCTACACAGGCAGTTTAACACCCAAGGGTTGGGTAAATTCACAAGATTGCGTAAACTTCTTCCAAAAAAGGCCTTGTTAAATATGCTTCAGATTAGGTAAGGTATGACTATTGAACGAGCTATGATTACATTAGTTCAGCTCAATTTATGAGTTTAGAAGCAATACAAAATTACAATGATTTGATAGGGAATATGAAAGACTACATCTCATCAAATATTGGTAAAACCTAACTTTTTATATAATACAGGTTTACTTTTCATTATGTTTTGCAGATTATGGATGCAGATACTTTGGTTATTGAGATTAAAACTTTGGAGAACCCAGCCAAAAACCCATCAAAATGCAACCTTGAACTAGTAGTGGTGGCTAGTAGTGGGCCTTAAGCGTTTCCTGTCTTTATCAAGTTCAACTAACTTTATTACAATAAAACAATCAACTATATCAGCGTGGATGCTCGTCTCTTTATTTTTTCATGCAAGAACTTATTCATTCAGCTATGTACTCCATTCTGTTCTGTCAAGAGACATTTAGTTGTCTGAGGAGTGTAAAAAATTAGGGTTTATGCTGCTGCTTTTCTTTTGGTTAAGAGGCAACAAAAATTCATACCTGTGTTCTCTATGGCATCTTTGATGTCCACATCTCGAGTTCTTTTTTGCATTTGATTCTTTCCTGCACTTTCTGAAGCAGTGTTCTCAACTAGAAAAAAAAATAAAAAGGAAATGAATTTCTTTGTCCATTGATCGAAGAAAACTTGTGTACAGGCTGAGTGGAAGGAATAACTGGTCGACAAACCAGGCTGGGCATCGGTAATTGATGTAATATTTCTTATGAGAAAACTTCCTGATCACAAAATTTAAAAAAAACCGATGCCTTCGTACCGATGTTTTCTTTTTCCCCAGGAGTAACGTCGTTCGAAAAACTGTCTTCTTCTTCGGCAACGTTTCCGTTTTCACCATCTCTGCTTATCCTTTTTGTCTTTTTTAACTCTTTCTTTTTTTCTTTGAGCTTCTGCTTTCTTACAGTTTGAAGTCTTTTTAACTTTTTGAGGTGTCTTTTGTGGGGATCCATACTTTAAACAAGTAAATTTGCTTCGAAACCTCGGTCGTCGTAGGCCGGTAGCACGTTTTTCTTTAAAATGTTGTTGTTGTGATCACAGTTACGCTGTTCCGCGCTTGTTAATTCTCCCGCGTTTACCCGGGTTTAGAGCCGTTCGGATAGAATGGCAACGCAGTGTGATTGATAATTTTTATATCCAGACTGTCAATTTTCTGTCTTTAAGTCTCTTATTTGGTTGATTTTTAAATATATTGTTCGTGTCAAATGAGCATCCCCTAAAGAAGAATCATTTTTGGAAAACACGGAACAAAATTTTTGCATAATTCACTTCAGAACAGTTGCTTGGTGATCATATTTAGCACTGAAATTGGGGTTGCACCCTTTACGATATCAAACACTTTATAACAGACCGGTAAAGAGTAATTTTCATTACTCTTTTAATATATTTCCAACAGGAAAGGAAAATCAATTGACGGTTCAGGGGTCACATACCTTCTGTCATTGAAAAATGCATTGAAAGTTGCCTTTCGAGTTTCGACCAGCTGTGCAACAACATAATATCAGGGCTAGAGCAATTCCTAGGGGTCTAAAATTGAAGTTAATGAAAAACAGCCTTCTTTTTGGATTTTTGAGGTATGTCTTCTAGTTGTTCCACATATTTTCTTTAGCTTGGTTCAGTATCAAAAATCCGGCTCGGTGGACTACTTTATAGCAAATATGGTATAAAGATATATAACTTCTATTTTCGGAAATCTTTATGTTATCCTTACACTGGTAAGACCGTATTTCCTATCGTGCTGTTTACGCTCTTCCTACACTTGTCTGCGTCTAATCTACATGCCATGTTACAACATACAAAAGCGCTGTCAAAAGTATATCAAATTTAATGACGCGTCCATTTCGCAACACAACCGAGATTAAACTAAATTTTGAATACGTTAAGTCCAAATTCCATAACACCTCTTGTAAAAATTATATATTATTTAGAGCATTGTATAGTTTTTTTAAATACTTTCCTTACAACATTAAGCAACATCTTTCCTGAAAAAATTGTTTAGAAATTTAGAAATAAATTACGTAACAGCAATAATCGTAATTTTAAAAAATAGCTTGCAACAAAAATAACCTTCATCAAAACAATTAGATGCTTGCATGTAAAAATGCTTAAGTATAAAAGCCTAAACGTCTGTTATTTAAAAATATTTCTGGCTTTTCTACTGATATAATAAGGATATAATATTGCTTGTTTTATAAGATATCTTTGAGATATCTTTGAATTAGACCCTCAGAACTTGCTGTTTTGTGCAAAAAATCTCTTCAAAGTTTAAAAAACCCCGGAGGTTTCAGATTGGTCTACAATCCAATTGTTTTCGGGTCAAATACTGATTTCAAAAAAGTAATCTTTGATTTCAAAGGAACCTTTTAATTCAACACTGGTTGCATATAATTGATAGATTTTTCTCCATTTTACAGTGATGTCTTCGATACATTAGCATCAAAGCGGATGTTATCCTTAATTTTTTTAGGGGGGGGGGCTAGTTCGCAATTCGGAATCTGCTTAATTTCATATTTTGGAATCTACTTTACATTCATTGTCAGGCAAACTCCTACCTGCATTGGTTGCCATGGGACTTGGCCTCGTTCTCGGTGGCCCTTGCTGTGTCTTTCCAAATGCATAGAGTTACACCCAGTTAACTCGAGTCAGTCTTTTGTCAATGCTGGGTATTTGCTTGTCAATGAGCAAATCACCAAACAAGTCTTCAACTTCGTCAACGCTAAAACTCCTGTTATCTTAAGAGACTACTGAATTTTTTCTGCACTAATTTTGTATCAAGTTTGCTCAGTCAAAAATGCAAAGATACTTGTAATGCAAATGTAATGCATCGATAACAGTGCATTGCCACTAACGGAAAACACTCTTTTAAAATTGTCGCGGCAATGCAAGAGCAAAGAATTTTCCGTTTAGCTCTTAAACAGCCATCTCTTTAGTTGTTGAGTTGCAAAGATTGTTAACTATAGTCTGAGAACAAAAAACCTTTTACATAGAAAAACGAAATCTAGAATAGAAAAAAAACGAAAAATGCAACTTCTTGAACATCCTTATTTGATTTAACCATAAAGTCAAAAGTATGAATTCATTATTTTATACATTGGTATATAATTCTTGAGTTTCCATTATTTGCGTCATTTTATCGTGATAATGATCAAAATCAACCTTAGCATTAAATTACTTCTGAAATATATACAAATACACATCATATCAATAAGTGCCAGAGTCTCCATTATTTCGTCTCAGAAAAACCATTTTGAGTACCCTTTCTTTGCCACCGCAGCCGTCTATAATACTTTATCCCCGGATTCATAAAGCTCTGGCACCCAGGGTATCAGAATCAGTACCTCATTATATATATCTCAGAAATTGCAGACACATTACTAAAGTCCATATGATCCCTGTCCCTTGAAGAAGACAACTAGCTGGTTGATAATTATGAAAAATCAACTGTTCCAAGAGAATTCAAGATTTTTTTAGAATTAGGTTCAATCTTGGGTTCAGTAATGAATGCCCTCTTACTCGGTCTATTTTCGCTAGATATTCATCAAACATTAATAATGCCAAAAAGAGAAAGATTTTTTTGGTAATAACTGCACCTTTCGCTTCAGATATGCACAGAAATGAGAAAGAGATTGCAAGCAAGAATATGCAATGCAATTGATATCTGATGAAAACTGATTATAAAATCTGACCGTGCAACAGGGCCTAAAACCAATGATACCTATAAATCCTCAAGATCGTACCCTTAAAACAATCTGAAAAACAACTAAGGCGAAAGGAATGTAAATCGAAAGATAATCTACGATAAAAATACACCCTGAGCTCTTAATGACAGAGGAGTGCTCAAGTATAAGCCTGTTTCCAGTCTCAAAAACAAGGGGTGTGCGTAGCTTTATATATTGCACGATTGCCTCTGTTTCTCTAGTAGCACCTGGAGTGTGACCCAGTCTCTTGGTCCGGAGAATTTCGTAGCCAGCAGCACCAGAGGCCATGTATGACGAGATGATAACCTGGGGGAATCAACTTGCATCCATGAGCTTGATCAGGTTGATGAAAAAATATCAATCATACCTTATCAACAAAAAAGAAACGGAATTGAATTAACGCAGCGAGGCTCCGCCACATGTTTAGACTAAAATTTGCACGTAATAGTTGGACATTGGAATTGGCGATTCTCTTGATGGAGTGGCCTAAAACATGACCTTTTGAGACCTGCAGCATTCTACGTGAAAACCAGACTTTCTGTCCTTTGTTATTAGATTACCAGTATTGCTTAGTCCTTCAGAAACGTTAGTCCACAATAAGGTTTCTCCGTAGCATTGAGACAGCCATGCCTCTGGGAAGATCATATTTGTCAATCAAATTGCTTTATTGCACAGGTGTGATGGTAGTAATGCTATCTGGTTTCAAAGCACATTTCAATTCTAAGGTTTTATCAAAGCATATTTTTTTATATTGGTTTTAGAGGTACAATTGTATCTCGAACTCGGTAGATTACAAAGACAGTTAAACAGGATCTGCCATAAAAGAGCTAAAATATTGAACCCAAAAAATAGTTCTTTAGACTGGTGGAAGTTTATGCCAATGACTATATCCTTGCCCTTCACACTATGCCTCTCTTTTAGTAACTGCTGGTAACACTAACACGTGTCTTTCTATGGCCTGATCATACATTTACAAAGTTACAGTAGTTTACCCGATAGAATTTTCCAAGAATTTCTATATTATGTCAATCAACCTGAATTGGCAGGTAGTCGAATGCTACAAGGGTGTCCAAATGAGATTCTATTTCTAAAAAGCTGGAAAATTATTTCAACTAATCGGCAATTAACAATGATAACCCTAGGGTCTTACCTTGTAAATTTTAGTTTTATTTAGTTTGGTGTAGACTGGTATCGGGCAATCGGCGCAGCGGACGTCGACATCAATAACTCTGTTGTTGGCATTCTTATTTGTATCCATGGTAACTCGGAGCCCTGTGAATGAGAAACGTGGATGTTGAAAAATGTGCTATTGAACGTAACTTCATGCAAAAAAGCAAAGTAAACATACTTCTTTAAAACATTACAGAAATAAAGATGCAATAGAGAGAATAATTCAAACCAAGAGAGTATAAAACAAATTGAACTAAATTATTTCAGATACTGTATAAATTCATATATTCATTATATAGATTGTATCATCCCTCGTAGATTTGTGTTGTTCCTAGTTACAAATTATTAGTATTTTCATCGCTAGGTTTGGCTACTTTTAGCAAATATAATAAACATATTTCACAATTTTGTATATGTTAGATATATTGGAGCCCATTATAATAACAGGCAAAACCCCCTAAAAAAGATATAACTATCTGCCCATTACGGAATACATTTGAATTATTTGCTTACCAGAAACCTGAAGAAAGAAGCCACTTGGGCTTTTCTCGTTGTAAAATAAAGCTGATTTCTCAAGAACCTCGTGTAAAACTGCTCCACTCAAATCAACTATATCAATTTTATTATTGTACGGAAATGCGTTGAGAATATCCTCATACATGATATATCCTGAAAAACAAACTCAAGACTTTAAGTTATAGACAAAGGGGAGATGGAAGAGGGAGGGGGCGTTGAAAGGGTGATGACCATACTTGTCTATTTCGAAGCGACGAATGTTGAAAGTTGGGAGGTGATATGATCAGTGATATAACCAAAACTTAGCAGGAATTTGAAGATACATCCTTATGCAAGAGCTATCTATTTCGATCCATTACTGGGTACATATAAATTTCTTATCGAAGACTTGTTCTGACATTCTATACTCTAATGAGTGTCAAACGAAGTGCTTTCTCCAAATCCATTTTTTAACTTTGTACCGCTAAAAAAACTTTCTTTCGTAATCATAATCAGGACTTAGCGTGTTAAAATCGCAATCAACTAAATTTGAAATATCAGTGTAAATGTTTTTAACAAATTCCCAAATGCAACAGTTAATGGTAGATCCCCATCGACGCAGATAAATTTTGGTAGTCTGTAGCCAGTGGGGGACAAATTGTAGTCAAAAGTTTCATTTGGGGGCACAGTCCCCCGTGACCCCCTGCATCCTAAAATGTGTACAATCAAGAACGTGGGGACAGTGTGAATATCGCCTTCGTGCTCCTGGTAAAATCTGCAGTAAACCTACAATATTACCCACATTCAAGCTCTTCATGGGTTCACACTGCCAAAATATTTATTAATCATAATTACTTTTATCTTATTTTACTTTCTCTTACTTGATTTTACTAACATATTAATTTTTTGTACGTAATGCCTATTTATAGGTTAATGTGCAGTTAGAAATAGATAGATAGATAGCTACGTGGCTGATAACAGAGGTGTAGTGCTACCAAAATAACAAGGGGGCCTCTTGCACAAAATGTTACGAAAAAAACAATAGTAGATGTTTGCTAATTATACCTCTGGCTGATACATGGTCAAGCAGCAGGTAAATTTATATTCACATGTGTTTCTAGCAAACAAACCTGTTTTATTAACCTCAATCGATGCCATTATACTATTGGCTGTCCACAATGCAATAGCTGCTCCTGTCCATGATTTTTCCAGCTTGGTCCTTGATGCAACATCAAAAATAGCGGCATCTGTAACAAGATTCCCTAGAATACATTCGCCAATCCGACAGGATCTTCTCTTTCCATCAAGAAAAACCAAACTTTGTCCGATCTTTACCTTAAAATCAATAAACAGCGCGTGTGACTTTTCTCCATGCTTCGTTTTTCTGGTTAAAGATATCCGGGATCTTAGGTTTAAGATTTCAAGTGTTTTCCTTTGTTAAGCAAAATTGCTGGTCAGCAATAAGATGTTTTCCCAAAGACAATTATTAAAGGAACCACGTAGCAATTTAGGGTGATGAAACTACTAATTTTTTCTATCGATGCTAAAAACTCCAGATTTGAAGAGTAAGATCAAGCGATGACTGGTAAAATAACCAATTTTGATAACCAATCCTTACCTTGCCAACTTTATCAACTAGACTTTTCATCCTTGCTATGTCCGAAAGCACATCTGCATCAGGAACTATTTTTTGGTCCAACAAAACTGGATTCCCAGTCCACCTTTTTACGTCACCAACGGAGTCAAAAGTGACATTGAGACGACCAAGGTATTTAGTGTACGCAAAAGCTTGTACCACCAAGCATTTCTTGCCATTTCTTTTTGTTACCACAATTGGATATGGTCCAGCAGGCACATCATTGGATGGAGGGGGGCCTAAAAAGGCACAATTTTTTATATCAAAAATACCTTGTAAATATCAAAGCCAGGGCGGTTTTAAAACTTGCCAGTTCTTGTTATTTTAAATGCTGGAGATTTTAACTGTTTCCCCATGTTCCCATAGCTGTTTCTATTGGTCTTTCATCCCTAAATGCTGAAGACTCCCATCTAATCAATTTGGAAAAGATCGTTTTAGATGACATGTGCTTCAAGCTGAACCAAAATATACGCATTCCAAAACATTTTCTAGACATTTTATCCATGAGATTGCTAGTGTAAAAGGAACTCGTGCTTCAGCATTGCAATTATTACCCGTGACAAACCGATTTCAATATTTCGATGTAGTCCGTACATCCTACTTCACAAATATATTTTTCCAATTTCTAGACAATCTTCAATTGAAGCTGTAAAACGAAAAAGACCAAAAAGGAGAAACAAATCTGCTCAATGCCAAAAACAGAGCCCTAAAAGCTTGACCGATAGGTTATGAAGAAAGAAGGGATTTAAGCATAATGTCCGATCCCTGCCTTGTTTTCTGTGTGCCAGAAAGGCTTATAGAGCATAAATTGGATCTTTCAGAGATGGGGTGAGCACTTTCCTGTATATTGAGAAAATTAGACTTTCTGGAGCGTGAAGGGTTATTTGAATTTGTTTTCTCTCTTTTTATGCACTTTGTTCTAAGTTCATACCTCTTAAGTTGGCACGTCCAGACAATTTGGAAAGCAAGATGTGTAAATCTAGTTGAAAGAAATGAATACACAAGAAGCCTGTCGTTTATCGTATTTGTATGGCAAAAGAGAGTCCGTGAGGTGCTTGTCAACTTTCTTTCAAAATATCTCACAAGCTGCTCTTCAAATTCCGCTCTGGACCAAGCAGTCTGTCATCTACTTCATGAGATTGCTCTAGACAGTGCCGTCGGAAGGAAATTTATATTTGGAGGGGGGGGGGCTGTCCATGAAAGATGCTAAATAGAATTAGGTTTCACATAAGATGACCTTACCTGTATACAAGAAGGTATTAGTGTGTCCACCAACAACAACGTCAACATTGTCAACTTCTTCTGCAATTTGCTTATCCATTTGGATCCCGGAGTGCCCAAGAGCAACTATTTTATTTACTCCAAGTTTTACAAGTTTTGTTACACAATTTCTGGTGGAAGTTACTTCATCGTTAAACTTGATATTTTGTCCGGATTTCGAAACTCTGTTGATTAAACATTTGTCAATGAATAGATAGGAATAAAAAAACAATTTGATAACAAAAGAATTCATTCTTGCTCAGGACGACCTAACGACCTGATACCATAATACGTGAGCCAATGAAAACTCAATATACTTGTAATTCGTTAAAAAATAACAGTTCATATTAATGACAAAACTAATGACACATTAAGTTATGATTACATCATGAAGAAAAGTCGATAGTAGTGACAAGTAATAACACTGAATAGTAAGAAGATTTAGAAAATGCTAGCATATCTTGATTATTAGTTGACAGTACCTTGGAGTGTTTTTTAACAAGTAGCCACATAATCCAACTTTTTCACCACCAACAGTAAGAATAAGGCTTTGATAGAAGAGATTATTCTTTGGCCAAGAAGGTTCACCACTGACATCAACATTTGATAAAATAACAGACGTGTTTGTCTTCCTCAAGTAGCTTACAACGTGATCAACCCCGCCGTCAAAGTCGTGATTCCCCAGTACCTGAAGAGGCATAGAGGGGATGCACACAGTGAATTAGAATGCCTGCCAAAAATACTTGGAACACCCAGCAATTTGCATTGCATATTGCTTTCATTCCTTTTTCGAAAATAGATTACTAATTCCGCCCGGCATATGACTGGCAATACTTTATCACATTTTTATAGCCTGTGCTCCAGACCCCTAACTTTCAAGTTTGGGGTCTGGGACACAGGCTACATTTTTAGGGCTCCCTTTTTTTTGTAGAGGCTGTTAAAAACTAATTGTAATGTTAGAAATTCATTGAAAGCTAAAAACTTTGTCTCCGTAGCTATACATTTACTACTAAAGGGTCAAACAGTTTTCCAATATGAGTGATTCCAGTTTCGCTGGAAAATGCACTCTTTGAAGCAATTTTATCTATGCGTGGCCCCTTCTGCTTACAAGCAGATCACGAAACGTATAAAACCCCAGTCTTAACAATGCCCCTTGGCCAAGACCGCTATGCTCGGCCATGTCCACAACATTAGTATTTATGATAAATTGATCGTTTGAAATGTTTAATGATATCCAGTTTAGTAGTTACCACCGGAGATGCAGCTCTCTTGTCTATAGAACCTTCCTCTGGAAATTCCCTAGCCATGAATATCACACCAATCCTTATCATGAATTGATTGGAACAGACCATTCAATGAATCTTTCTGAAAACTGTAAGTAGTTATTTTGTTTATCATACAGGTATATCCTGCCTTGTGGAGATGTTTTTCTTTATAAAAATTTAATAGATTCTCCGAAAATTTCTTAGGGCCCCTTTTGTTTATGGATCCCTGGTCCAGGGCCCAGTGGGAAGTGCGGCCCTGTTCTACACACGAGGGTAGTTAGGGCTTTAACATTGGGGGGTGGGGGCAAAACTTTTTTACCAACATATAGAAGTGTTTTGTATCAAAAATAGCATACAGAGGTAATGCACAAACATGTACCAACAAACAAAGTCATTGGATAGAGGGTTAAAAGGCAACATGTGCATATTTTTAAGACACTAGAATATTGAGGGGGCCTGGGCCCAGGCCCTGCCCCCTCTTGCTACACCCTGGTTCTTCATAATGCACAAGGCCAATTTTCCTGTTTCCATCCTTCCTGAATCCCGCGGAGCTTGAAAAGACGGGGGTATCATCAACATTTTTCGCGAAATTCAAATTGGTAGAGTCAAACCTAGTCACCGAAAATTGTCTAAAATGTAGTCCCTTGTCAAAAGAATAAAGGTAGAAAAAGGCTTTAGACAGTATCTAAATTCGTGGCAATTGATTAGGTTGAATTAAATCAACAGCCCTTGCTGCAGTAGCTTACCATTGCATCATATCTCAGTTTGTTTATGAAGTGAACAGTTGCATTGCCTTGATACACGTCATACCACAATGTGCCTGTTTGTTGATCACCTCCATCCAATAAAATCACATTTTTAACATCTTTCCGAATCGTTTTGATTGCCGTAGACAGTCTTGCGATCCCGCCATAACACTTGGCTCTAAACCGGTCGGAAACTTGACACTTGGAACCAAACTGATCGGTCTCCTCAATTCTGCTGTGGATGTCGTTTGTGTGTAACAAGGTTATGCTTAAATCTCCTCTAACCCAGTAAAAATTTATAAATACGAAAAAAGTGGAAACAAATGACGAATGCATCATTGTAATCATCCGTTGACAGGGGGAGAGGCACGACAAAATTCACCTCCCGCCTTATTCTGACAATGCTTATCATTAATCAGCAGTCCACTTCCGTTTTGCAAATCTTTTTCTGTTGTCCTTCAGTAGCGGGGAAAACAAGTGGCGCCGAAAGCTTCATCACATGCAGCTGGGGCTTGGGTCGCATCTTTGGTCGCAGTATTTATGGTCCTTTTAAAAATATGTTCTAGTGCAGGGACTGCCAAAGCGGCAAAGCGGGGGAGCCGAGGGGGCTAACCCCCCAATAGTTTCCGAAATGTTCTTAAAACCATAAGAAATTGCCTTGCTCTTTGTTTTTAGCATGTTTAGCCCCTCAAAAGTTATAGCCCCCCTCAATCTGTAATATCCTCCGCGGTCCTTGTTCTAGTGAAAGGTGCCTTTCCTTTGAAAATACCCACTGAATATGTGCATTTAATAAGGCGGTTGAAATGTCGTTGAAATGTCATTTGCTGAAATAATTACAAATTGCCCATTGACCTTACGCGGTGCTACTTTGTTTTCCTTTTTTCGTGGCTAGAAGTTGCACTCTTATTTGTAAGAACAATTTTATAAGAACACGAGCCTCAAAACTGGTCAAAAGGTAAGAACAAATTAAGAACATGTTGAGGCTGAGCTTCTGCAAAATGCAATTTTGAACAACGTATCTACTCAAAATCGAGAATTTTTATCGATGTGTGGGTGCTTTTTCGGTGAAAATTCAAAAATCTGTCAGCTAATGAAGGTTATCTCATTCACTGTGTCGGCAAATGGACCTGAACACCTCCCTAGAGCGAAAAAGCTAGCAATCACACTGCTTCATCATCATCAGTAACGGAAGGGTCAAGGCTGACCCGCCGTGGCACACGCAATGGTTGTCCGCCAAGTGTCCTTGTCTTGCGCCTTCCGAAGCAGCTCGGCCATGGTCATTCCCAGTAAATCTTCCACGTCGTTCTCCAGTTTCCTTCGTGGTCTTCCTCGTTTCCTCTTTCCGTCTACCATTCCCGAAAGAATGTCATTTCCCAAGCCTTTACTTCTCGCAACATGGCCAATAAAAGATAACTTCCTTTTGTTGATGCTGTTTATGAGGGTTGCTTGGCCGATCCTTTCCAGGACCCATTCGTTCGTTTTCCTTTCTCTCCAACTTATACGCATAATTCTTCTGTAACACCATATCTCGAAGGACGTCAGTCTGTTCCTGTCACATTTCTTGAGGACCCAACATTCACATCCATAAGTTGCTACAGGAAATACTAGCGTATGGAGGATTCGGATTTTTGATTGGAGTGTGATCGAGCGGTCTTTCCAAATGTTGCTGAGGCTTACTACTGCACTTCTTGCTATGGCCAACCTTCTTCTGATTTCTTTGCTGTCATTGCAATCGTTAGTAAAGTTTGCACCGAGATAAATAAAATTATCCACTGTTTCAATGACTTCGCCGTTAACAGCAAGATCTCGCATTTCCATGTTGTCTGGATCACCAGCCATCTTCATGACTTTCGTCTTCTGCGTGTTTAGCATCAGTCCTGCCTGCTCGCTTGCTACTTTGACTCTTGTGACGAGGTCTTCCAGCTCTTGCATGGATCCAGCAATAAGGACAATGTCATCAGCGTACCTAAGGTTACTGACGGTTCTTCCTCCCACTTTTATGGATCCCTTGAATCCGTCTAGAGCTTCTCGCATAATTTTCTCAGAGTAGACATTAAAAAGATGCGGCGACAGTGCTTACACCCTATTAATTAAAGAACAAATTAAGAACAATCCAGCCTCAGATTTTCGAAAAAATTAAGAACAGTCAGCCTGAACATGAGGCTCGTAACTGGTTCTTATGAAAAAAAGAGTGTAAATGATTACAGGTCCGGCTGAACCGGGGAGGGGGCTGGGGGGGGGGCTCGGCCCCCTATAATAGTCAAACTGTTGTATGTTTCCTTCATAACAGTTCATCCCCACCCCAAGTTGAATCTCGTTTCGATGGCACTGAATAATAAAATTGGAATTGCTTTGACGTCAAACTTACGAGCCTCATCGTGTTCTATACATAGTTCATGCCATCGAAATTTTCCTAGAAAAATCCGAGTATGTCATTCATATGTTTTGACTACGTACTTAGAATCCAGTTGAATTATCCAGCAGTTTTATCCCTGGTCAATTAATTGCACCTTGATAATTTTTCGACAAATTTAAAAGATTCGATACCACACCCTGTGGGTACCACAGCCTCAAGAAACCGGGGATAAAGTATTGTATACTTGTTTCGAAATATATTTCTGACACTAAATTATGAAAATCCTGGCACCAGGCTAACGATACTTTTTCTCTAAGGGAAACACTTTGTAAAGTAACGGCATTTTCGGAAAAATATGACTTTATAGGAACAGTATAAAATAATAATAACTGGCATGCAAATACATGACAAATATTACTAGCTATAATAATAATAATAATAATAATATATCTAGCCAAATCTCCGTTTCGGAGCAGTTACTATAACACACACACAGAATTGCCAGGAAAGACGTCATGTGCAGTAAAGTACCACAGGCTAATTTTCACTTAAGTTTGGAAAAGTTCAACCAAACTCTTGATTTCTATCAGGCCTTTTGCGTTGCTTTTAAGAATTTGTTCCATTCCTGGAAGGTGTTTCTTTCATGTTTATCAGTTTATGTAGATACAATAGTCTTCTTAGTTTTATTCGATAAACCATTGGCATAAGTCCACATTCATATAGTAAGCCTTGATAGGGTGTTGATTTCGGTATTAAAGTGGTTAGGGTTATCGCATCTTTTTGTATACTTTCAAGGATTTTTAAGATTTTTTTGTTCATGTTAGTCCATGTTTCACACCCATATAAGATTTTAGGGATAAGTACACTTTCAATCAATTCTATGATTATTTCCATGCCTTGATTTTTGAATGCTGATTGGCTGATTAAGAATTTTATTTTACTAATGATTGTCTTTGCTGAATTTGTCCATGCTTCTAAACATGTACAGATATTTTAATCTACTACTGGTACATGGAATGCGACTTTTGGACAACTTTAGGGCTTCATTAGAGAGTTTAGAAGCATCAAGGCTTTAACAAGTTATAATATAGCTCATTTAGAAACTCCAAATGACAACCAATACTTTGTTAAATTATATGAAGCCTCTTATAATAATTATTTTATAAAAATGTTATAAATCGATTTTTTATAAAGGATAATCTATCAGTGCATAATTGTAATGTTATCAATAGGGTACAGAAAATGAAATTGAGTAGCCTTTCTAAAAGCTCCTAGCGCCAGGGCACAGTAAAAAAATTACAAAAAATTAGAGCACGGGTACTGATTTATTATGTAAGACGCAAAAAACACAGGATACGCTGTCCACCGGATTCAGTGAATCTTGGAAAGAGTAATAATACGAAAAATTGTCAGGAACAAACCAACACGAAGACGAAAATCCAATGAAATGAGATATTTAAATATTTTAAAATTGAGCGCCAGACAGAAAGTTCATAGGGTCTCAACTTTCTAGCGCTCACAGCGGACGCAAAATCAAGACCACTTGATTTTAACTACGCATGCTCAGATTTGGGCGCTACGCCCGCGCGCACAAAAAATGTCAAATGGAAATCGGCCTTAAATTTTTATATCCTGTTGCCGTGAGGAGTATCCCGTCGTGCCTTGCGGTATCTCAGAAGTACTTTCGTTTTCATGGTGGATAAGGAAGGGTTCGGTGAGTAGTTGCTGTTTTTCTTAATATTTCAAAATGACAATTTGATTTATTCTCAAATGTGAGTTACGGTGATGTGTAAAAAATTCATCAAGATATATCGCTTATTGTAAATTCAAACCGACAGAACTTTGGTCAGCAGCAATCAGCATCTCAAAAAAGGTTTTTCTACAAATCCGACGCCGAAAGTACGCCACGGCGGTCATGAATAAACGCCAATCGAATCACAATATCTACACCAAAGACGCCATTTATTACACCGACAAAATTGAAGCATTGAATGAAGCATTGAAAATAAACATGTGTACGCCGTTATGCCGACAAAATCATAACTCCACGCCGAAGATCCAAGGGCCTATGTACATTGAATGATCACTAAATGCGGAAACAACATCCAAGTTTGATTGATTCCATAGACGTAGGAGCCTGGGGGGCGTAGGGGTACTGCCCCCCTTTTCAAAAGATCAGGTCGCCCTTTTTTGCTAACTTGCATAATCAAAATGTACCTTTGTAAAGCTCAAGTGCTCATTTCACTGCATTTGCATTTTCAATACCAAAAACTGTTGAAATAGCATATCTACCATACTTTACTTTGTGCTGTTTATGAACTTCTGTTGTTTTCTGTTTTCTAGGGGCAAAACTTTTCTTGTTGTCAAATAATGGCCCCAGCTAATCAGTTTATTATTTGATTGAAGCATTGAATTAATGATTAAAGGAGTGTTTAAAAATTGTTAAGGATGAGATACTATATTTGGTTTCTTTCTTGTTTTATTCGACTGTTTAGGGCTGGCACTAAAGTTTCTTCCTTTGTACCTTCAGTTTAATCTCTACAGGTAATTATTCTGTTTTGTTTTTAATGGACAATGTCTGTTGTACACTTCTGAAATTTTCTTGACAAATATCTTGTCGCCCTCCTTGTTAAACTTCCCAGCACACGATTGTTCACTAACCTGCTTAAATACCCATGATCAGACTTGTTGAATGTTAATTCTTTGCTGTTAATTCACTTTTAAGTGAATATTTACAATTGTACCATCATCTAGTGTTTGTGCTTATTTAGACTACTAAATATTGGTAAATTTGTTTCTTAATTTTACAGCACAACGATTTCCCAGCTCAGTTCTGCTGAAAATGGCCAAGCCAAAGCCATATTCATGTTATACATTATACAAGGATAGTAAGCCTGTTGGAAAAGGGGCACTGGTTTACATTTCATTTGATGGAAAGAAGACCCCTTCATTTTTGACGCTGCAATCGTTGATAGATCAGCGTTCAAATGCTGGGTATGTTTGCAAATCAACAAACAACAACAAAAGTTTTAGAATAGAAAAGAGAATATTGTTAGCTTATCCAGGGCCTTGCAACCTTGCTCACTTTGGAGTGCGTTTAACCACATTTGCTAGAGTTAAAGCGCTTCTTTCGGATCCTTTTGCAAGTGAATGTGCTCATATTGACACTGTATGTAAAGGTTCAGAGGTTTATATTGCTGTGCAAGAAGATAAAATCATCAGGGGACAAGTAGAGAAAGAACAAGACCTAGAATGGCTCAATATTAAGTGTGTTGACAAGAATGTGGACATACAAGATGGGTTAGCCACAAGCAGCCCTGTTTATGATAAAAAAGGCCACTTAGTGGGGCTTGTGGATGAACAGATTAATAAAGATACTTTCAGGATAATACCAATCAAAGGTAAATATCCTCATTCTCAAATGTTAAATACATCTCTACGTTCAAAATGAACCCTCACTATTCCCAATAAATGAATTAAGCTGTAAATCAAAAAGGTTCAGTTGTTGCAAAAAAATCTTCATATTTTATGTAACTGCTATCAAAGGATGTACCAAATCAACCACAATGAGATATAAAATGAGGCCTTGTGCATCTACAAGACAGACCTAGGCCACACCTGGCCCTAGTTTATGTTTGGTGTGCATGTGTGTTTGATCAATCAGAATAAAGAAATATTATAAAATTTATGCTATGATGTTTATGCTATATAATATCGTAACTTTTTTGAAAACCTTGTCATTTTTTGAAAAAACATTTGTTGAAGTATTTTCCCACTTTAACTACACTACACTTTCATGTATTTGTTTAGATTTTGATGTTATATCCATATCTTTCTAGTGACCAGTAGCAGATGAAATAGAGTATAGTATAATTTATTGCTCTTTACATTGGGAGAAGATAAACATTGCTCAAAATAAAGTTATCATTGGTTTATCCAAACACAGTTCAAGTTTCTCATCTGGACCCTTCTTAATTTAATTGCCCACCCCTGTACAAGAAGGGCCTATCAAAGGGGGTCTAAAAGCCACAAACCTATAATATGCCCCCTGCTAGGCAGTGGCGTAGCTAGCCAAATAGCAGTGGTCATGCCCACCCCTTAAATTTGAAAAAAATATGGGTGTGGCCAAATTTTACCACGCCCAATTTTTTAGTTGATGAGTTCCTTTTGGAAATTTTTATTCTAAGGCTTGTGACTTATAAAAAAATTTTGATTAACTTTTGGAAATAGCTTTTCTTATTTCATAGCAATCATCTTGTTAAACCATGAAATGACCTTTATCTTATAGCTGTGACACTGTTTTGGTTTGTTGGTAATTTATACAGACAGAGTTCTGACAATTTCCAAACAGAACTGTACAAAAGACATTAAAAAACATTAGTTTAGTATAGTAGATAAACTTAGCTTAAATCAAATATTGTGTTGTTCTCCTAATTTCTTTCAATTTGCAGGCTGAAATTCATTTGTAAATTTTAGAAACAAGCTAAAATTTGTAAATGAAACAATAAATCACATGAAACTGAATGGGAGCTTTTTGGTAATCTTTTCCACAAATAGTCTTATTATCAATCTATTGAAGGTATTTTAAAGCCATCACCATTAATTAACAACCTCAATAGAACTGATAGATGAATAAAACAAATTGGCAAATGAATATGCAATGTAAATATTGATATGAAATATAGGAAGCTGAAATAATGGATAGGCCTAGTTGCAAAATGTTTTCTGCAAAGTTAGACTTAATAGAAAAATACCTTGCAAAATAAGTTTAGCTTAACAAAAACATTGATGTTTCCACATATACTTGTGGCAAATATCCACATGATGGGATTGTCCTTACTAAATCTAGCAAACAAGGGTTGTAAATGAAATAATTTGATCTTGCAAATTTTCAAATACAACACAAGTTGTAATAATGAAATAAAACTGTTTAACTAACAAGATCAGTAACATGCTTGACTTGTCGCTGGTCATCTTATTTCAACAGCTATAAGTAGTAAAAAGTACTTTCAACTGAAAGTGAAGTCAGTAGAGCTTTGAGTTTGACTTTAACTGTGTGTAAAAACAGTGTTATTGCATGTGATAATAAACAAAAAATTGAAGAATAACTTTAAGCAAGTTCTGGCATTCCCTATCCATTAACTACAATCTTATTGTCTTAATCATAATATGGTAACAATGCTTTTAAAGGGCTTAACAGTTTCTGAATATGCTGCTAAAAGTCTGGAAAGTTTAAGCTCTCAAATCTGTTGGTTTGGAAAATAACACTGCTATCTCCTCCATCCATCTCCAGTGAACAGCACCAAGATTTGGCATCCATTAAATCAAGAAGATTCTCTGCAAATGTTCAGCTAGTAACAATTGATTACTGAAAAGGCTGAGAGTTTGGTTTGGTTGCATATAATGATCCTGCTCGCTGATTTTATGTCCAAAAATGGCCTTTCGTGCCTGTCACTTCTCCACATAGTGCAACACCACTAAGGCTGAAAAACCCTGTCATTGCCATAAAATGTTCTGGAGATTAACATGATAGTGGCTGCTTGGCAATAAGCTATTCCTTTCATTTTACTTACAGAGAATTACCTCCCATCTCGTGGAACTAGGCATAGCAGCGCCGCCATCGATGCCTCGCATTCGCGTTCATGAAATAACACAGGACGGTTCTGATGATTATAATGATGGTCATGCCCTCTCGAAATGGCATGACTAGCCTTTGTTCTCTCTTGCGTCACTCCTATTGTTAGGCATGACCAAACATAGGGAACCAGCGTTATGGGCATGACTAAAACACAGGGTTTGGTCATGCTCATAGTTATGGGCATGACTAAATTGGAAACCCTCTGTTTTAGTCATGCCCGACAATAGAAGAGCGCCTTCGGAGGGCTCCATATTCTTGCGTGAAACCATAGGGCTCCAAAGGCGAATGGCCTGAGCTATTTCATCAGGAGAATAGGACTTTATTCTTACGAAAATATAATTTTTTGAAAAATGTTATCTCTGGAAATAGATGGTCATGCCCGGCATGACAAGCATGACCGCTAGCTACGCCACTGCTGCTAGGGTATTGATCCTTGACAATGATTTTTTTCTCTAATGGTTGCTTGTTGTCAGTTGTGAAATATCGCCATCATTATTGAATAGGCAAACATTACTGAATGAGAGCAACTAACATCTTTTTGAAGCAGACTTTATTAATCTTGACTAGATTAGCAAATAACTGCTTGAAGATTGCTAGCCAATGAACTTTTCTGTCCTACTATGAATGATTTATAAGAGCTTCATGCTGCCGAGAAGGATAATGAATAAGTGGATAGATTTTGATGGTAGGATCACAATTCTGCTACATCAGTATGATGCTACTGTTTCATTGTACAAATGCAATGCAACAAAGATTTTAATGACATGATGACACAAGTCTTAAAGATAAATAATCTAAAAAGATTGATGATTAATTGTTTAGAAAAGAGGGTGCTTGGAAGAGATTTTTTAAATTAACAACTGTTAAGATGTGAAGGAGATAGAACAACGCATTGGTTGAAAAGAAACAAAACGATAACTTTATATTAACTTTAAACGGCCTACACACATAACTGTAATACTGTCAACTGTAATCTGAAACTATATAAACATGGGTCACATAAAGTAATGCTCCTGCGCATAGTCAATTAGGTTACTACATCACTCCTCCTTTTAAAGAAGTTTTTTCGTATACTGTTTACAAAGTGTCCAATGGTATTGGTTCACCATATCGTACTGGTGCATAACGTTTTCTAACTAGTCTTTCAGCAGGTCTAGGAACCTCTTGTTCACAAGCGTATGTGGCTCGATTTGATTGATTGGCATCTTCGGAATCCGACATCTGAGCGCGTAATTTTTTAAAAAATGATACGTTGCGAGTTACACGGCGATGATTACTGTCTTCTGCAGTTATCTGCGTACCTTTACGGTTTACGACTTTGTATTGCGTTTTGCTGAATCGTGTCGTTAGTTTGTCCCTTTTTTGTTGGCGGACAAGAACAGTATCTCCAACTTGAAGGTTGCTCTTCCTTGCTTTTCTGCGTTTGTTTGCATATGTTTCTTGGTACGATCGACTGCGTTCCTCGTTTATTCTAGCTTCTTTGTGTCGATTTATTACGCGATGCTTCTCTAAAGTAGGGAATTTTCCTTGTACTTTCCTGTTGAATAACAACTCTGATGGCGCAATTTTCGTTGTGCTGTGAGGTGTATTACGATACTGGAACAAGAAACGGTTCAGTTCTTGTTGCCATACCTTTCCATCTGCCACTGCGCTTTGTACGGCTTTGATGAGAGGCTGATTAAAGCGTTCGACTTCTCCATTTGCCTGCGGCCAGTAAGGTGTGACAGGTTTATGGTTTATACCGAGGATATTTACATATCGTGCAAACTCTTCACTCGAGAATGGTGGACCGTTATCTGTCTTTAATTCACGTGGTATGCCGTGTACCGAAAATATTTTGTCCAGCTTCGGAATGACAGTTGATGCTTTCGTGGATCGCACAATTTCGGTTTCCGGAAATCGCGAATAACGATCAATGACGACTAAAAGATGATCTCCTGAAGGAAGCGGTCCACAGAAATCGATAAGAACAGTTTTCCATGGTCCTTTAGGAAAATCAGTTTGTTGCAGAGGTTCTGGTGGCGATGGTTTGCCGACAATTTGACAAGTCAGGCACGAATCTAGGGTATGCTGAACTAGGTTGTCCATACCTGGGAACCATACTTTTTCTCGTAATAGACTTTTTGTTTTGGGAAGACCTTGGTGAGCTTCATGGGCAATATCTATAGTTCGTTGCTGAAGTGACTCTGGTATAACTAAACGTGTTCCTCTCAAAACAATTTCCTTCGCACCAACAGTGAGCTCGTCGTTGATTGCACAATAAGGCTTTAAACGATCAGATGCTTGCCCTCTATTTGTTCGTATAGCGGCTCGCAATGCTTGCAATGTCTTGTCAGTGTTGGTAGCACTCGCTATTTCGTCTAGCGACATAGCTTTAGGCACAGAGTGACTCGTAATCATGTTTACGTACTCCTCCGCAATTCTTTCTTGTTTTCGCGATTGTTGACTGGATGGGTGTCTGGATAGATAATCAGCAGAGTTCTCGCTTCCTGCCTTGTACTGCACTTTAAACGAATAAGGTTGTAGTCGCAAAACCCATCGCTCAATCCTCGCGGACGGCTTAGAGGTTGAACTGCCGTAAATGGTTTCCAAAGGTTTGTGGTCTGTAATCAAAGTAAATTCGTTGCCATATAGGAACAAATGAAAATGTTCTACGGCCCAAACGATGGCTAGAGCCTCTTTTTCCGTTTGCGAGTATCGTTTCTCAGTATCGGACAGTCCACGACTGGCGTAAGCAACAACCTTGTAATCATCACTGATCTTGGTTGCTTGACTCAAAATTGCGGATACATCTACGGGACTTGCGTCCACCGTAACGAAATTTTCTTTATTGGTATCGAAATACGACATAACGGGAGCTTCAGACAGAGCCAATTTTATATTTTCAAATGCTTTCTGTTGAACTGCTTGCCATACGAATGGTGTATTCTTTTTTGTCAACTCTCGAAGTGGTGCAGTGAGCGTCGCAAAATCTTGGATGTACTTAGCACTATAGTTTGCCATTCCTAGCAGGCTTCGTACCTCTTTGATGCTGGTAGGTATCGGTGCATTCTGAAGATCGCTTATGCGTGCTGGATCTGGCTGCGTACCATGTTCTGTGAAAATTTGTCCATAAAACTGAATTGATTTCTGTAGAAAGTTACATTTCTTGAGATTTAGCGTAAGGCATTTTGAATGGAGACGTTGCAAACAATTTTGCAAAGCTGAATCGTGTTCCTTGCGAGTTTTGCCAAAAACTACGATGTCATCTGCGATGTTCAGCACTCCATTTATACCTTGTAAAGTTTCTTGTAAAACATGCTGGAAAATTTCCATAGCAGCATTTGTCCCATAATTGAGACAAGTGTATCGATAAAGTCCTACGTGTGTGTTGAAGGTAGTGATAAAACGACTGTCTATGTGTAATGGTAGCTGGTGGTAAGCTTGGTTTAGATCCAATTTACTGAAATATTTGGCACCATTGAGTTGAATGTTTATTTCATTCAATGTAGGGATCGGATAACATACACGTTTTATTGCAGTATTTGGCACACGCATATCTACGCAAAGACGAACAGATCCATCCTTTTTCGGTACTAAGACGATTGGAGATACCCACTGCGAAGGCGCGTTTTCTGGCACAGCTTCAATGATCCCCTCTTTTTCCAGCTGGGTGACAGCTTCTTTAACTTTCTTTCTCAAATGAAAAGGAATTCTCCTTTGCGGTTGTGCACGTGGTATTGTCTTTTCGTCGATGTTTAGCTTCACCGAGTACCCCTTCAGTTTACCAGTTCCTTCAAAGACTTTGTTGAAACGTTGAATTATGGCATCAATTTGCGGATCAATATGTTTTGTAGGGGTTGCTGAAACTGAAAGTTTGTTCAATTTCAGTGTTATGACTCCAAGTTCTTGTGCTGTATTGGCTGAAAGTAAACAACCAGCATTACGATCTTTTAGGACATAAAATGTTGCAACTCCATAGCGAGATTTTGTTGTGATCATCGATTCAAATTTTCCTATAAAACAAACTGGTTTCGAAGAGTTAAATGGAAAAGCTTTTATTTTGGTTTGTAGTAACTTGACTCCGTGCATCTTTTCGAAAGTATTTCTATCGATAACGTTGATTGTGGATCCGGTATCCAATATCATGTTGAACTTGTGACCCTCGACCACAACATTAACCACAGGGCTGCGTTTTGATAATTTGTCGTTGCCATTTGAGACCGTATACAGGTATTCCTCGTCACTAGAATTATCCTCATGCTGCAAAGGTCTCACCGCTGCATGTGATTTGCGAGAATGTGCAGGACGTCTTTGTTTCTGCTTCGAGAATTTTGAGCTCCTACAAACTGATTGAAAGTGGTTCGGTTTGTTGCACTTGCGACATGTTTTCCCTTGTGCGGGGCATTGATTTTTGTGCGGCCATTCTCCTCCACAATTGTTGCAAGTCTTGTTATCAGACTTCGATTGCAAACGGTTCGTTGTTTCTGTGTGTACGTGGGTTGTTTCTATATCTCGGGCTTGATACGAACTGATTTCATCCCGTCTTCCATCGATTAGCATGTCTTTAAGGGTATACGTAGGGTCACGCAAAGCTCGGCGTCTTATACGGGAAGATCGACCCCCTATAATTATTTGTTCCTCGATTTCAAAGTCTACATCTTCGAATTCGCATGTACTGGATATCTGCCTGAGTCGTGTATGAAAAGTATCGAGCGATTCTTGATCTCCCTGACGAGTTTCACGAAAACGATAAACTTCATACCGTCGATTTTTCTGAGGCTCGAAGTACTCAATGAGCTTGGCTTTTGTTGTCGCAAAGTTGTCTTCATCCCCTTCTCCGTTGACATCACTCAACTGGTTAAAAATTTCTCGAACTTGGGTCCAGCTTGGTAAAGTAACAACGCTTTCTAAGTAGTAACCTTTAAGAAAAAATTTAGACAAAGACTTAAAAAAAGTCATCTCTCATTTAAATTGAAGAGTTTCACTTACATATTTTGTATAAATGTCTGATGACAGCAAGCTGCACAAATTTGACATAAAACGCTACATCTATTCTCACAACGAAACAACAATTTTTAAAGCTCCATCTGCGTTTTATGTTGTTGGTTTATCAAATCAATCACCACAAGGTTTTATTTGAGTTTTCTTTTTAATACAATTCACAATCAACAAAATTATATTTAAGAAAGTAGTAATTGGAGACGTAAAAATAACTACCTTGATCGAGATTTTTAATCAATTAATTTTTAACCTCCTACTATTAAAGGTTTGTTCGAAGTACATGCTGCTGAGAAGGATAATGAATAAGTGGATAGATTTTGTTGGTAGCAACGTTATGCACCTTTAATTTGAGCTCATCAGCTCACTTTTTATATACCCCTCGACAGGCACGGTCACAATTCTGCTTCATCAGTAAAGGGAAATTGTCGCCATTTCCTTGAAAAGAAATGGAATCCATGGTAGCTAGGTTAGAACTAAACTAAGCTTGTCTGTGTTATTGCAATAAACTTCAACCATTATGTCATGGTGCCAAGCTCAAAACAACTAATGTCCATGACCTTTACGTATGTAAGCAGAGTGATATCGAGTCAGTGACTGTTTCCAAGGGGTGAATCGTCTAAAATATCTTTCAAATATATCTCAAAAATACGTCAGTAAAGAATGGTATAATTCATCAAAAAATCTCGACAAATCCACATTACAAGAATATTTATTACACACATTTTTATGAAGATCCTAGCTCAAGACCTAGTTCCTAAAGTTCCTAACCTTTTGACCTCTTTTTCAAAATCGGCACCAAAACCGCACATTCAGTGCTATAAATATATAGCATAGACACAAGAAAACAAACAAAGAATCTTAGAGTTTTGACTTTAACTGTAGCTAGAAAACAAGGCCAAAAGACAAAGAGGGCAAGAAATAAATTTAATTTGCATAAAAATAAAATGTTAATAAAGAAATACCTTTGCATAGAGAAAGGCAATGAATGCTTTAATATTTCTCCAGCCTCGATATTTTTAAGAATTTTTGGTTTTGAGCTTGAATATGCTCTTAAATTATTCTTATTTTTCAAATCCGATATGATTTCAGGAGAACGTTGCTCGCTCTCGAATAGAAAACGAAATTTTTGAGTACTGAGAAATGTTAGTATTGCAATTCTCTGTTATGAACATTGCGAAAAAAGCAACTGCTGAAAAATATGACAGAAATATGCGATGTGAGGCTGAGCAATATTCTCACGATATTCTTAATAACTGGATGAATCTGAACCTGAATATTCTTATAACCAACATTCTTATCAAAATGTAATATAAACAGAGACATCAAAACTGGAAACTGCTCATTAAAACACTTGATGCATGCGTAACGCATTTTACGCTAGTTTTGACTGCAAATAAATGAAACTGACGCTCTAATTCTTCATTATTTGCAGTCCTAAAGATGTTCAAAATTCGAAAAGTCCCGAAGAGATTTTCTCTTTAGCATTTTTAATGTTCTTTAACCTTCTCGGTCCTTTACATGTAGATCCCTCATAAAGTGGCTCCTTGTGAATGAAAAATGGTATAAGGAAAATATGTGCTAAGGAAAATATGTAGATACCTTCTATAGAGCTGCAAAACTCTTATTAAATCCAAAAATATCGATTCCCCCCAACAGTGTCCATAACACCTACCATAAATTGCTTGGGGGTGCCATGGCCCACTGGACACTCTATTTTATTTCACTCTGCTGACCCCGCTCCCTCCCCTCCCTTCCTCTCTCCCCTCCATTCTCCCTCTCACTTCACACCCTCTCATTTCTTCCTCCCCCTCCCTTCTCCCCTCCCTTCTCTCCCTCCCTTCTCTCCCTCCCTTCTCCCCCTTCCTTCTCCTCCTTCCTTCTCTCCCTTCCTTATCCCTTCCCTTCTCCTCTCTCTTATCTTCCTCCCTTCTCCCCTCCCCCTCCCCCCAATTGAAATGACAGATTGACAGCCACATTACTATTCTGTGTTTATAGCCCTGATTTGTCTTCACATTATTTCATTATTTTAATCCATTTTGTTAACTGTTTTAGAGACATTCAGTCCAAGTGCTGATGGGACAAGCAACAGTGGAGGAGATATATCTGATGTTGATCCTGCAATGCAAAATAAATCAGTACAAGTAGAAAATGAGAAAACAAATGAAAGACTTAGAGGTAGGAAATGTTATATTCACCTGATTTACTTCTTAAATTAGATGAGCATTTTTGAAATGCTTTTTTCTGGTACCTGGATGGAAGTCTCACTGTGCTACTGCTTTGCTTTTTCCAGAGCAAAAATATAAAATTATATTTCAGTTTTATTTGTTAATACCGAGTAAAGTTTTCGATTAAATACATGAATTTTTTTCCAAACTGCCCTTTTCAAAGAAAAAGATAAAACCTTAAAATCTACAATCCATATGTCCAATAAGAAATAGAAAAGTTAAATTAGTTTAAAAATGTTAGAATGATCGACAGGAATAATAAATGATTCCTTAATGTTCTGAAGATTTTCAAGACGGGCGTTTAATTGTTTAAGATGTTTTTTAAATGTTTATTTCACAAGGGGCTTTTGTACCTTTTGACCTCAATTGCCTGTGAGATTGTCATTAGTTGCTTTTCGTTATGATCGCTGGTGCCACGCTTCCTCACGTTGTTCTTGTATCTGCTTTACTAGTTTTTGGGCAATGTCTTTCGGCCTCCTGATGATTTGATTTGTAATACAAGGGTCAGGTGTGTGGCTCGTGGCATCGTTAAAACCTCTCATACCTTAGGACTGGTACATAGGCTATTAGTGGGGGAAAATGCTTTTCTTGTCCATTCCCTCCCAACTATCTAACAAATTTGGGGGTTATTGTGTAGCTTCCCTTAGTAACCCCGTCCTGCTAGAGGTTTATAGTGGGTTGAGCGATTTGCCCCGATGCACCAACAGCTATTCTGTAACGTAGGTTGCTCTTTTAACGTTGTACCATGTATTCATTTTATAATAATTCTTCATAGGTAGTTTGACTTAATTGGCTTGACAGCAGTCAGTAACAACCCTGCTCTTGGCCTTTCCGCTTGTTACTTGATTGTTCCGCTTGTTATTGGGTTGCTCCGCTCGTTTTGTAGGGCTGTTCCGCTTGTGACTGGGTTGTTACATTGGTTACTTGGCTGTTCTGCCTTATACCAGGTTTTTCTTCTTGTTCCTCGTATTAGAAATGACGTATCAAAATAGCCAAATAACTGAAGTTATGAGAAATTCATGACATCACTTGTAATCACAATCTGGCCTGTGCATAAAATAGCACCTTATCATGAAACAAATTGGGGGCTACATCCAACATAGATAACTTAGGGGTTACAGTTTCCAATAATAGCCATTTTTTCCACAGTTCTGATTTCCTTTGCAGGTAGTGCTTCACCAAATTCGGGAAATTTTGATTTTGCTGCCATTGAAAAAGGAGATTTTCCAGAGTCCAAAGCCTTATCATCGATTACTGGAAGTGATGCGAAAGAGACAGCCTCAGGTAACAAAACTAAGTACAACATACCTCTCACTTAAGGCTTGCAATTTTTTTCTGCATGTGGTTTGTGTTGTACAATAGTGAAACTGTTCTGTCCATAACATTATTTTAGAAATATTCATCTGTCGCAACAGTAGAGTTAAGATGCATGAGGTTATGGTGTTATATTCTTATATTATTAGAAGATATCATTTCGTCCCAAAGCGTTCATATAAAATACCCATATCATGTACATAACTTTGCCAGTGCAGTTATATCTGCTCAAAATTGGCTGTAATACCAGCATTAAAAAGACTTGGAGTTTACTTGAGAATAGATGTAGTTTTATAGCAAGACTAAGTTACAATGATTTGACCAGTGGCGTACCCAAGGGGGGGAATAGGGGGGTCCGGACCCCCCCCCCCACTTTTCTAAAATATGATCCTCGAGATTTGTCCAAAAGTGATGTGAAATGATAATGGGGTGAAATTTTGCAAAAAGGGCGTTTCCCCGCATTAAAGGGCTCATTCGGCTAATATCAGCCAAAATTTTTTTTAGAATCGAATGTCTTATCATTTGTAGGACCATTTAAATATGCTCTTTTAGATTAGCTATATGGTAGTTACTTCTCAGCTCAATTCAACTCTCTACAACTTAGCCATTATAGAAAATAGTTGTTTGCTGTGAAGAACGTAGCTGGCTTAAAAATACTCGAGACTTTGCTAATTGGACCGTCCTTTGACCCTTGACACGGCTCTTGTAGAATCGTGGGATTTCACTTTCAGACCTTTTTTAAAACATTTTTAACATTTTTGTTTTAAACGCATGCAAAGAAAATTTAGAGGAGCATTGCGACCAGTTGTCAGGTATATTTGCTTTTTTTCTGATATTCATTTCAAGTTTTGCTTTCAGTGGTTGTTTTCCATTTTTTGTGAGTTAAAGATATCCAGTCTTTTAAGGTGATGAAAGTAATACAGGTGGCAACGACATTTTTGTTTCGGATGGTGCTTCACATACTTTTCCCGTTAAAAATTTCACATCATATAATATGCTTTGATAGAAGATTATTTTATTATCATTTCATGTCTGCCTTTTTACTAGTTTTGTACCTAAATGACATTTCTTATGTTCTATATTAATTTCTAGTAGCATGTCAAGTATTTCGTACCATACGTAACGTAACATGACCCAGCATCTTTCCTTTTTACTTCCAAAATAGCAGTGGCGTAGCGTCTATGTATGCTACGCTTGCGGCGCAAGCGTAAAAATTTATAGACAAATTCTAAAATTCTTGCAACACTTTTAATGCATACCAATTTCTGCAATAAACTGCTTCTCTTTCTTGTCATGAGCAGCATGCGGTGAACTCTAGCGCCAACAGGCCAATTGGCCCCAATTGGCTATTTTTCCAAGTAAACAGATCGCTAAAAATTATGAAATTCGAAAAATCTGAAAAACTGAAGCCCCTCCACATCACTCTTTTTGCCTGTCCAAAATAAGAGAAACATGTGATGCTCCAGTGCAGCTTCAGTGCAACTCGAGAGAAGCTTCTGAGAGAAGTGAGAATTTTCCGGACTGGAGCTTGCGGTCGGCCTGAGCGCAAGCCTTCCCAAATATTTGATAATCCACAACATTTTTCTACCTATAAGCTGCTTTTTGCGAATACTCTTTGCGTGATACATCATTTCAAATCCAATTATTTTCCTTTCTTTACTTTGTGACTGTTGAAAAGAGAAAAGGTTTCGTCAAAGTGGGGTCAGAGTCTATTTGTCATGATCCGCATTCCGTAATTCAAGTCAAAAGGCTTGCCAGTATAGTCAGAATTTACGGACCAGGGCATGCGGTAGACCTGAGCGCAAGCCTTGCTAAATACATGATGATTTGCCGGGACTAACTTTCTGAAACTTTACACATGGAAGCATCTTCAATTCTAACAACTCTCACAGCTCACTATTTTCATCTTCGTTAACTATGAGAGTAAAAAATGAGCAGAAACTGTTGCTCATGTTCGCTTAGGCTCTGCAGTGTGTTAACAATTTCGCAATGTGGAGAGCTCCTTCTTGCGGGAATCCCCAGCTTCATTATAGCATAAAAAATTCTTACATTAGGTGGGCATTAGGTGATGCCTTTTCTTGAGGAATATGAATAAGAATAAAATCTTTTGCGAAGCAGTTTTAGCACTAGGAGTTATTCTGAAAATTCTTGCTAAACAATTGAGCTTTTTTCAAAAACTTTCGCATGGATGATAATTTTTCCCTTGGCCCCCCTTCACTTTCCAACCTCTGTCGGAGCCTCTGATGCAAAGAATAGACACCTTGATTGATTAGAATTAGAGTACAAATGATTTGTTACTTTGAAAATCAAAATTTGCTATCACCATTATCATTAATTACCGCTCGTTTTTTTTTTTAGAAACTGAAATTACCATTATATTTATTCAACATAGCCGTATAGTTTATGTTACCGCATGCCTAAGTTCTGCGCTCACGCTACGCCACTGCAAAATAGCACCCTCCATTAGGTTATATTATTCATATCAGGTTATAATGATAACAACTTTCATGGCATTCCAATTGCAAGTGAGAGTTATAAAGCGTATTATATTCCGAATTATGCAAAGCATTTTGGAATTTAATAGCATCTATGTATTTGGTTTGAAATGTTTTCCCTGTTATGTAGGACAGCTTTTTCGTGGCACTTGAATATTTGCGTGTGATGCTGCTCCTTCCCAGTTATGTAGTGCCTTGAAGAGATCATTGCAAAATTTTTCGGATAAGCTATATCACGAAGGAGGAAAATATTACTTTTGGTTTTTACAAGGTTGGTTGGGCACATTGAACCTTCTGAACGCCCTGAGCCCTCCTGAGCCCCCCTGAGCCCCAATGAGCCCCAATGAGCCCCAATGAGCCCCTAGGTTTAGGAGTTTAGTGGAATCTGAATTTCAGGGTGCAGGGAATTGAATTTAACTAAAAATTCGGTCAAATTTAAAAGAATTCCGAAACTTCATGACAAATCTGGTGCTTTTGAGGGAGTTGGGGGTATGGAGCATAAAGATAACACGCCAGGATCTAGCCTCCCTGCATTCAGTACACTGAAGCTTAGTTAGTGAGGCATGACATTGAATGCAGTGGCGAAATTGGACAGTAATGCTGTTGTTGAGTAAGCAGACGAGTTAGAGACATTTTACGAGACGGGTTTCAGGATGTTGGCAATTATTGCTTATTATAAAAGACAGGAGAATAATGTGATATTAATTAAAATAGAGGTATCTTTCTCGAAAGCATTTAACTGTTGTAACATATAGAAGAAAGAGAGAAAATTTAAAAGTCCATAAAATTTATTTTTTAGCCAAAAGTGACACTTTTGGGAATGGGATTGCCCCTTTTTTTCTTAATCGGACTTACGGCTTACAGAGCATTACAGAGCAGGCACGTTTGCTTGCAAGGATTGTTTGACGCTATCAAACTACTACACGAGAGGACCTACGACATCTGCGAAATGTTCTTTTCAAAGTTAAAGATCGTTTACGTTTTTGTTAACATGTCGTTTACCAAACACTTTGAAATAAAACAGGTTTGATTTTGGGTGATATGCAGTTGATTCTCAGATGATTTATAGTGATTTCACATGATTTTAACTTTTATAACATACGACTGATTATTAGAGTAAAGAGATCGTGAACAGTTTAATAAATGAAAAGATCATAGATCACCTACCTCAAGCACTCAATAAATAGCGAAACTACTTTTGTCAAAAAATTATTGTGCACTATAAGCAAACTGCAAACTTGATCATGATTCTGTCAAATATTGAATCCAGGTACGCTTGTTTTCAGACATTGCTATTGCAGATGGCTCTAACAACAAAGGAGCAGGTAACTATTGTGTACTATTAGCAACTTGCAAACTTGATATTCTTTTTGCATGATAATGATATTTTGCCCGTTCTGCCAACTATTGAATGCCGGTATTCTTGTTTTCAGACACTGTTATTGCAGATGGCTCTAACGACCAAGGAGCAGGTAACTATTGTGTACTATTAGCAACTTGCAAACTTGATATTCTTTTTGCATGATAATGATATTTTGCCCGTTCTGCCAACTATTGAATACCGGTATTCTTGTTTTCAGACATTGTTATTGCAGATGGCTCTAACGACCAAGGAGCAGGTAACTATTGTGCACTATTAGTAACTTGCAAACTTGATATTCTTTTTGCATGATAATGATATTTTGCCCGTTCTGCCAACTATTGAATGCCGGTATTCTTGTTTTCAGACATTGTTATTGCAGATGGCTCTAACGACCAAGGAGCAGGTAACTATTGTGCACTATTAGCAAACTGCAAACTTGATATTATTTTGCATGATAATGATATTTTGCCCGTTCTGCCAACTATTGAATGCCGGTATTCTTGTTCTCAGACATTGTTATTGCAGATGGCTCTAACGACCAAGGAGCAGGTAACTATTGTGCACTATTAGCAAACTGCAAACTTGATATTATTTTGCATGATAATGATATTTTGCCCGTTCTGCCAACTATTGAATGCCGGTATTCTTGTTCTCAGACATTGTTATTGCAGATGGCTCTAACGACCAAGGAGCAGGTAACTATTGTGCACTATTAGCAAACTGCAAACTTGATATTATTTTGCATGATAATGATATTTTGCCCGTTCTGCCAACTATTGAATGCCGGTATTCTTGTTCTCAGACATTGTTATTGCAGATGGCCCTAACGACCAAGGAGCAGGTAACTATTGTGCACTATTAGCAACTTGCAAACTTGATATTCTTTTTGCATGATAATGATATTTTGCCCGTTCTGCCAACTATTGAATGCCGGTATTCTTGTTTTCAGACATTGTTATTGCAGATGGCTCTAACGACCAAGGAGCAGGTAACTATTGTGCACTATTAGCAAACTGCAAACTTGATATTATTTTGCATGATAATGATATTTTGCCCATTCTGTAAAATATTGAATCCAGGTACGCTTGTTTTCAGGTATTGCTAATGCAGATGGTTCTTGCGACCAAGGATCTGGTAATTATTCTGCACTTAAAACAAACTACGGTTATAATATCACTTTTGCATTATTTTGACATTACGTCCTTTTTGTAAATTGTTAAATCACAGTATTTTGAGTAACAATAACTTTGTGGCTTATGTTGTATTATTACGGATGGAGAGGTATCTTCTAGGCAATTAACCTACTCAAACTGTTTTTCTCTCATGAGGTTGTGTATTTCATGGCCTCCGACGGAGGGAGGGCCGGGGGCCTTGCCCCCCCCACTTTTTTGCAAAACAATAGAGTTTTTTTCAAAATCTTTTGTTATGGGTGTTAAATTTTCCCTTGGCCCCCCCCCCCACTTTTCAACCTTTGTCGGATCCCATGTATTTGTTTTGTTTTTTCGGATAAATTAGCTTTTTTGTTCTGATTTTTGCCTTCGTTTTTATTTTAGACTCGCGTTTGCTAGAAACACTTTCAGGTAATTTTCCTATCGCCTTGACAGGTATCCGTTGTTCTTTTAATGTGAATTATTTGTTTGCACCAGTATGTATGGCTACAAGATACAGATATTTTTATTAGAAAACCATAAGTGCGATTTTGAACCTTTTGAAGTGTATGCAATAAGTGTGAAATCCGCAGTAGCATATATTAACAGTCTTGTCCTAAACACCAAAACAAAGGTTTTTGAACAAAGGTATTAACCGGAGTAAGAAAACACCTTTCTGAAATCTGTACTTCACATGGGATAATTTTTTTTGCTTCCTTACATTAAAGCCGTGCAATAGTTTTTTAATATCATCATTGTTATTTTTGTTGTCTGTTTGTACATGTTTCTTGCAAAAAAAATTTTTCGGTGCTTTCTGATGAAGTCTTTCATTCTAATTTACTCGAAACAAATTTTGCCTTAGGCTGATAATTTTTCTAACTCAAGTTCTTTAACGTCAGCATGTAGCTTGCAAACTTTTATGTGTTTTTGGTCACAGATGCTTTATACTCTCTGTCTTTATTAAGGGTTAACAATTGAGGATCTAGACCAAGACCTAATACATAGCATTTCAAACCTCCTTGACAAGAACGGTTGGGAGCCAGTTGCTGGTGTCATTTTTTGTAACGAAGATGACGTAGATGGCATCATAATTACATTGAGGTCATGTCAAGCTGGAGGAGGACAACCTGCACTTAACTTCATAAGACATCTGTTTTCTTCTCACCCTAGCGAGAACGTAGGGGATTTTAAACAGAAGTTAATGGAAATTGGCAGAGAAAATGTCATCCAGTTTATAAATGAAGTGACTGATGATAAGCTCTTGAGTTCATTGAGCTTTGACAAATTGTCAATGCTTTCAGGAAAACTAGAATTTTCACAGAAATCTGTTAAGTACTGGAAGCACTTAGCACCTAAATATAATCTCAGCAAGGTAGATATTGCTGGTATCGAATCTACGAAAGTTGAATACCAGCATTACAGCCCAACCGAGGCTTTGATTCAAGCTTTGTATATGAGAAAGCCTGAATACAAAGTGAGTGAGTTCATCAAAGTATTGGAGGATCTCAAGTTCAATAAAGTGGTTGATATCATTAAGGAAAAATATTTGCCATCAAGCGATTGAGAGTTGTGAACAGGAAGACATTGTTTGGGACTTGGGTGGATGTGAGAAGTCGGACAGGGGGGTTTTTCAGGCGGGTTTTTGTCGGCGGGTTTGAGCAGAATTTTTCTCTTCACATACCATACCGAATTAGCCCCCTGGGGGCTTATTTATTTTTGATATTTTTGGACGGTGGCTTATTTGAGGGGGGGGGGGCTTATAGGAGGGGGGGCTTAGAAAATTATTGTAGACAATAAGAAGACATTATTAAAAGACCTTGTTTATTTTAGTAGAAATTTCTTTATGAGCATTTAATCAATTACTACCAAAAGTACGAATTTGTCGTGGTAATTCAATAAAACACCATAGGCAACCTCAGATGGCAAAAACCGTCAAATTGAGGGGTCCAATTCGAGAATATACGGTAGCAGTAGGGGCTTATTCGAGGGGGGGGGCTTATTGGAAATTTGTAGTTCTAGGGTGGGGACTTATTCGAGGAGGGGGGCTTTTTCGAGGGGGGGGGCCAATTCGAGGATTTGCTGTACTGGTGCTTCGCTACTTGTTTTATCCTTCCTGTGATATACAAAGCATTTAGACAATATTTACCTTTTGGATTGTGCAGTATTATATATGTAGTATTAGATAGTGTCCCTGATTTTTATTGTATGCTAAATTCATGACCGTTGTTGTAAAATTCACTGCAAAGCAGAAAATTTCGTATCTCTTAACGAAAGCGTTTAAATCGAGGTCTTACTATAGTCATGATTTCTTATTGACTATTGTATAAAACAGCGGCGTCGTGACTTGGGGTACCTTCACGTCTTATAAAATCAATTAGGAATTAGGCAAAGGTAGTTACTCTGCTAGCTAATTATGATATTTACCCGAAGGTAAGCGAAACTAAGCATTAATGATTTCGAGATTTCTTGTTGGCTCTAAACCCAAAAACAAGGCCCTTCTTTGGTTAAATTGTATCTTGTGTAGAATTTCCCTACGGTTTTTCGGAAAACGCATCAAATGCAATTGATAATTAGCTCCAGAACTTCTTTACATGCAAGATGTAAAGAGGGGGTATTGACAACAAATGCTTCTTGTTACCTGGCTTTTAAAGTGACGCGACAACATTGTATTTTCAAGACCACAGCGAATTTTAGCAGTTTTTTATCTGCTGCAAAATTCATTTGCAAAAAATTAAACAATTATTAGTACGATCAGTGGCGTAGCGTGACTTTTTCAACTGGGTATTCTCTATTAATCAAAAGGGTGGGGCAGGGTGTGGCTCGATGCGGCTTGATGAAAATAGGGGGATAATAGGAAGATTAAAAGGACTAGCTATTGACATTTTATCTAATTTTCCTTTTGGTTCGGTTGGCAAGTACTGCACTGTCAGGGCATTGCTATGATAAAAACGATACTTTGCTAAAGGACCCTTCAAATATACTCTTCGAACTCATTCATTGCATTAAAATACCACTAACCATTTCATCAAAAGCAATTCAAATCAAAACATATCATTGAAAGTCAGTAAAATTTTACTGGTCGAAATATGTCCCAATAGTTGTTGTTAAATCGTCTAACATTTGCACTGATGTAAAGAGGAAGTAACTGTAAACACCTACTCTTAATACCTTTTAATACAAAAGGGCTTTCGAAAGTTTCAAAATTATTCACATAGGGCATTACATGAGTTATAAATGATTTTGTGGTATGCAGTATAGACTTTTTCTTCATGGTCTAATCGTGATATTGTCAATACAAATTAATATTTGAAAGAATCGAAGGTAATGAGATGAGACTGCACAATAATGCAAATAAATGCGCTCGAATAATGCAAACAAAATAGGCCAACAATATAACTGAATACACCAGGCAACTATAAGGATATTATCCAGGCCTATCTGCATTTACTTTAATTCTATCACATAATACAAACAGAAACATCCCTGATTGGCAAGCAATAACAAAGTGGCATTTCAAGAGGGAACAGATCTGAATCAGTGTAGTATTATGTAGCAGCCTACCTTTCCTTTCCACTTTGCTGTTGGTAGATTAAGATTAGGGGTCAAATGAGAGAATGATTATGAAACAGTAATACAGACATTGCAATAGTTTTTTTAATTAAGTCATGTTTACTGTTTTCGATGCAGCTCCATCACTCCAACCGCTCCGACGTCCATTAACTGTTTATATCAATCTCATAACGAGACTATTTTGAACCAACTTTGAGGCTGTACGCTGCATATTTCTCAGCGTACAGAACCATTGTTTTAGCTGATTAACGGCAAATATTATTCATGGAAAGGAGCATTTTGATTGGTTAAAGTACCGTCTAGGGTATTCACTGCGTATTCATGACCGATCTCCATACAACATGAAGTAGCTCAATCTTCAAAATTAGCTTCAAAGATCTCCCAGCTTCTCTATGCTTCGCAGCGTTATTGCTTCCATGAATTTCGTGATATTTTGTACTTGTACAAAATGTAGAATATTGAAGGTAACGAATTCAACCAGAATCAATAGCCCCAAAACATTTTTTATTTATTACAATTATACGTCGTATTAATATTTTTTCTGAGAAATCTCAGGGTATTCACTGAATACCTTGAATACCCGGACGCTACGCCACTGAGTACGATATGGAGAATTGCTTTAGTAAAAATTGCATAAAAGAATGCGATTTCCAGCGAACTAGAAGCATCAAAATTCGAAAATTTAACTTACCTTCGGCGACAACCATGGTGTCGCCACGGGTGTAACTATATCCTATATCTTTCCCGATATACAGATCAATAAGGTTGGAAGGTCAATTACTTATTATTTAAAGGACAAGTGACACACTTTTCACCCTATCTTTTCTTTTCATTAACTTATAGATCATCTTTTAGAAGTAAGTTTTTCCTGGTTTGGAACAAAAAATTCTAATCAGGGGGCGCAGGGGGCGCGATTTTGCTTTTTATCACGTGACCCTATGACGTACATTGTGATAACTCAGAATTTTCCTGTAATTGATAGAGAGTTTACCAAACACGACGCGACAGGTCCAGACGAACTGAATTTGTTTAGAAGCGTGTTGTAAACGTTAATATTGCACTGTATACCAGTAGCAGCAATAACAAATTATCACAATCTACGTCACGGTGTCACGTGATTCATTTCCCGCCATGATTTCAAATGGGTTTTTAAGTGGGAAAATGAAATCAGAAAAGAAAAATATTTCAACAACACTCTCATACAGCATTTTACTTTAAGTTAAAAGAAAAAAAAATTTGGCGCCAAAAGCGTGTCACTTGTCCTTTAAATAGACGTTTGAATTAGATGTCATAGAGTTAAGTTGACAAAATGTATTGCAGAGAGGTTTGTGCCAGCAACTAAAGAATTTCGGGTTTTTTGAACCAGGAAAATTCGTAGTCCAGTGACATCTAGTAAACGACACCTAGTAAACGGAATTGTTTAAATGTTATTGCATAGCTGGGAATACCAGTCGGATATGAAAAGAAGCCCTGTGTCGTGAACACTTTGTCTCTTCGTTTTTGTTCTCGGTACCCTTTCCCTATTGCTGTCAGTTATATTAATTGCAATACGCTCATATTTTAAGTTGAAAATAATCCTATTGGTGATTTGTTTTATTTCAAATTTTTATATGTATTTTGCTTGTTCGTTATCTTGTATGTATTCGTTAAAAGTTGTTTCTATCATTTAATGTGTTGCAAACATTTAATAATATTAACTGTATCGTAAAGCAGCGTGTTACCGCTAATTTTTTTTAATTGAATTCGTCGTTTTATTAATTGAAATCGCCTCAAAGGAAAAGCTATCCTTATCAAAAATCACTTCATTAGTGAAGCTAAAAGTTACTTGTTTTTAACTACCGAATGTGTTAATTTTTACGAGGGGCAATTCACTCTTGCAAATAGCGTACGAGATTTTCCCTAAAACAAAAGGATTTCTGGGGATTTTTAGATAAAACAATAGGATTTTCGCAAAAGGTGTACGAGATTTTCTTTGGGTGATTTGTCCCTCGGATTTTTATGGAGCATAAGTTTTGAATGCTGGATTCGTAGGCTTGTGATGGATATATTTGTATAAATGATTGTATAAATCTATTGAACAACTAAGGTGGACAAAATTTTATTTTTGAATGAAATGTTGGCTCAAATTGTTTCATACATAATTCGAATTTTATATCATTTTGTTATTCTAATGTCTTTCTGTCCTCACTATAAATTCATGATCATAGCATCATATCATATGCCTTGATTTATTCGAGAGTTCGATCTTCACGTAGAAGAGTCACATCTGGCTTTGCACTGTAATAAAGTAGGTTCACAACCTCCTAAATGAAGTATGATAACGTCACACCTCTCTTAGATACAGTCACATTTCTGCACCTTTTTCAGCAGCATGAATGACTTTCTATATCGAGCAGCAATACAAACACTACAAACATTCCGAGCACTTATTATTTCTTTTGCTTTACAAATAAGACATGGTCAAAGCCAAAATGACCCCCATACGATAAATACTTGTCTTTTCTTTATTTTCGGTTTGCCTCTTGAATAAACGATTGTTTTAGTCTGATTCTGTAGCCCACACTAGCTGTTTGCAAACTACGTTATAAATGAGAGGTAATTGCAGTTTGATGCAATTTACAACGAAAAGTTTAAAATTACTATCACTCTTATCTTTATCAAGAGCTATCAATATTCTTGAGACCTCTTGGAGGGCTGAGCCAACGATAACTTTCTTATAAGCAGTATTCATTTCCACCAAATGCAAAAAATTAGTATTACGTAGCTGTTTACATCAATATGTGAAATTGTGGTGTTGATAAGGTGAGTAAATCCTTTTTCAAAGTTAGAGTACTGATTGATGATGATACAGTCGTGCGGGCCGGACAGAAACGTTAAAAGGGCCGGATGTGGCATGCGGGCCGTAAGACGCCCAGGTTCGTATTTGATGAAGACGCTTGTGGGCAGATTATATCCATTTGCTACCTTGATTTGGCAAGAGAAAAGGCACACTCTACAGAATGCATTATCCTCTAGATAATCTCGATAGACGCTCCCATCAAGAAGATTGTTTTTGAACTACCCTTTGATACGAGGACCACACAAATCTGATCACGGAAATAAACGCGACAACGGGAAACTGGAGGAGCGTTCTGTCTCTCAGCTAAACGTTCTTCCTTATCGAACACAGGTTGCGATTGCCGTGCTCGAATTTTCTGTGGTTCTGAGGTCCGGAGTATCGTTTGACTCTCTTTACAAAGTAATCTTTCTCCGGTCCGAACTACATTCGTAGAAAGTTAATCTTGATTAGCAAGAGCTCGTAGAAAGTTAATCTTGATTAGCAAGAGCTCTTCTATTTACAATTAATTACCGAGATACTGAGCTTTCATCAAGGGGTCTTCTATCAAAAATGATCTGATGATTTCACTGGCTCATGTCATGGAGAAATTAAACGTGCATTATAAGAACCTAAGATGCAGTACAATTATGAAAAATAGAGGACTTTGCAATCTGCTAACTTACTTCTTTCTAAAATTTTCCGTGACAATCTTTTCCTTTGCCCTTTAAAATTTATAGTTTTGCTCTCTTTTGCTGCTATGGCAAGACTTACTTCTAAGGGCCTCTGTTTTGCTAGTGCCTCGCTTTCCGATCGCTACATCGGATTAATTGTCTGTTGATTCAAATCAAAAGCGTAATTTTTTGATTAAGTCTAGGTAAGTCTTCAATTTTGAAATTTGCACTACAATTTCATTTACCATATACCGGTTAAAAAATAACGATCTCATGAAAAACGAGGTCATACATTTGCTACTTAATAGATATCACATCTTTCATACTTCTCTTCTAAATAATTGAGTAAGATTTGTATTTTGAGAAAGTTTAGTCCGATCCCGTAATGGAGCCCGTCATAGCTAAAGAGGCTTTTGCTCATGTTAAATGTATCTATGACTGCAACACCTCTTCTCATTAAATAGTTGTGTATTTTATTATTGAATTCCAATATACCAGCATTATGAAAGAGAGGATTCATCAGCAAGAAATCTGGAACAGCATGTATTCCCATCCATATAACTTTAGGCCAACCATTTCCCTCCGTTTCTATAACGTCCAGAACTTTCTTTACGTAGAGATCGATAACTTTGTTAAGATCAAGCCGATAATGAAGCCCCACTGCAAGCACAACGTACGAGTCTTCCCTTTTGAGATACTTTCGTATTTGCTCCATATCTTTATCTTGTAAATATTTCTTGTAATTTTCAACCAAATCAAGATTGAAGTTCACCTTGCCGTTGCAAATGGACCTTGGTGGCAGCTCCTCTAATTTGTGTGCTACGATTTCCAAGTTGCATTTTTTGATAGCTATTTGGTGATCCGCATAACAAAACGCTCGCTCTTCGTCCGTTGCTTTGCCAGGCATTGCCCCTGAATGTAGATTTCCACTTAAGAGCAGAAACATTGTTCTTGATAACTGTCTTATAACAGAGTCACCTGTAGAAAACAAAGAAATAAAAATGAATTCGGTCAGTGGTTTATTTGAGTCTATTGTGAAGGATATGGAAAACCTCAATTTGGGTCCAGGGCTCCGGACGCATGGCAAGACGGTCTCATCACATTTGGCATTTCCGGTATCTTTTCACATTATGCTCTTTAATCAATAGTAGTTGCCAATTATAGGACGCCCTATAAAAAAGTTTGGAAAGCCTTGCATCTCAAAGCAAGGTTACTCGAAGGCTTTGTATAGACTGAGATGAGAAGGTGGGCTCGGGGAGGGAGGGGGTGTCAATTGCCTGGATGAGTATCTTATTTTTGTTCTTTCTGTTGATTGATTGAACAACGTATGGTTACTGCCAGTGCCATTTAAGAGCTTCCATATATAAAATGACAGTATTTCAAAAAGGCATTTACCAATAAAAGCTATGCTGATGGAATGCTTGTTTAGAAAACTGCATGCCATATCTTTGGTGAAATTTTTTACTCTACAGCAGGTGTCACTTGGAACCCATTCTGAGATCTCAGCAGAATTATATTTTCTGAAGTCGGTGCATTGGGAACAATTGCAGTCTTCTGTCTTGTTGCCACAGTAACCAGTGACGTGATTACAGCAAGGCGAAGTGCTTTCTGGGTCACACGCTCCTTGCAGATCATGTCCAGGGATCGGATATTTCTTACCACACCTGCAAAGATACACATTCGGGTAAAAAGGGGGTTTCTGACAATGAAAGGACCACAAAAGCAAACATTTTTCAGTTCAAATTTCAAATGGAATATTTGTTCCAATAGAGTTCATACGAGCGGCGCCACAGAAAAACTTTTTTAGAATTTTTAAAATTTGACGACATGACTTTGAAGTACTCTATGAAATACCTCCCGATATGCAAAATTGGGCTGATGAGTAAAAACCCGTGAGATATAGGCAGCAAAATATTAAAATTTTGCCAACGGATCCCTGCTATATTCACTCTGTTCATAGAGTTATGAACAGAGACCAAATACAGAGTGAAGTAAAGAAAAGTACTGGCACCTCAAACATTCGGTTCCGCCCAGTATCAGGGCTAGACTGAATGAGCAGCTAATGCTGATCTAGGGCCAGCAACTACAGAGGTTTGATGGAGCAAGAGCCTGTGCTCATCTGGCCATATCTCTACCAATTCGTGACAACTTTAACTAGTTTTGCATATCTAGAGGCATTTCACGATGGTCTTTCAGCTCATGAGATTAAACAACTGTTGAATATTATCCGACAATGCTAGTGAAATTCCCCCCCCCCCCCTACCATAATGGCTAAAAATCTATTTGAAAAGAGCGTTTTCTATCGTTCTAAAGGGTGTGGATCCACATTTTCCTTCGCTCAACTTGCCATTGCCCCCCCCCCATTCTTACCACACTGGCTACGCTACTGGATGTGTTATGAAATTTTTTTAAATCTCATCTAACATCGCAAAATCTCGTGGCTAAACGAATAGAAATTGTTCTATCCAAAACAGTTGGATAATGTTTTACGGTGTTGTTTGATCTGTTTAAGCAGGGCGTCATAGACTGGAGTAAACTTGGAATTGAAGTTCAATTGAACAAATGTATTTATACTTTTTGTTTTTTTGTTTGAACAAATACATCTTTTTTTAATTGAAAAAATGTATTTATACTTAATTGATATTGTATTAGGGTAGCTGAAGGGTTGAATCGTGTAAAAAGGAATATTATTATAAGTTTGCTTATTTTGGCTTAGGGGTTTGTTATTTTGGCAGCTGGAAAAAGCATTTTGGACTAGGCTGAACAGTGGGGAGGGGGGGGGGCTAATTGTATGTTTGAATTTTGTAACCATGCTGCGGAGGAGAATTGGACAACGCCCAATTGGAACAGAGTTTTCCTAATAAATAGCTTTGGGCTTGGACTAAGAGCCCACAGCCTTTAGGACCATCTCAATAGCCAGTCAGCATTTTTTAAACAATCAAGAAAAACTTCTTGCTATCACAGGGCCTTGTGCATTGAACAATCATCCTTAAAGGCAATCGAAAGAACAGATACCAAATGAGTTTAGCCTTTAAAAATTGACCAATTAGTGCGTGTGATTTCACTCAAACGCTCAGTGATTGGCTAATATCGACTGACAGATTGATTAAGCTACTTTTAAATCTGTCGATTGCCTAGAAAAGAAACAGCCTTCATTTCATTTTCCTGAATTCCAAATTCCCTGCATGGTTCTGCAATTTGATTTTCCCAAGTGCACCGATAATCTTAATGGCAAGCATTTGACAGAGTATGGCATGATGGCCTCATATATAAACTAAAACGATGCGGCATCTCTGGTCAGCTCCCATCTCTTATTCAAAAATTTTTCAAAATTCGAAAGCAGAGAGCAGTTCTGAACGGGCAGGCCTCTAACTGGGGGATATCTTAGCTGGTGTACCCCAAGGTTCTATACTGAGACCCCTATTCTTCATTGTATATATAAATGACCTGACTGGAAACTTAAAGTGCAAAGTTAAGCTCTTTGCAGATGATACGTTCCTATTCACTATAAGACTCAAACACAGCTGCCAGTGACATGAACCACGACCTAGAGTTGGCGAGGAAGTGGGCTCACGATTGGAGGATGTCCGTCAATCCTGACCCAAAGAAGCAAGCAGTTGAATTAATCTTTTCGAAGAAAAAATCCGCAATGGATCACCCAGTAATAGTATTTAATAACATGTCCGTCATGAAAGTTGATGAACAAAAACATCGTGGAATTACCTTGGACGCAACGTTGTCTTCTCTACTCATATAAAGGCTGCTATCTCAAAGACAAGGAAAGGTATTGGTATGTTGAGATTCCTCTCCAGCTATCTGCCTAGGCATACTCTAAATTAACTAAACAAGCTCTTATGTTCGACCCCACTTAGATTATGGCGATGTCATATACCATATTCCACCAAAAGTATGTGACTTTACCGGCGGTACCACCTTATCAAATTTAATGGAGAAGCTAGAGTCTGTCCAATACTCCGCTGCCTTAGCTGTAAAGGGAGCCTGCAGGGGAACGTCCCGAGAAAAGCTGTACCTCGACCTTTGGTGGGAATCTCTAAACCCCTGCAGATGGAGTAGACGTCTCACGTTGTTTTATAAAGTCATAAACAATTTAACCACTGACTACACAAGGGACCCATTGCCACCACTTCAATATTCACTTCGCGAAATTGAAACAATTGGGCAATTACGAAAAATATAAATCTAGTTTTTATCCTCATTGCTTGCCCGAGTGGAACAAACTTGATCCTGAAATTAAATTTCTGTTGCTGTTTTCAAGACAAAGATACTATCTAAGATCCGATACTAAGATACAAAATCAGTATTTGGGATTCATGACCCGAAGGACCTGTCTCATCTTACTCAACTAAGGGTTGGTCTCAGCAAGTTAAACTTTCACAAATTTCAACACAACTTTAGAGATACAATAAACCCAATGTGTCCCAAGTAACGATGGAATCGAGGATACGGTGCAATTTTTTGTTGCTCTGCTTTTTGGTATTCAAAGGACTGATCTCCTCGCTGGAATATATACTCTTGTACGACTATATGGATATGCAAATCTTGCAAATGATGTTCTGTTGCAAATCTTATTATACGGCAAATTTTCCAAACCATCTCAATAGAAGCATCCTTGAGTTAACAATACGTTTTATACATTGTACTGGTCGCTTTATTTTGCCCACCCCTAGTAATTCAACAATCAGGTGAGATCTGTGATAATGCAAAATTACTTAAACTGCAGCAAACAACTTGTCTGCTGCTATTCGCTAATATTTTCACCTGACACCTAATTAAAGAGAGAGTGTAGTGTACTCTCTAAGTATTTTGCACCCAGTGGCATCGTCCTTGCAATGTCGTTAAGTATTTTGTAGGTAGTATAACTAGTAGATTTGTATTGTAAATTTTTATTGGAATGTAAAAAAAATCTTAATGCAGCCGTCAACGGAATGCAGCGTATTGGCTGTATATTATGGATGAATCTATAACAATCAGCAACAAACTGTTGTTACTATTCGCCTGGGAGTAGGAACTTTTATTCTAAGGACAGAAATATTCAACTCTCATTAGAATCAGAATATCGGATTGATGGTCTCAGATTCAGGCAAAAATTGATCAAAACTGCTGCTGTACTACCTTCAGTAGGCAGTTTACATCAATGCAGGTCAATCCGCTAGAAGATTAGCCGGGCGCATAGGATCACCTCGTTCTCGAAGGAAAAGAACACCTGTCCGGTATGAAAAGTAATCCGATTCAACATGAATCCGGTATCGTGTTAATGGCACCTTATACTTCTTCGTATAATTTGAATATAAATTGAAAATTCCTTTCTTACTTGGAATCATTTCGAAATAGACTTGTAGGCCAAGGAACTTTCATCTTTAATCTGATATCTCTATCCATATTCTTCCTGTATGATACTTCCTCTTGAGTAAGATCCCGCTTTTCTATCCATCTACCCTCTGTTGCATCCGGAATAACATTTAGGCACACCCTTGGTTGACATTTATTCATTTCCTCTTCTTCTGATAAGCCTCGAAGTAACTTGCAAACGTCAACGTTTTTGTAAAATGCAGGCCGATAAGTGCTACTGGGTAATCTATCATAGATCATGAGGACGATGAAAAAACCTATAAAGGGCACGAAGACAGTAGGTGTCAAAAGATTGCTGCAATAGAGAAGAAATAATTCAAATTAGAAAAATTAGATCTACAAGATGAAAAATGCAAGTTAATAGGACTGGAGTTATTAAGGATAGTTACATTTGTATTGGATTCTTAATTGTCTAGAATTTTAATAAGAAGTGTCTATAGTTGAGAGCCTTGAGGAGGTCTATAAAGACTCAGACGCTGATTGGACAAGTACACAGAGGCAAAGGTTAGAAGCCACAATTTTGTGAAACGAATGGCTGGCATTAACTATAATTTTTTTCGTCACATAAAGTACGAAAAACATAAAGTGCGAGGAGAAGATCAGTGGAAGTGATAATTATTCATAACAGGCAGAATATGCCTTTAAAACACATGGCTGTGAAATACTGCATCGCTAACCAAGCAGCAGGTGATAGTACAAATGATTGAATTCAATATTTGGAAATGGCTGTTCTGGTGAAAATACTGTCGAGATTTTTCGATCATAACACGAATTGCTCTCTATGCCTATCCGTATTTTGACGGATATTCAAGTAAAGAAGATGTGTAAAAGAAACATTATCGCCAAAGTGAAAAATCCTCAACAATGTTAATTCAGCAACGGAAGGAGCGGTTCACTTTTAGTCAAGCCTTGATATATCAAAACCATTTCTAACTTGAAATTACTAAAATCATTTCTAACAACAACACCAATGTGCCAATTTAAAGATTTGTCTGTCATACAAATAGAGCTGACACGAATATTGCAACACAAAACCGCTGAAAATCAAGATTAAATGAAAAATGATAGCCCTAGACTTCTCAACAGACCAAGAAGGTAATGCTATGAAAAGTGCGCATTTGGCGTTTAAACCTCATAGCATCTTAAGTCTAGTTATGGATGCTTTGTTCAGTCCTTGTAACCTTGTATCATCGGGAAAATATTTCCGCTACGCTACGTTGAAACATCGTGTCAAGCAATACAAAACATCCTGCGAAATAAACTTGAATAAAACAGCCTTGTACGACCGCAAAAACCATTAAAAGACGAAAATGAAGAGAAAAGTTAACAGATATTGCAAAATTATATCACAAACCTACCCCATGACAGCTAGCTACTTGCTGAGGGATGTTTTCCTTATCTTAAAGCCTTGAGTTTTATGCGCGATTATTCGACTATATCACGAACATATTGTTATCTTTCAAGTAAATATTTTCGAGGACGAAGGGAGCTACCATGGCAACGCCAGTTAAATGCATGTGCCCCATATTATTTAGCTTTGCGACGATTTTCGCGCACTGAACAATAATAGTTTGTGCTTGACTAACATTAATATTATATTAAACGCCGCCATCGAAGAACCCCCGCATTAATTTAACTAATATCTCAGCTCTTTCAAAAGAGTGATGACGTCACAAAATCAATTTATAGAATTATTGTCTTTACGTCTTATAATCTGGAAGAGTTTTACGAAATACTTCGAAACTTTCTGAGAATCCAGCAGCAAATTTTTAGTAATTTGTGATCAGGAACTCGGACAGGCAATAAACGAAAGTAGAAAATTTTTCAGCGACTTTTGAGTCACAATTGATCCTTATGAAAAGTCAATGCTTGCAAAAATCCTGAATAGAGCAGCAAGGATTGTAACAAGCAGCTAATACGAAGCTTCTCTGCTTTTCAGCATCGTGTTCATCTTGTAACTAACTTGCTTTCCCAAGATTTTGAGAACGGTTTTCCACTCATCTGAAACTGATCTTAGAATATCTTAAATGAAATTGCCAATAGCCGAAAGGCCTTTTCTTATCGTGCTGTGAAACTCTGGAACTGCCTGGAAAGAGAGACCAGATGAGCATTATTCTTAAAATATTGTTTTTGGGACATTCAGACATAGTATTTGATGACTCGAATTGGTTGGAAGATGTTTTGGTTGGCATTATGAAAACTGCTCCCGTTCTAAACGTTTGTCTTAAAAAAAGTTATAAAAGCAACGCCCCACGAATACAGCCCTTCCTAGAAAGTGCTTGAGTTTATAAAAGTCCTGCGTAATCGAGAAAATAAAGCATTATCGTAATGGCCATGGCTACATGATCTTTCTGTTCCATTTGCACTGTGTTAAGCGATCAGATGCGGTTCACAATCAACGCGAGAGACCGAATTGTTTGTTTGATTTAAAATTTAACTCTTTCTATCTACACAAGTGAGGATCTTTTGTTCAAAAATCCTAGGGTGATGCTTTGAAAGACTTGCAATAATGCATTTGCATACGTTTTCTATGTCGGGCCAAAGGTGAAATCTACGCCAACCAAGCATATTTTTACGGTGCACTTTGATTGTCAAGTGAATGCTGAACTATAGCCAAGGCCAAATTACATCTATTTTCTTTTCATGGGTTTTCTGTCTTCAACAAACATGACATGGCTGTTAAATTTAACACGAGTCTTAACACCCTCCATGTTGAAAACATTTCAGTTACTGACAAATTTCAAGAATAACCGCAAATAATGGAATCCAAATATATTACAGAAACAATATACTTTACATAGCAAATTTGTCCATAGAAAAATACATTTGATAAGAATTCGGCTACTTGTATTTTAAGCTATTTCTACTAGTCTACTTAATGTGTTAAACAACAAATTGATTTTAAAAAGATTAAACCCTACCCCATAGTGCTGTCCATCGTAACTTTTCAATTTTTTACTAATTTCATAAGTTCTAACAACAGTTATATTTCTTTTTTCGAGATATTCATTAATCTCTTTATTAAAAGTCTTTATCTTATCATTACGGAACTTTGTATCTATTCTTAAGAAGCCATCAATGTTGTGCAGCTCAACCCAAATGATTCTCGGCCACCCGTTTCCTCTATCTTCAATCATTTTCAGTATGACAGACAAGAAGTCCTTTATAACCAAGTCAACTCGCAGCCAAAAGTGCAGTCCTACCCCAACAACCAGATATGAATTTTTCACCCCTAATTGCTTCTTGATAAGGGTCAATGTTTCATTGTTGATGATATTGACGTAAAGCTGTGCAGATTTTACAGTGAAGTTAACGTTGCCTTGGCAAATTGAATTGTTTTTAGCATCTGCAGTAGAATGTGAGGCTGAATAGATGCTACAATCCTTATCAGTAATTTGAAATTCCCCTTTGCATTTTTCTAAGTCTGATGCACTGGCTCTGGCAGGCATCGCCCCAAGCATTGGATCACCCGATAGCAGCAGCAGCATTGCTGATGACAACTGGCGCACCAAAGAATCTCCTGAAAGAAGCAAAAAAGGTTTTCAAATGAACCAATTCAATTCAATTTAAGCCAAGAACTGAAAATCATTAGTCATTCTAGGGGAGGTCTACTTGCAAAATGCAAATCACCCTATCACCAGAATGAAATTCTTATCTACGATTATTCATCAAATCTTTACTTTCGTTGACAGTAATATCTAATCTTATGCATGTCATAAGCTTGCTAAACATGTCACTCATGTACATGGTCAAAGCAAACCATTTTATTTGCATCAAAATCTCAAATCACTTGCCCATGCAATGTCCAGTCTTTACTCTGATTCTGTTATCTTTAACCTAAACTTTAATTGCATAATTGCTAGTGGCAGAGTTTTTAATGACCTACCTTTAGAAAAACTGGGCCTGAACACTTCATTTTGGCTAGGAAGTGCAATCAAATCCTAAGGTTACTGCGCTGTTTTTAAAGAACTTCAGGACTTTTTGTTTAAAAATCTTCTAATGATGAATATAACATGAAATTATGAAACGACACAGCTGTTCATCAAATGGGTATAAGATTTTCAAGAAAAGATGTTCTACCAAATTTCAAAAACAAACTAACTTTGAATACTCTGCCGATAGCTACCTATAAATGCCATTTTGATTTCCCATTTGTTTAAGAAATCGCATGCTTCCACTGTTGTGAAGTTTTTTAATGCACAGTCCGGATTTTCTGGTACCCATTCTACCAGCTCTGCTGACTGAAATTCGCGGAGATCCGTGCATCCGTCACACCTGCAATGATATTCCGAGTCACCACATTCTCCACTCTTTGCATTGCAGCATGGAACAGCTCCTTCTGGATTGCAAAGACTTTGTATTCTGTATCCAGGTACTGGATATGCTTTTCCACACCTTAATGAGTATAGTTATAAACATTACATAAGCAATTGTCTATGTCTTTGGAACAGGCGTTTGCGGTCACCTTCAAGTGCACCCCCACCCCTCAAACCCCTTCAATTTTCTGCGAATTTTTCTCTCAAAAAATATCAGTTGTTAAAATCTTGTAGGCATTCTATTCCATGCGTGACCTTTTCTTATCCGACTTCTCTTTATGTTGCTACTTGAAGCATATTTAGCTATCACCAACGGCGATCATATTACTAACCTTTATGTAGACAAAACTGGAATTTGACCTTGGTGGAGCCATGCAACCCTAGCAACCCCCCCCCCCCCCTTCTCTCTCTCTTCGCTTGGCTATAGAGTACCGAAGTGTGACGTCATTTAAAAACCTATTTTTAGAATTTCTTAAATCGGCCACATAATCTGAAAGAACGGCATAAAATACCTCTCAATTGTGCAAAATTAGTTAGATATGTTCCAAATTGGGTGAGATATGTCCAATGAAAGATTTCAAGTTTGCTAACGGATTACTGTTATTGTGGCCTGGTTCATAAAGTTATAAACCAAGTCCAAGTTACAGAGGTTTGATGTGGCAAAAGCCTGTGCTCAAGCGGCCATATCTCAACCAATTCGTAATGCCTTTAACTGATTTTGCATTTTAAGAGGTATTTTATGATGCTCTTTTAGGTTCTGGGATCAAAATTCAGAAATTCTAAAAATAGATTTTGATGACATCATCACTTCGGTACTCTATGAGACTATGTAACAATCAGGTCAGTGACTTGACTGATAAATTTCTGGTAGAACTTTTCCTTAGGCTGTCAAAATACACAAAATGCTGAAAGAACATAGTTGAATATGGGATTGGTCAGTTAGCGAGATTTTAGGCTTTGATTTGCTGGCAAGGAATTTTCCACACAAATAAAACCAGTCACTGAAGTAAAATTTAGCGACAACTAATAATCTATGAATAAATTTGAATTACCTTGAGTCGTTGCGATAGAGTTTGGCAGGCCAGTTCATCCGCACTCTTATCATTTCATCCATTTCTTTTCTTTTGACGTAATCCTTTTTGGTCAAACCTGGTCGCTCTTTCCATGACCCTATCGTTACCTCTTTTGAAAATACTCTGCATGATGTTGCAATTTTAAACGTTTCGTCTGCAATATCAACTTTGTACCATACACGAAACAGACTGCCACTTTGTCCATTAACTAGATCACAATACCTCCCCAAATAGATGAATGTTAGCATGGCAAAGCCAAGGAATAACCAAAAAATATTTCTGAAAGGATACAAAGATGAATTGTAATAACTGAAAGAAAAAAATTTCTTTATTTTGCATTCAATTGTAGATAGTTTTCAAATAATCTTCTCACAATAAAATGTGAATGAAACTTTTAAAGGAAAGACATTTTGATTTTTAACAAATTTATAGGTTTTCCGAACGTCTGCTGTTTTAAATCCGTAAGTCGTTCGTTCTTCTGCGAGGGCATATCCAACTGCGAAAAGTGGACTGAAATCCGTCACCTCTAGGCACTTGACAAAAACACACGCCGAATCAGAACGAAAAGAGTTGTGAATTACTGGAACAATTTAACCAATGAAGTCATCAACTCTTCGATAGAGCAACAATTGGAACAAGCATACTATTGGCAAAAATATGCGGACAAATCTGAACACACTTATACCCTGATATATCATAACAAAGAATTATGATAGAGAATTTACAATTGGTGAATGCATTTCGGTTAAAACCTAACTGTATGCTTAAGATTCTTGTAGCGCTTGTATCAATAAATTGCACAACAACAAAAATTAGGGACGTCGCGTCACTATTGACAAAATTAGCGCTAGAGAAGTGGGGTTCATATCTTCAGGAGTTTGATGAAAACTGCAGAGAAGCTTTTATAATAGTTTTCCAAAAAGAGGAATTTTCAGTTGTAGGAGATACTCGATTTAAAAACACTAATTTGAGTTTTCAATGCGATGACTATTTAAGAATGAATAAATTTAAAAAGCACAGCATACATAGCAAGCGAACAAAAGAGTAGGAAAAGAACAAAAGAAGGGTATACCAGGGGTACCTACACAGAACCTAATGATTTAAAGGAATTTACAGTTATGAAGCAGTAACATTTGAGGTGAGATTCTTTGTACGTTTGTGTTTTTGACGACTTTACATCAATTCCGATTTGCATGTGAAAAGGAAAATTCCATATATTTTAGCACTTTTTAGTTTCACTTGTATAAAGAGAATAGTTACTTCATCATAGAATTTCATAAGTAGAACTATCTGTACTTAAGGGTTTTTTCTTACATGTTTTCTATGCATCAAAATTAATTTTTAGGAACTTTCATGCAGTATAAAGCCGCTGCTTGAGGGGAAATTAACACGTTGCGAACAATGACAGCGCCAGCTACTAGGATTTAGGTCTCCGTGATCTGGGGATCTGAGGGGTGGGGGGGGGGGGCGTATATGACAAAACAAAAACTTGGTTTCTAAACCTCATGCCGCCAGAAAACCGTCTTTTCCCGGCCGGAAACGCCAATTTTACCTGAAGAGGAGCTCTACGACTGACTCTTGGTTACATAAAGGCAAGTTAAAGACATATAGAGTGAAATCGCGAAAAATTGTGTTGCCAAAATATTACCCCTTGCCCAAAATTTTCTCATTAAATTTAGCCAAAATACAAAATTGATTCCCCCGTGCTGCCTTCTGTGTGGAGGAAAAGCTTTCCGAAACATTCTTTATTACAATGTCGTAGGAGCCTTAGTTACGGATAAGACAAGACGAAGCCAGGAAAATCAATTTAGGATCCATGCATGATATGTGACGAATACTAGACAGCATGTATTTTGTCGAGATTTTTGCAATGATATTAATTGCTATACAGGTAATTTTCACGAGTTTATTGTAAAAAAAATTAGGCTTATCCAACACAAAGTTTATATGAGTTGACAGAAACTCAAGTTATGCTGACCAGTTACTTGATCAAGGAAAAATACGTAATTTTATTCAATCATTACTATTACGAGAAAGAAGCTACTTACTGCCTAGACAGAGAAACAGCAAAAAACCTCATTGCCCTAGATTCGCCAAAATTTTTCAACCTGCTGCAATACTTCGAAAGCAAATCTAAACTTCAAAGTATTTCAACACGTTTGCAACAGTTTTATTGACATTACTGGCTGCTAGGGAACGCAGAAACGGGTAACCCGGAGAATGACCAGAATCTCTTTTCATAGCCACGAATAGCTTAATTTACCTGAGCATCACGAAGGGGATAGACTGCCTTTAAATATTTCGAAGAGGGAGTTAAAAAGAGCGGGAAGATTGAAACATTCCACGATTAAGAAAAAACTAATGAAGATATAAATAACAAAATAAAACAAAACAGCCAACAATGTACTGAAAGTGTATAAATTGATTCAATATGAACATCACAAAAACTTCCCTCTGTATCTTCTGAAGGTAAAATTGCTTCTCTTGGAAGCATTGTCACGATGTTTGACCCAATCAGCAACCAGTTTAATAATTACCTAATTCAGATGTGTTCTTTGTTTTTTTCTCTATTTTCCGATAAAGTTCTCTTTCAAGTGGGAGAGGGGAACGTTTTACTAAAAGGTTGTTTGAAAGAGGGGGTGTTATTTTGGATGACAACATTTATAAAGGCCTGGTTACACGAAAGAATATTCAACAAGAATCATGATATTCTTTTGTCATTTTTGCTTGTACTCCGATGGAGAATTCTTCAAAGAATAATCTTGGCACCTATTCTTTTCAAGAAAGAATAAAACTCTCTGCCCTATCTATATGGACCGCCCCGTCGATTCCATTCTGGGTGGTTGGTAAGGTACCTCCTTACAATATTCAAAAGCTTTGGAAACTTTCCAAAGAAAAAATAAAGCGGGTTTGAGAATGATCGTTTTCTTTAAATCGTTTTCTATTGGCCTTCCTCACGGTCATAGACTATACGACAGCCATGTTTTCCGGGCTATGTGAAAAAGGAACTTACAATAACGTCTTGAACGTAGTTAAGCTACCCTCGCAAGTTTTGGCTACATTTTTTGCAATTCTTTCCTGCAATAGTATTTTAAAAAGATCTTAAGAACATTTGCCGGTATCAATTTCACCCCTGTTTGTTGCTCAACTCGCATACAAAAGCACAGAAAAGAGTTCACATCCGTACACATCCGCATTTCCATTGTCAGAATATTCTTCAAGTCAGGATTAAAATGCAACTAGTTTGAATTAATTCACCTCGAGAAGAATATCAAACAATAGGACGATGACACAAATGGATTATTCTTTAAAAATTCTTCATCAGAATACAAGAAAGAATATTCAAAGAATAAATTCTTGTGTTGTTAAAATAGTATTATTCTTGTTGAATATTCTTTCGTGTAACAGGGCCTTTAGGTGCGGGGCCATTTTGGCTACCATAACTGTGGGGCCTGAAGCCACTGTCTCAAGTAAATAGCTAAAGCTTCTTTAGCATTCATAGATTGTGAGAGAAACTTATAATAATTCAGGCATCTTTGGCAAACTTGTTGCTAACGGGCAACGATTTTCTGAAATGTTTCTTCCGCGATATTGAAGTTAAAGAAATTGGAGCAAGGTGGCAACATCATAGATGCTATTTTATCCTACAGATATAAACAGTTGCATAGGTTATTTAAAATTCCAAAGGAGGCAACTTGAAAGGGAACATGCAGCAAGGTCTTCCATATGCACTATCATTAGACAAAATACATTATTTCTGCAACATCAAGTCTATTAATATCTGCAATTGAGAGTAATACATTGTTTTTAATTTCTAGTTTAAATTAATCACCCTTTTACACTATGAATTGACAAGCTTGCAGCCATTCTTGTGAGGGAAATTTACCCTCAAGAAAATAAAAATGATTTTTCCTTTTTTATAAATACTGTCTTTCACTTGGAGGGAATGCGCTCGATACAGACAGCAATACCCATTCCACCGCCAATGCAAAGTGCTGCAATGCCTTTCTGAGCACTTCTTTTTTGCATCTCGTGGACCAAAGTGACAATAACCCTTGCACCTGATGCTCCAATCGGGTGACCCAAAGCTATGGCTCCTCCATTTACATTTACCTACAAACAAATTCAAATTGCTAGCTTTATATACAATTTAGAAGCTGTAAATTATATCAGGCTATGAACCATAACTACCCAAGTTTCCCATCAACGAATTTTTATTCATGTCATATTTAAATGGAAAGTTAAGAAGACGTTTAATATTTGGTACAAGGAGGACTGTTTTAACAGTTCATAGTTTGCTTGATAGAAAAATGGAAAAATGGAAAATAGAAAAATTCTGTGAATTTAACTGTGAATATAGGACTGTGAATTTAAAACCAAACGAGCGTGGATGTCAGAAAATTAGTTTTTCAGATTAATTGTAGATAAAAGGCTCTACCTTACAGTTTAAAGCTTTTGAGAAGTGGAATTTCTTGCCACGAATAAATTCTAAAAATTATATAATTCTAAAGATAAATATTTGACCAATGAATTCACAATGTAACCAAACACTAGATTTCCAGCGAATTTCATAATGTTAAAATTCATGTGAACAATCTACACCTTTTTGAAGTGAAACTATTTTGCTAAACATACTAGATTAAATCTAAAAAACATATAAATTAAAACAGATCTTATTCTATATTTTCCATCCAACGGATCCAATAATCAAATTGCTACTTTTGGAGCTTAAAGAAATTTTGAAAATTCATTTGCACTGTTTCGACAGCATAAAAATGGGTTTTAATTCCGATGCGAAAGAAGGCTTAACTGAATTAGCAAAAACTACTCTAAACTCGTAATTTATCATTTTCAAGCAACAGATAATTTTCATCTTCGGGATATCACCAAAATTATTCATCAACAAAGTGAGTCCTCGCTCCTACTCTAGACCCTGATCTATTAATTATTTCACTAAAAATAATTAAACATAAACTATATTCTATTAATTTCAGCTTCAACTGAAATGCAACTTTCTGGAAATACTCCATAAAATGATAGCAATGGGACTTCTTAACGATGCAAGCCAACCTTGGAAATGGAAAGTCATACCTTACTAATATCTAGCCCAAGGTCCTTTATAACAGCCAATGACTGAGCAGCAAATGCTTCGTTCAGTTCAAATAGATCAACATCATCCAACTTCCAATTCGCTTTATGCAACTACAACAACAAAAATATCCACTAACTTTGCGAAAATAACAGGAAACTTTTATCCAATGCCACGAGGTACAATGTCTGCAAAAATTACTTGGAGCACGCAGCAATTTGCGTCGCGTTTTTCAATGTTTACTACTCCTCTTCCCTCTCTAGAACAATTTCGATAGCCTAGGCAAATATCAAACGAGTCACAAGAAAAAAAGTACTTCATAATTACTGCAAATGAGAAGAGGTGGCTAAATTTGCCTTATTTACGCTGAATTTATGTCGGCGTTTTAAGAGTTGTGACAGGGATTGTAGGAAACATATTTCTAGAAAGCTTTAAGTCATTTACCAGCCAAATAGCCAAAAAGTTTCCAAAGTATAGCTACCAGACTTTGAGTTACAATGTAAACAGACATGTAACTTTCAGTTACAATCTGATGGCACATTATCACAAATCATATTGCGATTATACTGAAAGAAAAATAAGCCAATAAAAATCTAACCACTGCACGAATGGCTGGTATAGGCCCGGTTCCCATAACTTGTGGGTCAACACCAGCTTGTGCCCAGGTCACTACTCTCGCCATTGGAGTAAGGCCAGTTTCCATTGCTGTCGATGCATTCATCAACATGACAGCAGCCGCTCCATCGTTTATACCTGAAGAATTACCCGCTGTGACACTTCCAGGGTTCTTGAATGCAGGCTTCAGTCGTAGAAGTTTTTCAATCGTTGTACCATGTCTTGGATGCTCATCCTCTGTTACAACAAGCGACCCTAAAACAACATAATGCATCAACTGCTCATTCAAGAGCCTTTAAAATGTAAAGTTAACTAGTCAATGGTTCTTACATAAAATCCAAGTTTGACATTCACGGCACAACAAAGCCTTGAATTAATCAGATAACCTTTAATGGTTTTGTCTTCTGTGTTTCGTGACAAATTGTCTTTCAAAAAAATATCATAATGAATTTAATAAGAACTCTGAGCAACTGCCTTGCTAATGAATCCAACTTGATATGAATGCAGTTCCAAGATCTGATGTTTTAAATTCAAAATCAAAATTTGACTATTACTTCAAGCTTTGATACCAGAGACATTTGAGAAGTCGCCAGAAAGACCACCCTGGAGCCGTTTATTAATATTGTGATTGTATATTTTCTGATGTTCGTGAAATGGCAGCATTTCTTCAGGGTCTGTCAAGCAGTATTGTTACTGCAGCCTTATTCACTGTACTTAAATTCAACACACTTCTCAAAAACCGTTGAGATATCAAACTTACTACATTTATCAAATCTGACGCTATACTTATTTACCTGCTCTAGATGTTATTTCCACATGAACAAGTTCGTTGACAAATTTACCACTCTTCTGCGCAACCTCCGCTTTTCCCTGTGATGATGCTGCAAATTGGTCTTGCTCATCTCTTGTTATGCCCCACTGCTCAGCAACGTTCTCAGCTACGAAAGTAAAATTCAATGTGAATTGATCACACCACGATTTCAAATTACATGATGTTATATTTAGAAGAGCATTGACTATCCGGTTGCGGATATACTGACTGGCAAACGAATGTTTGACTCTCAACATGCAGCAGTCTACAATCTTTGGCTCATAAAATTAACTTGGCACAATGAATCAAACACGTGCTGTTATCAAATGACCTTCAAAGCTTTGTATCTTCTTTCTTGTGACACAGATCAACCACAATGTAATTCAGATTGCAAAAGATAGCAGAAACTCTCTAAATAGTAGTTAACATTCGTTTGATCGTTATTTAGCTTTTTTCGCAAATAGAGTGTCTCACAACGTAACATAAGGGTGTCAGAACAAGAAACACTTGGGTTCTCAAGACCATAATCAAATTCAAATTCAAATTTATTCATTTCTAACAACAAGAAGTACAAGTTGGCACACGCATGGCACCAATAATGCGAGCGATTGATCGCACGCATGGGTTGTATAGTTGACCGTCGTTTTTGACCTGAATAAAATTGTTTTCATCAACGAAACATTCGAAGTTTTGTTTTTCATAAGCTGAGCAACATTGGCTAATTCTTTTAATAGTGCCTATTTCGCTCTGTATCGTGGCTTATCGCCTTGCTTTGTTCTAATTCTTCCGGAAACATGGCGATCGTCAGGTAGTGTACAAGTTAAAGTTTAAATACATGTACGCGAAAAGATTACATTACAAATTCTAATCTTAATCCAATAACTTCATATATTATTTATACTTTTTGTTCCAGACCCTTAGAAAAAACTCCAAGAAGGGCTATCGAGCAAAAGTCCCTGCTTTTTTAGGCATTGCTAATACTTTCAAGTAGTGTCTACAATTACTATATAACAATGTACCGAGTGGGATATAGGAGATGGCTCACTCTTCTCTTGTACTGAGTGGGATACAGGAGATAACCTTTGCTATAATGGCCTTGGAATGCAAGGAGAAATTAACGAATAAAAGTATAAACATGATACAAGGATTGAATTTAATAAATAAACATATTCCAAGACGATGCTACATCAATTAAACGTAAGTATAATCTGCACCTGTTATTCCCATGTGTATTCCGTAGAATGCATCAACAAGGCCATCCACTAACATGGAGTCTTTGAATGTTGCATCGCCAAACTTAACACCATTTCTCATGTTGGCACAATGTGGAGCCTTTGAAGAAGGTTATTCAAGAATTACCAAGATAAACGTTGCTTTTCAAGAATTACTTTTCAGCTTTAATAAGATAAGTATAAAATTTGTCTTATTTGATCTAATCTGCCCAGAATTTGACCGCAAAGAATTCAATTGCCACAACATCATTGTCACCAAAGCAATGAAATGAAGACAAACGCAAATTCAGGTTCAGATACCTGGGTAGGAATATTTTGCAAAGGGATGAAATAGATTTGTCACACATGTTTACAAAAACCATAATGGGTATTACAGATTGAGCAGGCTAAAGTACATTTGGGGGATAAGTGGGGGAGGGTTAAGCCCCATCACCCCCTGATTCAGCAGTCCCTGAAGGTTTGAACACAAGTTGGTTTGAACACAAGGTAATATTACACAAGTTGTTCAATAGCAGTTTTTTGTAATTACTTGACTCATGCTCTCCTGCCCACCAGCAATGACAATTTTGGCATCGTCGCATTTTATTGCTTGCCAGCCAAGAGTAACAGCTTTCATTCCTGATCCACAAAGCATGCTGACAGAGGTTGCAGTAGTTTCATACGGGACCCCAGCATCAACTGATGCCTGCCTGGCTGGGTTCTGACCTTGTCCTAAATATGCCAAAAAATAACAAAAATAAAAAAGCACAATATATTTTGAAATAAAAAACACTTCTCCTAAAAATGTCTCGATTTTTCTAAGTATCTGGTTCCTTTTATTTATATAGTTAATAACTTGAAGAAATCTTTCTGTATCACTAAACTGGTTCTATTGCAATGCAATGTATGTGTACCAAACAGGGAATCTATAATCACAAAGCAAAAAGGACTCTCCTTATCCGCCTGTAAGCAAAACATAAAGTGGCTGACATGACTCAATTTTAACTTCATACTCTGGCCTCTTTCTGTAGACAGAAGAGAAGGCCAATAAGGTATGATCCAGGGTGCAGCTATTACAAGAAATAGGAGGGCTCTCACACAAAATGTTGCATGATAAATTGAAATAAGTACAAATTTGTTTCTTTTTTGCAATGACAAGCAAAACACCCCTAAGTATGGTTTTGTGTGCTATTCACTTGGATGCAGAGCATTGTGTGGTGCTTACATCTGTGCTTGTAAAATTATTGCTTGCATCTAGATTGTGTGCTTGCTCAAAAGATTTCACTTCCAAAGGCATTTCCATGTGGTGGAGTTTTCGGTTCCATGTATACTTTTTCATGTAAACAGTAAGCAAAAAAAACATAAAAATAGTGTTTCCATTAGAGAATGTATAATATGCATATATTTAAAAGCCTTCTTGTGCAAATCTTATAAACCATCATATTGTAGTCATTACTGATGATTGCTTATATTTGATCAAAATTAATTTTTAAAATTATTTGTAACTACAGTACTTGGTGCTCAATAAACCATTCTCTGAGATGCTTGACTTGACTGATTTCGGTCAAGGCCTGCTGATGCATGCATGCAGAGAATACAAAATGATATCAACTCCTCTGCAATGGAGATTATTGTAATGTATTAAATATAAAAATAACACAACTTCATCATTTTATATGTGTAACAGCATATCAAAACTTGCAAACTGTCATCTAACAGACCTGCAGTTAGTGCTTGTCCTAATATAACTTCTGAGATTGACTTTGGTCCAACATTTGTCTGAGTCAGTAATGCTTTTATAACAGCAGTCCCAAGGGCTGAGGCTTTCAATGAGCTGAGTTTACCATTTAAAGCACCTATAGGTGTCCTAAGTGCTGCTACAATCACAACATCATTTTGATTGTATTCTGCCATGTTTCACTTGCATCAGCAGTAGCAACTTGAGAGCTAAAAGAAAAAAGGTACTCATCAGAGATCGTTCAGGGTCCTGATTAGATCATATTTTGCATATGGCAACTCTTGATGTATGTAGAGCCAGTGACACATCCAACGTCTATCATTGGTCCTACAGCTTGCATTTCCTCCAGTCTCATTCAGTATTTTCAGTCTCATTATGTATAAGCCAGTGAAGCTAAAACAGACATTTGTTTAATGCTTTATGAAATCATTAATGGTATGTGGTAGAGGTTATGGTCCAGGGGTGTCATCCTAACATTAGGAAGGGGGCTGTGCTGTAGGCAAATTCAAAGGCCACACCCATGACTACACCCTTACCACACCCAATATACTTGATTTCTATTTAAGACTCGATTTTGTGTCTAGAAATCATTCAAACTATTCAAGGACGCAAACAGACCGATAAGAACTTGCTATACACAAGAAATGTATAGTAAAATAAAGGGATGCCATCACAGAATTTGTCCAACTAAATATGGACTCAATTGTCAAAGGGGACTGGGCTCCAAAGGCACTGGAGCCATGGGGGCAGCAGGGGCAGCAGGGGCAGCTGGGGCAGCAGGGGCAGATGCATCAAACATCTTCAAGAAACATCAAACAAAAACTCACAATTATGGCCATCGAAAGATGGAGGTGGTGGCAAATTGGCCTTGGGCCTTGAGGTTAAGGGGGCCCTCAAAGTTTTCAGTTTGAGAAAGCAATAGTAAACAAAACAAAATTTCTCCCTAGTTAATAGCTTGATTTTATTTGATTTAACTTTTGGATTTTTTTCTACTTCACATTTGATGTTTGCTTTGATGTATTTATTTCCATTTGAATTACTTGATAGCTCTGCTAATTTATTATCTTTGAACTCTACATTATCTTAACATAGGCCAAGCACTTCTTCCTCTGCATTTTTTCAATCACATATCCGATATCCATGAAAATAAATTGTTTGCATTTTAAAATCACCCGAAAAATTGTATATACGTGAATATTTTAATACCTCTGTACTTATATACCCACGTTTAGACTCCTAAAAGTTTGCTTTATGAAATTTTACTCCTTCCACAGCTTTCACATTGTGGGAGACGCCATTATTCCAACGTGTTAAAACATTTTTAACAGCCTTATCTTCATAACGAGGATCTCATAATATATCTCTGTTTTTACGATTACGACGCCAGAGAAAATGGCGACAGAAAAAGTTGAAAAGGGATTGGAGGTAAGCACAAACAGACACCATTGATTTTAATAAGGAATTCGGTGCTGCTGACCTGGACTTACATGCACTTTTCATGAGCGCCATTTATTTAGAGGGTATCTTGAGTTGGAGCTACTATTCTAGTCCACGCGCGTTCAAATCGGTGATGCCCTTTGAAGAAAACCTAATTATTTACAATACCATACTCCTGTTTAACAGCACCTGGCCCACACCTGATCTTATCAGAAGATGCCAAACTTTCCAACTAAGAATTTTGTGATGCCAAGATCTAGAAACAAATTTTGTATTAGATGTAAAATTAAGGACGTGTGTGTGTCAGCGCGTAAACATTGAAATTCAATTTCAAATTCATTGTAATTTGACAACAGTTACCTAGAAGTATACGATTGCGTGAAGATGTAATAAAAAAGTTATAATTTGCTTTATACGTTATATCATATTTTTAATTAGACAGAGGTTTAGCCTAGGAGGACATGAGGTAAACCAGATGGTTTTCTGGCCAGTGTCCTAAGTTATATGAAATATAAATGATGATAGTTTACAACTGATAAGTTTACAACTTTCATAAAATTTGAAAACAAACTATACAAAATTAAAGAGCTAACGAGACAAAAAGAAAAAAAGATAAATACAAGGAAAGGAAAATTAAAACCTAGAAATGTTATTACTTCATATTACTCCTTTTTTCAAGTAATAAACAATTTTCTTTCACTTATTCAATTTATAAACAGAATACTGGCCAACTAATTGAATACTGGACATAGATAGCCTATATAGAAAATCTATAGGTACACCTTTTTGTCAATGAATTGTCAGCCATCCACCTAATGTAATCAAAACCAGTAAGGTCTTATAACTAGATATATCTGACACATCAAACCTTAAAGAGCTTTTAACCAAGCATCGCTTTTATAAAGCAAAATACTAAAATCTAATGGATACACAGAAGATTTTGGCAACACGAAAGAAAACAGGTTGGAGGAATTTCATAAATAGGGCTGAGGCCTATTTTTCTAAATGATGGGAACTGTTTTAGAAAAAAATATTGTCATCATGGTTCTAAAAAAATTTCATGCGTACAGAAGATCTAAACTTGTTTTTAAATGCTGACAACAAAAGGAATTCCCACTTTGTTAAGATCAAAAACCAAATCATGATTACACCTGCAAGCAACTAAAATTCTTAATACCTCCATAGACATACCTAATAAGTATAACACCAACAGAGAGAATATTCTTAAAGTCTCTGAATTTTACCATTAGACACAAATCTTTGAGTTCCAACTTAAGATCATCCTGTTCTACATACTAAAAAGAATAAATTTATAGTGTTTTTGTTGTGCTTATCAGCTCTGATGCCTCAATGCTTTGATATTTCAAGGAGCGGCAAACAGATGACACTGAATCAGAGAGTGACAGTGACAATGAAATAGCAAATCATGATAGAAAAACAGCAACACAAAAGAAAAAGGATTATATGAATCGTCTAAGGGAATTGCAGTTAAGAAGGGTAATAAATTATATTTATATTTAGAAATTTTTTGATGGTCCCACAAGTGTAGGCTATTTTTATGTGGAAATGCTTTCTTCTTTGTACCTCTTCTTTTTAACATTTAGCCATGAATTTGCAGCCCCAACACATCCTCTATGAATCAATGTTGCTATTTTGTAAACCTGTTTTATTCACAACAGAATGCAGCAAGGAAGTTAAATCATGAAGAGATGGTCGAAGAAGACAGGAGAAATAAGTTACCTGCAAACTGGGAAGCAAGAAAAAGAAAGGCAGAATGGGAATTAGCTGACCAGGAAGCTAGAAAGGTTCGTATTTTTTTTGCAATTATTATCTTTTTCTTTTTGCCTTAGGTAATTTGATAAGAGATAATAGTGAAACAAATAAGATAAGGGCAAAGAGGATGTGGGAAGCTTGAAATGCATACCAAAACAGACAATGTTTTTGAACATGTCTCAATAATCTTCATGGCACTCTAACATTTGATATCCATTTGATAACTTTAACATCTAACAGTACCAGCCTCTAACAGACTAATAGAGAGGGCAATTTACAGTTCAAGCATAATCAGAACTTTCCCTCTCACTTCTACCCACTTGGTCCTTCACACCCACATGTATTGAGGCTCCTTCTATTGTATTGGCCACGATTGGTCAAAAACAAAAAACCAATAAAATTCACTTTTTAGTCTTTCAGGTTTCTTTAAATCTGCATAAACGTAAGATAATTTCAAAAAGTTAGTACAAAAATAATGTCCCATTAAATATGGACATTATTTTTGTACTAATTTTTTGAAATTATCTTACGTTTATACTCTGAGGAGTTTCAGGTGAAAAGTTTTGAAAAGTTGAAAACTTTTGTAGGATATGTTTCTCTTACTTTGAATGTCAATTTCATCTCTAGGAAGCAGAAGAAAGAGGAGAGGACTATGACCAAACAAAACTTTTGCAACAGTCTGCGCATGAACTAGAGATGTTGGAAAGAAAGAAGAAAAAGAGAAAAAATCCAGATCAAGGATTTTCTGGTAAGTATTAGCATACCAAAAAGCAACATCTATGAAAAAAATCTGTGTCTGAATGGCTGCTACCACTTATTTTTCAAAAAACTGGTAAACAGAAAGTAATTATTGCTAGAAAGCAAGAGTGCAAGTTGTTGGGAGTACCACTTCCCCGAAAAAATTCACAGATACCCGCTTATGAGATGGTGGAATAGCAAAATAATGCTTGCTTCTCAAGTGATATCTAGTAAATTATAATTTTTTCAAGTTAATGGCATTTCTTCAGGCCAGGCTTGTTGTTTATTTCTTAATATAATCCTAGCAAAATCAGAGTTAAAAAATTGTATTCTTTGTAGATTATGCCGCTGCACAGTTAAGGCAGTACCAAAGATTAACACGCCAGCATAAGCCAGATTTGGAGTCGTATAACAAAATGAAGGATACAATGTAAGTTTTTTACAGCTCTGAGCTTAAAAGGGACCCAATTTATTGACCTCAAATTATTCTTTAGCTGATTTTATTGTGTTTAATTTCTCTACAGTTGATTCAAACCTGCTTGCCCTAGCTAGGCAGTTTTCTTCATTTTGCTATCCCTGCCCCCACTTCATTGATGCTTTGTACCAATCCCTCTCTGGGTGCAGGCTTACCTGCTAAAAATAACTTTAGGGAATCAAGGCCAAAGGAGGTAAGGAGCTTGCCTCAAAATTTAAATGGGAGGTGAACAGTGGGATGGGAAAGTACCAATCTTATCATTTCTCTCTGCTCTGGTGCCTTGTTTGTATCAGTACATCGTATAGTTCCTTTGATTAGCTTTCAGTTTCTGTCAGTGATTAGATTCTTCCTCTCGTGTTACTTTCCATCCACACCTTGATATAAAATTCTGCTTATCTGTTTTCTTGCTCTTTTTAAAACTAGAAATTCATACCTTCTGATAACAGCTTTCCAAGATGACTCTTGTGTTTATAATGTTTTGCTTTGGACATAGATATGAATCTTAACCTTTTTGATATGTTGAGTGAGCTTGCATTAAGTTAAGTATAACTGAGCTCGCATTTCTTTTTTCGTTTATGAAATTTTTCATTTTTTTTGTAGTGGTTACTATATTCACATATCAAGACATATCTTGGTTTATGCGATACACACATTTTGTTAAGAATATTGAGTCTTGATTATTTTTAGTTCTAAGCTAAAGTTTTTTATAATTTTTATGATTTCAAGCCTGAAATTGTTTAGAAACCATTCGTGAGCAACTCAACGTTTAAATTTGGTAAGGGTCGAGAAAGAAAGTTAAAATACTCGTTACTGACTTTCTTTCCTGTTAATAGAAAAGCGAAAACAGACAACAAGAAGGGCATTTATGTTCACTGCGCCATTTTACATTGTGACTAGATAGTATGGTTGATGAAGTATGCGTTCGTGATCGGTAGTTGTTGTGCTTTGAAAAGCAACTGTAGAATTTTGCTTTAGTTGTTTTCTATGGATAATTGTTTGTTTTAGGGGAGATAACGCGTTTCCAACTGCTCACAGCCTTAGCCATGGAGGTGAAGGCAAAGTTTCTGAAGCAGCTGTCGACAGAATGGTAGAGGATCTTGGCAAACAGTGAGTCTTAAATATCACTATAGAAGATATTCATTGAAACTAGAACTTGAATAGCTGACTTTGCTTTGCAATTGAACCTGCCCGTCAAATGGCCTACTTTTGATGTTGATTGTGACTTAGATGTTTGATTGAAAGCATCACCTATTCCATTCGCCATTTTGTAACAAAGTAATAGTTTTTTTCCGATACCTCTCCCTAAAAAACTATTAACTTAGGATTTATGCTTCATTCTCTTTAGATTCTAAGGTTTAAGTTTTTATGTTGCAAAGAATAAAATTTCAAAGAAATAGCAGTCAAGTAGGGGGTACGACAGATTGAATAATTGACATCCCAATGTATAATCGAATGAATAATCGAATGAATGAATGAATGAATGAATGAATGAATGAATGAATGAATGAATGAATGAATAAATGAATAAATAAATAAATGGATGGATGAATTAATGAATTAATGAATAAATAAATGAATAAATAAATGGATGTATGAATGAATGAATAAATAAATAGATGAATGAATAAATAACAAAAGGATGAACGATTGCTTAAACGGATGAACGAAAGAATAAGCAAGTAGAGTAACGAATGTATGATTCAGTTAATAAATGTATAAACGAATAAACGAACGAATGGATGAATTAGTGAACGTGTAAACGAAGGAAGAAATTAACAAATAAGTGATTAGATCAATAAATAAATGAATGTTTTTTTAAAATTAGTGAATGGAAAATTGAATGATTGAATAAATGAATACAGACACAGCGAGGATCAAGTGAAAAATTGCAGTTTAGATACAACCTTTAAATAACAACATTTCCGAACCTTATTAAAGGCAGCTACCTTATTCACGTTGTATATTCATTTACATAAGCCTTTTTGATTCATGAATATAAACACAGTTTACTGTTGTGTCTGTCTAGGATTCAGAAGCGTGAAAAGTTCCATCGCCGCCGACAGCATTTCGACGAAGCTGATATCGACTACATCAATGAGCGAAACAAGAAATTCAACGAAAAGGCCGAGCGCTATTATGGCAAGTACACCGAGGAGATCAAACAAAACCTCGAAAGAGGAACTGCCATTTAATCATTATCAATCGAACTGGCCACTGTTTATCGTATTGATGGCTGACAATCATCTCGACTTCTTCCAATGGATGTTATTTATCATTTTGAGAAGCAAATGATTTTGCCCAGGGCATTCATGCTGAAGGACACGAGACTTTCTTCACAATTTGACTCGCCTTCTGAATGATATAATCATGTTTGCAGAGCAATTTTTCACAAGCTCGGTTGCAATCTCTCTTGTGAAGTGTTAATCGGCCGGTTTCAATGTTAGGCTATCTTTAGTTATGATGTAATACTGACCTTATCACGGATCACATGATATCTACAAACTCTTACTTCAATTTTTGCATTACAATAGCTTCTATGTAATATTTTATTATCAATATAAAGCTAACAAAGCATGTCAAGATAATCTTTATTTCCTTTTACCAACTGATTTTACACATAGCTCGCTATTATATCATCGCAACTACAGCTAAAGATCATTGAGTTAACTGTCCACCGCTCTCTGTTTTTGACGTCATTCCAATATTTTTGGTTGGTGCTATCCGATTCCGTCTCCTTTTAAGTATGTACATCCATTTCTCTTTATTGAACGAACCGTAAATAACAGGGGACACGATTCCGCTTAAGAAGGTGAGATATTTCATTGAAAAAGTAACAACTTCTTCGGCGTCAGAATACAAATATGTTGTTGAGAGGCAGTTAGGACATATGGAAGCTAGTGAATAATACGCGAAAGAGGGACCCCAACAGGTAACATAGGCTGATACAATTACAGCGGATGTTTTTGCGATGCTCATCTCTGATCGCCTCTGCATGACGTTTGCATTGCTACTGCATATTGACAAACGGGCTATTCTAGATCTCCTTGCAGAATGGAAAATTACACAGTAGCAAATCATTATCAGTAATAAGGGCAGTAGAGTGTTACACATCAGCATTGCAATAGTCCACTGTTTTTGCGGAAGATATGTACATCCTCCAGGGGTGGTTGTCGATGCATTTGTGAATGGTATCAAGCAAAGCAACATTGTGTAAACCCAACTCGCTAAAATGCATCCAGCCATTTTCTGGCTTGTCATATTGGAGCGGTAGCTTAAGGGCTTTCTGATGGCATACATCCGATCTGCACTGATGAGGAGAAGAGAAATACAAGATGCGTAGTTCGTTGTCATGTACGAGAACCGGAATACATCACAAACTGGACCACTAATATCTTTATCCTGGAACTTTAGTCTTTTGAGGATATAAGACGGAACAACGACGATTCCTTGTAGCAAATGGCAGCACAGCAGATTGACTATTCCCCATGTTGATGGCTTCCATAACGGCTTCTGCTTTAGAATAAAGCTAAGGCATAGAGAATCAAGGGCAGTTATAACAAGACTTGTTATAGTCAATGTTATTGCCACCCAATTGTATTCCATCGTTTGACATATTCGTTCAACTTTGACTGGAGGCAAAACATGTAAAATAGCAACTGGTGGCATCGCCGTTCATCACACTCTTATATTCTCTATTGTTATCTTATATTTAAAAAGCTGTTTTATTGTTTAATTACCATAATGTGTAATTACATATTGGATTGTCACGAAGGGATATCATTGTAAATATGAAGGGCAGGAATCGATTCGTTTCCTTTTTATCTGAAATGTTATGATTAAACGGTTGCTTTCTACTGCCTGTTGAAATGATATTCAGAATACACTCTCGCATGCGCATTTATGTTTAATGCCGCAGCCTCATTCCTTACTAGGAAAGTATGAGAAACCTATTCCACACAATTCAAAGTTCTTTAGATTCCTTTTATGATCTCCTTTGAAGATCGTTACTTTTCGACAATTAAATTTTCTAACTGTACCTAAAAGTAAGTTTGTAACACACGATGACATTTTTGGATAGCGCAGTGGTCTGGGCTACGGACCACAGATTTATTAGTTTAGAGTTCGTGACCCTTGACATAACCAAATTTACACTCAGAGTGAAAAGAGTCGCCAGCTCTCTGTCATTCCAGACATATTAATTACTTGATATGATCGCATCGAGGGGATAGACCATGCGCACAAAGTCTTACCATACGGTATCCTTGGATGGACCATGCGCACAAAGTCTTACCATACGGTATCCTTGGATGGACCATACGCACAAAGTCTTGCATCCTTGACACAAGCTTCGAAGAGGCTAGGTAGATGAAAATACAAAAAAAATTTAAATTTTGAAATGCTTTGAGCTTGATCAGAATTCTCAGTTCCTTTGTTTTAAAAAAGCATTGGATCAAGTTTGGCTCCATTTGCTCATCAGAAGCCTGGACGACTGCTGTATAAATAGGAGAAGTTGTGCTTTCAGTGTCGCCTTTCTCATTTTTTTATAATTAGCTACTAGTAAGCAAACATATGAGTTTGCATGTGTTTTGCCAAGCTAATTCGGTGAAATACGTATAGTAAAAGCAAACACTCAAAATTAGCTTTTCGTTAGAAGTTACTTTGTTTGCTGTTATAAGACAAATGACTGTCCCTTGAGTTAACACCGTAAATGTGATACATATGTAACGAAGCATGCAGGAACGAAAACAAAAACAAACGATAATCCAGTTTTTCTTCTTCTTCGATATTCCCCTATATTCCCCTACTTAACTTTGTAATCTCTTCTGCTACCTACTGTATCTCACCCCCCCCCCCCCCTCTCTTCTTTTGTGGTAGAGTAATTTGAAAAAGCAATTTTAAACTAAGGGAAAATCAGTTATTTCATCTTTAACTTTCATTTTTCATAAGGTTGTAACATCTTGCAACTCCCCTTATAATCTTAATCAGTTAGCTTTTATATCTACATAACAGCACACTGACCATGCGTAGGCAGGGCCGTTGAGGGGTAGCTCGGGCCCAGTATTGATTCACAAAACTGGAAATTTCCTGTTGCCACGCCCTTAAGTCTCCTGGAGAACAAGGGAAACGTCCTTTTTTGGAAGAATTGTTGAAAAAAGTTTTTCAAGGATTTTTAGAAAAATGTACAAAAACATTTTACATCAATCAAGGACATGTGGACCTTTCTCTTCGATAAACTTACAGGCGTTGATTGCGTATAAGTAGCTAAAATGGTACCTTTTTTGCATTGTAATTAGATTTCGTTACTCTTTTTGGCCCGGACTTTTTGCCTCTCCCAACACCCCCCCCTCTCTTGACGCCCCTTTGCGTAGGTGATAATAGTCATAAACACATAAGCAGCAATTAAAACCTACTACAATTCTCTCTCGCTCACTAATTACAGCAACAACTACGCTCATTCCAGTCCCTCGTTACTCACATCCTCACACATTCACAACATGTTGTCTACCTGCAAACTGGTAATGTTAATGCAAACAAATTTGTTTAGCATTAATCCACTTGACCTCCCAATTAACGTTGGTTTATATTTCAATTTTGATTTATTGTCAGCATTGTATAACACAAACTAACGTGGTTTTCAAACTTGATCTGAAATTCACTTGATGGCAAGATCGACTTTCAAGAAGAAGTTTCTTCAAGGTGTAAAGTTCTTTATTGACGACCTCATAAAAATCTATTTTTAGAATTTTTAAATTTTGATCCCATAAACTGAAAGAGGATCATAAAATAACTGTAAATGTCCAAAATATGTCTATCATGTTATAATATGAGCACAGGCTCTTTCCCCATCAAACTTTTGTAATTTTGTCTCTCTTAATAACTTTATGAGCCAAGTCAGTTATCCATCAAGCAAATTTCGTTGGCCAATCTCACCCGATTTCTGGCATAATTAAATTATTTTGCATAATTTGAAGTATTTATATTGTCCTATAATTTTATGTGGAAAAATTCAAAAACTCTAAAAATAGTTTTGTGACGTCAAACTTAAGAACACTATTGCGTTTAGTTTTATCACGCAATTTTTATAATTTAAATGTCAGTGAATCATGTAGTACTGATAAAGTATGACGTTCGTTACGCAAGAATTGATATGCTTATTAGAATAAGCAAAAATACTTAAACATTAACAAATATTTTAACAGCCGTTGTTCTGCACCTGTTGCTCTCTTATCATTATAGAAGTAAACAAGAATCGTTTGAAAAATTTTCCTTGAAAATGCCACTGCTGGGTGCCGTGTTTTAACTTTAAACTCTAAATTTCTCTGCGTTCTCCAGGAGCTTGTCTCTCCTATTTGCTTTCACTGGCGGTACCTTTAAGAAAATATATGCTATATCAAATGTGTATAAAGATAGAATATAATTCCTATTTTCATGTAGGGCTAGGCCCTCGTTCTGTATTTCCTAATGCTGATAAGACCGTATTCCTCTCGTGCTGTTACGCACGCCCGTTCTCTACCCTTGGCTCCGAACTCTACCCTTATCTAATCTCAGCAGAATAATAAATTTTAATAACGCGTCCACTTCGCAACATAACCGAGAGATTAAAATACTTTATTATACTAGAGTCCAAATTCTATAACATATGCTATTGGTTGTCCTTATAGTATTGTCAAGATTATTCTATTAATCGGTCTGTCGGTGTGAGAATTCGCTCTTTCCATTGCCAGTCAACCCAGTCTTTTCAAACTATACATCTGTAAGCCTATTGTCTTGTTTTCAAACTATTTCTCGGCCGTTCTTGATACAGTTTTATTGAAAAAGCACAATATGCGTGTTTTGTTTTAGAACAGCTTGTCTTCGTAAAAAATTCAATACCTTGGTTGACAACATTCGTATCTTTTAACGGCAGGTGAAGTACAAAACGTTTAGAAAGAAGTTTAGTTAAGAGAAAATTGCTGTAACGTGTTTGAGGGATCACGATAAAAAAGTATATTCAAAAATAACGGTCGAAAATAATGATTAGCTATTTGATGATTGCTGTAATGCAGATGTGTATAATTGTATGAGAAGTAAATCCACTTAAAGGCAGTGAAAAGATCTCCACTCGTCATCATTAAGAATTTATAACAACTCTTTTGTGGCAGACGCTGTTTTGATATTTACGGCCTTACGCTCACTTTGATTCAAGCCAGAGCAAATGTGGGTATGGATAGGACCGACAGTGCGATGGATGAAGAATTTACACCTGTAAAAATACTCTACACTGTATGAAGCAGACAAACAACTTCGTGGGACATTAAACTAGAATATCTTTATACCTGCAGCTATTAAATATGACAGTTGTCTAAAGATATTGTTAAAAAGTCGTGCAAGTTATTCAGTCGTTTTAAACACCGTTTAAGCCCGGTTTTATTTACGCATTTGCAGAATGGAAGAAGTCTTTATTAGAGGTCTGCTTGTTTTGACGATTATTGTCATGCTCTTGTTGAACATTTATTGCCTTTATGGCATCATAAAATCAAAACCCTTGCAACCATCAACATGGGGAATAGCCAATCTGCTGTGCTGTCATTTGATACAAGGAATCGTCGTTGTCCCGTCTTATCTCCTCAAAAGACTAAAGTTCCAGGATAAAGATATAAGTGGTCCAGTTTGTGATGTATTCCGGTTTTCCTACATGACAATGAACTATGCATCTTGTATTTCTCTTCTCCTCATCAGTGCAGATCGAATGTATGCCATCAGAAAGCCCTTAAGCTACCGCTCCAATATGACAAGCCGGAAAATGGCTGGATGCATTTTAGCGAGCTGGGTTTATACAATTTTGCTTTGCCTGATACCATTCATACATTTGTCGAGCAGAAACTCTGAAGGATGTACATATGTTCCCCAAAAGCAGTGGACAATTATTATGCTCGTTTGTAACACTCTACTGCCATTTCTTCTGATTATTTACTGCTATTACCATATTTTTATTGCCGCGCGAAGATCGTTCAGGTTACGCGCGGCCCTCTGCCTGGAAAAAGCTGTTCGTGCCCATCAACTCAAAGTCGCAAAAGTTTCAGCTGCGGTTGCATTTGGGTATGCCATCTGCTGGGGACCATCTTTTGTGTATTACTCGTTGTATGCCTTATGCCCTAAGTGCATGGCATCCCTTGTTAACTCTGGCTCCGTGACATTTGCTATGAAGTACCTTACCTTTTTGAATGGTATCATAAACCCAATTCTTTATTGTATTAACAATGGCAGTTTAATGAAGCTAGCGAAAGGTTTCATCTTTTTCCGAGTTCTGAGATGGCTAAATATCCGTTTACGACTGTGTTTTGTGAAACACCGAACAGCAAGACATAGTGCAGAAGTCGCCGTTGTCTCAAGGACTCCTCCACCTGCAACTATATCGCAACTGTAACTATATCTAAGAGACAGACATTGGAGATTCGGAGGCAAAAGGCCGTATTGTTCAATGGATCATTCTAATTATCGAATGCTCCAAATATTGTATAAAATATCAGTAGCACCAGGGACACCAGGAGTATACTCAAAAATACGAAGAGAGTTAAAAGCAAAGGGTTTCTTCGTAAGCATTGGAAATCCACACAGGCAATTGAGAAGCTAGTTATCGAACGACACCCTATCCAAAGAAGGATTTTTCATTGTTGTGAATATTGCTAAAGCACCCCTTTACATCCTTGTGGATGCTTCTTTTTCTCAATGTAAAGTTTTAGATATGTGCTTCTCCTTATTTTCTGTTACCAAGATTGCATTTCTTGCTAAAAGAAATTGACCATTAATTTGCAAGCATGTGATTTTATTTGTAAGTTTCGGATAACTTAAATAAATGAGGGCCTTCCTTAGTCGCTTGAAGAAATCATTAATACGTGTCCTATTGATGCAAATATCCTTTGACTTTGTTGAAGTATTTTTATCAGACAGCTATCATTATCGACGGTATTCTGACGCATGTGGTGTGGTTTTCTCCTGGAAAAAGCGTTCATGTTTTGGATTTATCTATATTACACAATAATGTATTATGTATAGTTATATGTTGTGTACATTGGCTGACTAGCTACCATTCAACCCACCAGGAAGAGCAACCAAAAGGGCGCCAATAGGTTCGATAGTTGCTTAACTTTGGGGTTTGTAAAATGGGTCCGGAAAAAATTTGTGTAGTGAAGAATCAGGTTTTTGCAAGCCATGTCATAATTCATTCTTAAAACTATTCACAATGGAAGGCCGAATTGATGACAGAATGAAAATCAATTTTTTTTTAATTCACGATTTGCTTTTGAATAAAAACGATTCTCAGTCAAATTAACTGTATTTGAAACGTCTACACGGGTGATAACATTTTTAGGTATCAGATGATGTACTGCTCCTCAGAAATATGTAGAAATGGAAGTTAGATTAAAACCCAAAGCCCATTTTTCAATTAGCGTGACATTATCTTTCAAGATTTTAATGAGAAAGCAACTTCTCCAGCCTGAGAGACACACATTTTCCATTAAACTCGGAATCTTCATAAATTTAGCAAAAAATATGACTTCATTTTTACCAAAAAGTAATTTATAAATTTTTGAAAATTTGTAGCATATTTATAAGTAAAGTAGGAGTGGAATTACCTCCAGCTAGTCTTATGAGTGCATTGTTCTTGTATGTACGCTACAGTACAGGTACAAATCATTTATAGGAGATATAATGCCAGTACATCATCGTGCGGAGTAAACGATTTACCAATTATTAAAGTAAATGAGGGAAAAATTCATTCTTTCTAAACACCATTTCCCCAATTTTCAACCCTCCGATTTCACACCAAAACAAAGTAACAAATGAATACTCACTTACAACCATTCATTTTGCTTATTGGACTTCCTTTCTCGTATCTGACGATGAGGTACCAACGACGTCCTATTCATGGTGCTTCCTTTGATCGGGAATATTTCTTCGCAACTCAGGCCCCAAACGTCCACAAACGTTTAAATAAATCCTCTTCATTTTTCACTTCAGTCAATATGTCTTTTTTAAAAATGAGCATCAGATTGACTGAGATACCAAATATTAAAGACTATAACAAGTACTTTTGCAACACTCAATATAAATCTCGACATAAATCATTTCAAAGTGCCGCTAGTAATCGGTAAATTGTTAATTATGATCAGGCATTGAACATGTGCTTAAAAACTGAAGACTTGTCTAAAAGATTTCTGTTATCCTCTATCATGTGTACTGCAGATTTCACTAGTAAGGGATAATTGATGGCCAAAGGAAAAGCACTACGATTCAAGAGAGACAACATAGGGTGTACGCATATATTACGTTACCCGGTAACCAGAATCTCCATTATTTAGTCTCAGAGATATAGTTTGGAACTAGTCACTGTAGTTTCATTCATCAAGGAAAACCTTTATCCCTGGATTTGTGAGGCTCTGGTACCCAGGGCAATATTACGTAAACAAAATGGGTAAATTTTGAAAAAAATCTCCTTTTGCTTAAATCATCGAGTTTTAACAATAGGCCATAATGACCGTAAGCGTTTGTGTTAATCCCCCATCTTTGAATAGGTAATATGTGAACGTTTCCATAGCCAACACGTAGATAATTTTATCAAACTATAACCATTCTGAATGAAAGAGCACAGGGTGGTTCTAAGTTAATTTTTCTAAGTAAAGTGAAAACTCTCTCAGTTATTCGAAATGAGACACTCGAGATAATTCGTGTTAGTCATAAGTCGAAAAACGAATATTGCTAGTCTTGCGTTTTGCACAAATTTAATCAGTAAAAGTCAGTAGGCAAACAGTCCAAACATTAGGTTGTAGAAAAGCGTTGTGTTATAGGGTTATGTTACAAATTATTTTTAGGATTTACCAAGGGGTCCCAGGCCCAAGCTTCTCACTAGCTTTACAAGCTTGGCAATTTTCACATAATATAGTTTCTCTTTATAATTTAGTAACGACACTGGTATTTTCTCAATTGTAAATTTAATTGTTGATTAACAAATGTCACATTGTCTCATTTTGCTGATTTCCTGTTCTGAGATATCTTCAATTCTTTTAAATCCTGGTTAATTTCTTAACTTAAACTTAAAATATCTCAAAAAGCAGTTGCTTGGGAAACTTAAAATATCTCAAAAAGAGCTTTTGAGTCAAGTACCCTTGCTTAATTACATATCAACAATCTTTATCAACAAAAATTAAAGACCAGCTTCATACATAAGATACTTTGTATAGACGAGTAACCACGGACACGATGGACGCAAGCAGGTAACGATGGCATCAACGTTTTCGGTCGGTTTCGAGCGGTAGACCCACCCACTAAATGAGAACAACTACTCACTTAAAGCGAATAAGGGAGGAGAGAAAAGGGGATGGAGGATAAAAAGGGTATTGAATTTTTGTTGCGTAATGAACTCCATTCCATATGCATAAATCATGAGAAGTTCCGATTTCAACAAATGCCGTTCTTTTCAGATATAATCAAATATTGTAAACTACTGGATACTCCGGCTGCTTAATGCATAGTTTTTGAGATTACTATGGTGTGACAAAGTATTTTAAATTCCTTTCAAGTTCAAGATATTGGTAATAATTCCGAGACTTTTTAACTTAAAACTAAATTGAATGTCATGGTACATACGTGCTGGTAATCCACACCCCTTTCTCCCCGAAGTCAGTGTTGGTTGATAGTATTACAGAGCCAATGGGGATGCAGATGATCAGACTATTTCATAACAACATGGATTTTTTTGGCAGAGCCCGGTCGTCCTTCCATCTAGCAGTTTTGGAGTCGATCTACATAAAAACGGAAAAGCCGCCATTGTGTAGACAGAAGGAGTTCGTTTGCTCTCTTGGACTCCATTGGTAATTTTTCTTTAGGCTCGCGGCACTGATTGGTCAACCATACCGGTCTTGTGCTTGCGTTTTTCTGATTGGCCTATTTCGATCCACAACTGGGTATATATTTTCCATCGTGTTCTTTCGGAACCTTATTCTGACGTTTTAGGCTCTGAGGAGTGTCAGACGAAAAAGCTTTTAGTATGTCGTAAAATGTTTGCTTTTTTCAAAGCCATTTTCAAATTCTGTAACGCAAAAAAACTGTTAACATGGATTTTGTGGGTCGTCGGGGGGGGGCAGCCACGTAGCTGTGGATATCGGTTGGGGTGAGCAGACTCGAGCAAGAATCAAACGTCGAGAGGGCAGGCTCTTAAACAAGAAAGAAATTCATAACAGCGAATAACGCGTTTATTTGGAATATATCAAGCTTCGAGGTTTCTGTAGTCACTCAACTGAAAATTCCTCGAACGATATCTCACGAGTTTGGATTTTCCAAAGAAACTGTAAGCTAAAGCATGCTGACAAAAAGGGGCGCTACGTCGCCTTCTTTGTGCGTCAATGTACGCCATGGACAAAAAGACATTCAGCCCTTGCTGAAACACAACTACACACCAGTGTGATTCTGTGGATTCCGTACACTATAAATCGAGAAGCTACTTTATAATTTTCCAGCAAAACTCGGACACGTTTCCGATTGCTTGCCCTCACACTGGCTGAGAATACATGCTTAAAAACTTTATAATCGCTTTTCAATCGGGTAACTTTCTGTGGTTTGATTGTACATACCTCCATGGTATCTCTAAAGGGGCCCTTTGCGGAAAATGTTGCGAAAAACAATAGCAATAGCAGAAATTGCCTACTTTTCGGCATTAACAAGGATGGGGCTAGAGCTACAACCCTGTTTCTAGCATAGCTCATTCAAATGAATATACTAACAAGAAGCTAGGCCACCTCTTTATATTCTTTCGCACCCCAGCTGTAATCGTCATAATTTGAATATTGCAAGTAGTCAATTGCATAAATCTAAGGAGCCGATAAGAGAGCTTCTTTCTTTTCAAAAGAGGCAGGGTCCTTTTAAAAGCAATTATTTTACAAAATTATAATCATGCCAAAAAATCATTTGGATTAACTGTAGCGAGAGGGGGCAGGCAAATTGTTGTCAAAATTTCATTTGGAGGGGCACAGCCCCCCGTGCCCCTGCAACTACGTGGCTGTCGGGGGAAGGGGGAGCGGATAATTTGATTCTAGCTTGATTCTTTGCGAGTGTCTCATCATCTTATTACAAGCCAATGCACAAGTTATTTCTTCCATCTTTTTTTAGAAGTCGGGTAAACTTATTCAAAAATTAGGTTAAAATAAAGCTGTGTTGTATAGGGCTTTCTCCTACCATTCAAAATGAAGCATATCTCACATCAAAATCTGTCAATATTTCAAGGAGAAGAAAAATTTCGATTGTATATAGTGACTTTGCATTAAAAATAATATCTTCGAAATCACACAAGAACTTTGTATATATCCTTGCCTTTTAAAACCAAAGAAGCTTCTCTATGAACCGTTTCCGAAAAGCGTTTCGTTGATGTTGGTACGTATTCCCCGTTTCCGCATAATTTGCTATCGCTACCATCTTGAATTATTCTAATTATGACGTCCGCTGCGCTTGCGCGATCGCTGTCCTGACCGCGCGTTGAAGATCGAGCGGGCGTGATCGAAGTGAACGAGTTTTGCTCTCTTTTTTTGAATTAATCCTTCAAACCAGGCAAATTTCTTTCAGTATTAAAATGGAGTTTGAAGAAGAACAGCGCTTGACTGACGAGGATGTTGGCACAGAAGAAGAACTGATCGACTTAGTCAAGGCATGTCCGATACTGTATGATGTCCGGCTGAAGGTTTACAAGGACAGAAACATGAAAGATAGTGCGTGGAGATCAATTTCCGAAGCAATGAAATTAAGTGGTAATACTTATTTGACAAGACAGTTTCATTTGCAAAAATATAATATTTGTAGATATGCCTTGAATTTAGACAAATGTTTGTGACAGTGGCCCGTTGCTGCGGGCCATTTGAAGAAAAAACATGAAGGGGGCCTAAATGAAAAACGACATTAGAAGGCAGTTGTGCCTTTATCTTTATAGTGCAGGGAACTTGGAGCAGAAAGAGTCTTAGCATCAATCATTAGCAAATAGGAAGTAGTCAAGGAAAATAGAACTTTGTAAGTTCTTCATTCTGCCTACAAAAATGATTTTCTGGTCTCTGCGTAAAAAGCTGTGGTGCTGTAACAATGAATTTGGAGACAGGTTAGAAAGGGGGTGGGGTGGGGTGGGGGGGGGGTGTTCAAACGAGACATAGGATTTGACACATTCCTTTTAGTGCTATGCCTTTGCTTTTATAAGTTTAATTCAATTATCAGAAGATCGCTATTTTGCAGCCCTTTATACCTGGTATTTTTATCTACCATTATAAAGCTTTTTAACAAGATAAGATGCAAATTTTAAAACTATCAGTTCTTTCAGTTTTAGAATGCAAAAACAAATGGAAGAATATTAGAGATGCATATGTGAAATTTCTCCATGCAGTGAAAGAAGAAACTGTAACAGGTAAAAAAATTAAAAAGCGTTACAAGTATGCTGATAAGATGAAATTCTTGGAGCGATGTATACAGCACAGAACACCACCAGGCAATATGTCATCAAGATCAAGGAGAGAATCCATGCCCCAGCATAACAGTGTTTCTATGGTTTTAAATTATTCTGGTGATGGTGCTGTTGATTTTGAGCAAGAAGAGGAAGTTCAAGATTCATCTTCATCTGTTAATAATTCTGCTGCAGATGTTACTTCGCCAAATAAGCAACCACCTGAAACAATCAAGCAAGAAGGGATCTCTAAAGATGACAATACTGGAAAGTATGGGAAACGACGAAGAACAGACAACGAAAAACACCCTGACCTACAGCAACATACTGGTTGTGTCAGTGAGCAAGACGATTCAAAACTTTTTTGTCTCAGCTTGATATCTACATTGAAAAGACTTGACTCACAGAAAAGGCAGCTTGCAAAGTTAAAAATACAGAATATTTTGTATGACATTGAATTCAGTGAGGCTTCTGGTACTTAGTACTTCTGGTGAAGCTCAGTAATGTTTTTAATAAGCAGGCCTTATCAAGAACACAGCCAAGGCGCAGTTTGTTTCAAATATCTGGATAATCTTCTAAGATTAAAAAGTTTTTGAACTTGCAAGTGAAGTGGTGAATTATGGTAAGCAATGTTACTAAAGAAAGACATATATGTATAAAGAAATCTGTTTGGTACTCAAGGTAGGCAGAGAAGCTGTTCCTTGACTTGAACCTCTTTGGCATATTTTGATAAGGAAATCTGATTGATACATCATAACTTTTGCTATCAAAGGCTTTGTTGTTCGACATAAAGTGGGCAATTGACAGATCAGGCAAGCTTGTAAATGAAACATGCAATATTTGAATGAGGTATGCAATAAAAGTATAAATTATGAAGTGATTGACTTCTAGAAATCATTAAACCTCACTTGATCATAAGGTTTCAAGAAAGCTGTGGGGTATCCTTTTTAAATTTTCCAAAGTTTATGATCATCCAAATTACTTTCTGGTGAACTCATTTCCATATTATCTTTATCCCAGAGCTTAGAAGGGGTATCTACATCTTGTTGGATATTTGCAAGGCTTGTTTTGCATTTCCTTTCATGTGAATTTGTTTTGACTCCATACTTTGTCATTCTGTGTAAAATCTAGCTTTTCTTAGTTGGTTTCGGAAAACTCAATCTCTGGAAAATGTCCAACTTAAAGCCCAAAGAACAGCATTTTAAGTTAAAAAGTCTCAGAATTATTGCCAATATCTATCAACGTATTTTGGATATAAGCATATCAGTTTTGAACAAATATGGAGCACTGCTATGGACAGAGAGTAAAAAAATGATAGGAAATATAACATAGTATTTAACACTATTATAGTAACACTTAATGGTATTTGTTAAATTTTGAATCACTGTCTTTATCAAGGCTGAGAAGCACTGCCCTAAGTCTCGAATGTCAAGGTCTGCTATTTACATTATGGTTTTATTGCAAATAAGTTTGGTTTAACACATGTTTTATTATGTTTCATTGTTTTTTGTTGCTAGCAAACTAGATAGCACTCAATTTATTTGCATATTGATCAGTACATTATTTGCTGTCACATTTAATCTGCTAATTTGTAAGTAACCAGTTTTTGATTCAAATAATTATTAAAGGATTCAAAGCCTTTTTTAACTGAAAAAGTTGTAAATTCGAGGCACTTTTCAACCTGCTTTCAAAATAGGTAGATGATATTATCCTTGTTCAGAATCACTTTTTTCTCCCTTCACAACAAGAATCTCTAGAACCAAATTATTGGCATGATTTTTTGAGGAATAGGGAGTTGTTCCAAAAGTATAATCTTGCATGCAAAGCAGATTAAACCTTTAGAGTCCCCAACACCTAAATAGTGATTTTTAAGACAAAAATTGTTAAAAGCAGCTATTTTGCACTAAAATGGGGATGATTTTTATTTGTGATATTTGCAAACTTTAAGATATTTGTTCCCATTTTATGCTTTTCAAAAGCTAAAGATGGCATTCTACTATACCCTACTGTATTCCCTATTACTATAGTAATGGTAGCTCATGTTTGTTCTAATTTTGAGGCAAGGTTTCAAAATAGAGTGAATTGTAGACATTCTTATCAGAAACTTTGATGTTTAAGAGCTTTCAACACTGGATCTCTAAATCAAAAACGATTATAAGTTGTATAGTTTGTATGTTTGTGTTTTCTATGTAATATAAGTTCAATTCAAAGCAAATATTAAAAGAAATTGGATGTAACTTAGTCTCGCTATGTTTACTTGTGTTATCCTCTTTACCTTACTGGTCAAAACAGAGCACAGTGCCATGGAAACTGAGTGAATATAAACTTGCTGTGCAGAATTGGGATGACTTAATAAACAAACCCAAATGAAAGCTTCATGTTCTGCGACCCAACAGTTTAAGAGGCTTCCAGAAGCCAGTTTAAATGCACATTAAGCAGGCCTTGCGCTAAGTAAAATGAAGGTGCTCCATAAAAAGAGCCCCTTAGAAACTCTAGGCGCTCTATTTCGCACCTCTAAGTAAATTTCCTTGAGAGCATCCTTCGAGAGCTTTAGAAGATCGAGAGCTTCATATCAAAAGCTTCGGAAGAATGTTAAATATGAAATTCAACGGTGATACCAGAAAGCACCATAATATGAAATAACAAAACATGCAACAAACACTATGTTAATGTAAATATATAAATATAACAGAACAAAGTCGCAAAATTGTTCAGATTTTTTTAGATATGTAAGTTGCCATCATTCGATGAGCTTTTATCAGTGTCAGTATCGCTACTGTTATGTTTAGCTTCACATATTGCTTCATCAAAACGCATATGGCTTTAAATCGAACATTTAACTTTGTTTCCTTTTTTCATGTTATCCATTCTATAAGAAACGCTAGAACATCTACTACTCGCAAACTCAAATGAAAAGCAATGCGATAATTTGGACGGAAACGTGATCGCTGATTTGCACAGGCGATTTTAAGTTATTAAGAAAAACAGAAAATAATATTTACTTCAATAGAAGATTAACGCTTGCTCAAAAATCAAATAAATCTGCCGGAGAATACGCTTGATGGCCTGTATTCTTGATGGTTATTAGAGGGTTATTAGATTAAAAATGATATCGAAAACCCAACGTTGAATTTGCTGAATTTTTTCTCAAGGGGTAATCTTACGCAAATCATAATATTGCGGTCTGTTGGGAAGATTGTTTATGCTTGATCAAGTTGATTCAACAAATTTCAAAAATTTATTTTGCTCCGTGTTAATATTGTTTTTACGTTTTGAGGGGCTCTATAAATCGCTCTCCAAGGCTTCTTTTGGGTGCGCCCTAGGCGCGCGCGCTCGATCGAGCGCCTTTCCGGGCAAGGCCTGCATTAAGATATATTAGAGTCTAAGAACTTTCAGTATTTTCTTTGAAAAAGTGTGTACTTCATGCATAATGCCTTGTTATAGTCAAAGCATTCTATTCAATGTGTTTATGAAATGCTGTAAAATGAATGTGTGGTCATAAAGTCTTAGACTAAGCGCTACCTGGTTTGTGGTGCTAAAAAAGCACAATCGACTCAATATCGCGTCTTAATGTTTCACGTAACAGGTTTTTGATGATAGAAGCATTATCTGATGACAAAACAATACAGTGTAGGATTAGAAGGTCAAGTTCTAGAAAAGTATTAAAATATATGCTGTTTGATTGTTCAACCTTATTACTTATACATGGAAATCTCTCCCGATACCACATAAACAGAGAGATTCCCGATGTCACCAACACAGATCTCTTTCGTCCTACTCTCTTATATCTTATTATAAGAAAGAGCTGCATGTAGCGAAGAAAAAATTTACAAAAGAGAACGGCTCTCCAAGGAGTATTTTCCACAAGCAATAGCTCTGCAACTGCAGTTAGCCATGTTTTGTTCATCTAAAAGCACATCTGACACCTCGATGTTAGTAGATGAAGACCCGACCGGGCGTCTAGCCTGAAAAGCCTTCAAAAACCAATACTTGCTGATCGTCCAAGATGACGGGAAGAGAGAACAAGACAGAAGACAGTAGACAAAAAATTTCGAGAAAAGCAGTCGATCACCCCCTTCTCTCCATCCCTCCTTATTTAGGGTTTAATGGCCTAAAACCGAATTAAATAACGATGACTTTACCCTAGTACGCCATTCATTTGTCACCCGCTACAAACCTATTTAAGTGTATGCCTTTACCTCTAAGAATCATAAAAATGTGAAGCAATGGAATTGCAATTTTTACTCTCGAATACTAAAGGTAATCCAGTTCAATCTTAAACACATTTTGTGTATTTCAAGAGACATTACATTCATAAATATGGTGCATCCTGTAAAACTATCCCCAATCGAAAGTTCCTTGGTTGACAGTTTTGTGTTATGACAGATTTGTGTCATTTTTCTTGCAGCTACAATTTTCTATCACCTCTTTGTTCTCCATGGTAAATAGCAACACTTATGTTAAATGCATTCGATTGATCTTGTTTTCAATTTTATACCTCAAATACAACAGGCAAAATTGAAACAAGATTTAAAAGAAAAGAAACAATTTACAATCAATAGCGGTAATATAAATCTATAATAGCAGTGTTATAGTAGAATAATAGCGATATACTAGCAGTACTATAGCAGTATACTAGCATAATAATTGCAGTATACTGACAGTATAATAGCAGATAGGAGCATTAAAATAACAGTGTATTCTTGTAGAATAGTTGTGTCATACTAGCAGTATACTGACAGTATAATAGTAGTTTGCTAGCATAATAATAGCAGTATTGTAGCAGTACACTAACAGTGGAGTAGCAGTATACGAGCAATACAATAGAAGTATTCTAGTATATAGCTATATACAGTAACGTAACAGTATTATACTAGTATTAAAGCTGTATATTTACAGCATTTCGCCAAACTCGGGTTCAGGCCGGACAAACATGATTCTTTTAACGTTTTTGAATGCAATTACTAGGCTAGAACTGTGGAACGTTTATCTAAGTGTGCCTTTTTTCTGAAATTGTAACAAACATATTGACTTTTGAAGACAGAACTGAAGAGTTTTATTTTTATCATCTGTAAAAAAAGTTTAAACTACATAACTAAGAGATAAGCTAGATGTACACTATCTAAAAAAGTATTTTGCTAGATTGAAAATTTTTCAGTTTTATTTCTTTCATTTAAATTTTATATTACTTGCATTTTGAGTTTTTCTTGAGATAAATCAACATTGAATGATTCTTAACTCTACTAGCATTCCTACTGAAAGAAATTTATTGAAACAGATATATTTTCCCTTTTTTTGCTGTAACAAATACTCTTATTTTGTTGAACAACAGTTGCCAATATTAACAGTTCTGGTTTTTCCTTAGTGTGGTATAATTTTGCCAGATCTCCCGGCACCTTTAACGTCCCTTAGCAACTTAATCACCTTTTCTAAATGAAAATGATGATATTCTCCCATTCTGGTGCAGTCTTGCTAGCTCTCATCGACGAATACTTTTGCTGCAGTGGAAGCGAAAGCCAGCTCAAACGATGAAGTTTACAGCAGTTTTGCTTCTTTGCTTCCTATCCAGTTTATCAGGTGGGTTTTTTCTCGGTAGATTGATTGATGTTAGCCTAAACGTTTCTTAATTTTTGAAGATTCCATTTTAGCTACTCAGTTTCAATGTTTTTTCGTATGTCGACTGATTGGTGACATGGAAGAATAGAATCAGAAATTGAATGCATTTAAACTCGTTATATTTCTCCCACAGTAGATATTGGATATTAACCGATAAGAATATTTGATAGTTGATATAGCAATATAGACAGCATTTGATACTTAGTTTAGACTGGTTAGCCATAGATTAATCGCTTTTCTTTAGATATTTATCTTAATCTTTCTACTTTGTGTTTGACGGTCTATGTAAAATTACGTTCCTAAAATTATGTAAAATTACGCTTTTTGAAACAGAGCATTGATTTGTTGATTTATGGCTTGAAACCAACGTTTCCTTCTTCTCATATTATTGTCTGCTTCTCCTTCAACAATATTTGTTGTTCGATTTCAATTGCGAATTCATTAAATATGACCTTATCCTATGAACTTTCTCTTAGCTCATTTTGAGAGCTGTACGAGAAAATGGAAGAAGTTAGGCTGCTTCAATGATAAGCCGAAACATAACAGAGCACTTTCAGAGGAACTTGTAAACAGAAGGGATGACACGAATCCTAAGTACGATGGCCATAACATTGACTGGAAGAACTTCCCCGCTTCACTCCACTCGTAAGTTTCTGTAATGAGCAAACAAATTCCGTTTCAAGATGGACTAAATGTTGCTTCAGTTGGTACCTTACTAAAGTTTTCTTATACAGTGTTAACTATAAGAAAGTTACCTACATTGGCAGTTTACGTTCTTATCGATATAATGTTCTTTGCTAAAAATGCGTCAACGGTTTTTGTAACTGCTCATAGTTTCCTCGTTAATTAATTTAAACTTTCCGTACACATGACCAATTATATACAGGCAGTAGCTTATAGTACTTCAGTTGCTTTAGATTTATTTAGCAAATCCACTTTAAAATCATAACTCATTTTCGTTAATAAAACAATGTAAATGCCTGTGTAGCAGGACTTATCTTACTAAGAGAAACTTACTATAAAAGAATGGATTGAGAGAGAAATATTCCAATTCTAGGTTGTACTGCAAATGTGCTGAAGAGGCCGAGAAAAGAGGCTTCACCCATTTTGGCCTCCAGTTTTACGGAGAGTGCTGGGGAGGTTCTTTGGCAGCAGAGAGGTTCAATATTCATGGGAAAATGAAAAAGTGCATTGGTGTTGATTATAAACCATGCAATGATTCATCCCAAACAGAATGTGTTGGTGGTCAGCTTGGAAACTATATTTATCACCTGGAGGAACGAGGTATGGATTTTTCCTTGCAGTTAGGCCTGCATTGTAAGATACACCTTGTCAATGTCAATCCCAGCCCACCACCTCAATTCGATGTTGATGATATCTCTTCCATTGAAATTCACAAACTGAAACTTTGTACGGAAGAAACACGTCATATGTGGCTGATAAAGAGACTTAAAGCCCCTAATATTCCCTAAAAGTACTTTAAACTCCCCAAAAGCATTTAAATTGTCCAATGAATCAGCCTGCTACTTGTTAACTGTGACTTCGTGCCTCCCCTCCCTTCCCCTCTTCTATTCGGAATGTTCTCTGCAGTCAGAAATTGCACTATATTTATAAATGATAATGATACCAGTCCCGCTCAAGGCGTCTAGCATATTAGGAAGGCAAATGGATTGTAGATAAGTATGTAAATTCCCCAGACAATTTACTAGCAAGTGACTGGATGAGAGACTTAATGAATTATATTGAAAAATAATTTCATCATTGCCAACATACAAGAATATTTGTAAAAGCTTTTTTCCATTTAAGAGAATGTTTAAAAATAAAATTGCTTTCACTAAAGATGAATTTTACAACGAAGACACTTTAGTTTCTTTTTTTTAAAACATTTAAAAGCAAGCTTTTTGATTTTTTCGAACAGTTGTAAAAGCAGCAGATCTTCCTATTATAAATGGAGGATATTCGTTGTGGTCATCTTGGTCTGAGTGTTCTAAGACCTGTGGAGGAGGTACTAGACTCAGAAACAGAGCTTGTAAGGAACCGGAGCCGCTAAATGGTGGGCAAGATTGTACCGAACTCGGTCCATCAGATGAAACTCAACTGTGCAACCTCAATCCATGTAAAAAATGTACGTTAAATTTTTGTTTTTACCAATACTGCTACTATTGCAGATTCTAGTAAACAAATTTTTATAGATAAATAAAAAAATCCCAACTGGATGGGTCTCTATACATTAATTTATAGCTATAGTTCATAATCAGTTTATGAAAGTTTTAGTTGTTTAGATGAAACGCCTTGATCTGCATTTTCCTTTCCTTTAATGGTGAATAGTTTAATACAGGGGTTTTGAAGCAGTTAGCTGTTGAAATATTATAACTTCTGAGTAGGAATACTCCTTTTTCAAAATGACCCTTGCTAATTGACATTTGCGAGCTATACTTGGTTTAATGCAAGTCGTCCATCATTACCTCTCCATTCTTTTTATCCGACCACAGTTGCTTTTCTCCCTTGTCATAAACCCACTCCCTATTGTGATAGACAAACATACCCTCATTTCCGTCATATGAAAACTTTCTTTTACATTGACCTCTCTTGTGAGTATTATCATCAAAACTCCTCACAGCCTGCCGTAAAGCAATCGACCTCGGTATCATCATGGACGCATCCAGCAGCGTTAGAAGACGCAATTACCTGAAAATGAAGCTTTTTATCAGGGCCTTGGCTGATGATTTTGGCGTTTCTCCTTCTGGTACCCATTTCGGCATCCTCCACTACTCAAGCTACGCGCGCCTGGACTTCCGACCAAATGATGCCCGTTACCATAATATTGCCCGCTTGAAGGCAAAGATAAACTCAATTGTATATTCATACGGTAAGGTCATATTGTGTAGAACGGTAATACCCATGTTCAGTGTTTCCAATGCTTCTTTTTATGTGTATGCCATAATCATTATCTGAAAAATATTACAGACTGTGGCAGTTTTGAAACATTGAGAAAAAAGGTGCTTGTAAATTATGATAATTTAGAGATATTTTGCCTTTCAAGGAAATAGAGAGAAAGCCTTTCCCGTCTTAGATTCTGGTTCTGTGAAATAAACTTTTTTATGGATTCTTTGATTTCCTACATTGAGACGTTTTGTATCTTTTCTATTTGTGATAAACTGTATTTCTTCGATAATCAAAGTTAGCTCCATAAAGTGTAAAATCCCAGCCAATGTGTCTTCGCCTTTATTCAATCGTTTTTTAACCATTCCTATAAAGCTCTCCCTAACGATTTCCTTCTTATGATGAAAATGTGGTATATTTTTATTAGCTAAAAGAAATTTAGCACAAAATTCATTACCCAGTCAAACGCATTTTCATAAGATTAGCGAAAACATCTGTGTGCAATGTTCTCAGCCCTAAAGTTCAAAGCTTATAGTGAAATGAAAAGTTATCATCTATCAATACATTTAAATTTTCATCATTTATTGTCCTTATTCCTAACAGATTTATTCTTCTCTATGTAAACTTTATTACTTAGTTTAACTTTGTACGGGCTTTACTTGATATATGAATAGGACAAAAGCGTTGGTTTTTTTCTTACTTTTTATCACGGTAACCTTAGGTGGCACCAGAACTGACAAGGCATTGAGATTAGCCGAAAGGCAGTTTTTCTGTGATTCCTGCAGAAGAGATGGTGTTCCACAAGTTTTGCTCGTTATCACAGACGGCAATACTAATGTCGGATCTGAAGATCTTGGAGTTGCTTCTATGGGCATGAAGGTCATTTGCTTATTATTTATCTTCGTTCAACGTCATAAAATAGCATAAACATACAAAGCACTTTACCTGATAATGTCAAATTTAAATAGCTGCATTGCCAGTAATTGGAAAGGGGCACGGCTAAGAGGGTGGTAAGACAAGAGAATAGATTTGAGCAGTCAGAAGGGGGTAAGAAAAAGATTTCTTTAACTCATGGGAATCCGTTTGGAAGAGATTGAAGTATATCTTTTTGAAACAAACTGATGTTTCTTCATACCAGGGACTATTTGCACCACCAATAATAGACATTCAAGGTGCTCAAGATTCAAGCAATTCCTATCATAATCATTAATGGCATTATCTGAATCATAGGTATATTGATCTGTTAGGATAAGTTATACTATGATCGCCCAGTGATGACAAAGTTTTGATGTATTTATCTGTACATATTTCAGGAAAGTGGTGTCACAATCTTGTCTCTTGGTGTTGGCAAGGGTATTTCAATGTCGGAGTTGTTGTTGATTGCGTCAGAGCCTAAAGCAAAGCATGCTTTCCAACTCTCCAACTTTGATCAATTGAAGTCTAAGATAAACGTCATCCTCGAGAACGCTTGCGGATCCGACTGAACCGTATGTATATCACATATAAGACAGTGTTTTTTTTTGTATTTTGCCAGTTTTTCTATGTTTTCGCATATAACGCGGCTTCCGATTATTTAAGATCTATAGAAAATTTTTTTTGCTTCTTCGAAAAATTGAGTTATTAATTGTAAATGAATAGCTCAGGTTTTAGGGTAATCATTATCTTACTAAAATACTGTTTTCTGCTACTTAAAAACCCTTTTGTTTTCTGCAGTTCTTTGATTTCTGCAGCTCTATAGTTTTCTTCTTAAAAGAGATAACATCAAGCTATAATATAATTATAATGCCTATCTATGCATAGGAAATGCGAGTGAATGTAGGAAACAATACAAGGTGCTCTAGATGATGAATTAGAATTTACCAGCCCAGTAACAACATTTGGGATATGCTGCCAACGTACTTAATGGAAGCGAGGCAGCTGCCTCATCTTAACAAATAGCTGTTCTTTTCTAAGACAAATGTGATATTTAGAGTCTATAGGAACAAACATTTGACCTTTCTAATGAGAGAAGGTACATCTAGGCCTATCAATCTGTAATTCCAAATCTTTTGCTGTGACTCATGGAATAACTAGTATCTGTCCTTAGAAACGTTTTCTTTGGTATTGATCCCTAATTCCCTATTACAGCAGAAGAAGTTCAAAATGTTTTCTTCCAGCAACAACAAATATCTTGCTTGCTTGATATTTGCTAACCACATAATTTTGATAACCGAATGTTTTTATTCTCGTTGCCAGGCTATCAAGGAGCTGGAAGAAACGATCACTGATTCGATCAAGAACAGCACTCATTCTAACTTCATATGGAACATGATTATTTAGTTATATCTTATCAACAAGTAACTTATAATGCTGTAATCGTTTGTTCAAAACTTATATGTTATCCAATATAAAATTGATATGACTATTTGTGACTGTATTTTTGGCTCTCAATTCTTGCCTGATTTGGTGCAGTTATAGCAAAATTAAAATTGATTTTTTAAAACATAAGGTACTGGAAGTTGTAAACATCCCAAAGGTATTGAAAGTTTCACTTATCAGGGAACATTAAGAGGGATTACACGCAGTGTGCTTACCAAAAAGCCTTATCCGAAAGCCGTAAAAGAAAGCCTTTTCAAAAGGCTTTTCCTAAAAGCATTTCTTATAAAAACTGTCCTTACCCAAAGTGACAACGTCTCATCTTCGAAAACAATATTTCAAAATAGGAGGGCAAAATCTGTACCATGTTACCAAAAGAAATAATTTGCTCTTTCTTTTCAATCCACCAATTTTACCCATCACTTTGTAACAACTATTTCTTAATGCTAGAGGTTGTTCTCGGGGGTGACTCGACTTAACACCAGACTAGAAGTCACTTCTACGCTCTTTATGTGTTTAAGAATTTGCAATCCATCGCTTCGTTGTATGTAGGTTCTAATAAACATATTCCTATGTCCATTTTCATCAAAGCATCCAGAAGAAGACGCCTCTCATTTTATTTGCTTCAGAATTAAAAATAATGAGTAGCATCCAATGTTAATAATGCCGGCAATAATATAAAAAATGTGTACACTAAATATCGCAAGGAAAATGCGATAACAACACAAAAAGCCGAATCAGTCGCTTAGTGGTAGTTCCCAGTTCCATCGTCACTGGCTTCTTTGATACAAACAAAGCTCTCTATTCCTTGCTTTGTCCCACTTCTAATGAAATCATGATTTCCATCACAAATCATATGTCTAAAGCAATATTTAAAGGGCCATCATATTTATAGAGTAAAAAGTGCCAGAGCTAGTCAACTTTATAATAATAGAGACAGAACTGAAAGACTCCTGTCCAGCATCAGCTTGGCATGTGAATTCTACCCTGTTTCAAAATACCCTTCATTGACCAGGCTGTACCAATATGAGAAACGAAATGGTTATTTTTTACCTAGGTGTCTTTTTGTGTTTTCTCATTCATGGGTTTGGTCTTCAATGGCCTGAAAATGCAATTAAGTTACGCATTATCTGTCAAAAGCTAAATTTTATCCTCTTCAGTTGTCCCTGCTCCTTTCTCTTGGAACTTACTTCTTTTCTCTTTTAATTCCGATCCCATTTGGTTTCTGAGACATAGAAGTCCCACAAGCATTTTTCCTTGGCGCGATTCTCATTCTTTTCTTGAAATCCACACTCTTTAAAAGTACTTTGGAAAAACTTTATGGAGCTAATTTCTCTCAAGTGAAAAATTCCATCAGGAACAATGAACAAATTACTGTTCAACCACCCACTTTGAGATCTCCTCTAATAGGATTTTACTGCAAGACGAAATCAAATACCAAATGTTCTAAATATATGACCAATATTTAACGGGCTTTATAACTTTAAATGCATTGGGCATTAGATTTTTTAGTCTGGATAGAACTTGTTATTTGAGCAAGTTGTTGGTCAGAAACCGCCAGTATTTGACTTTCAAGCATGAAGATGTGAAACACATGGCCTACTTAAGCTGAAAGCCATAGCACTAACTGTATTTATCAATAAACGGTAACAGCTAATCCTTTGCAAATTTCCTTATCTGCTACAATTTTTTAAAGAAAATAAAGTTTGCTGTACCTCAAATCTTCCATCTCAATGAAATGTCAATATTGTTAATTCTGTTGTGGCGTTTTTAAATAACACAGCTACAATGATGTTTTAAAACAAACAAACCACTCGTTACATATGTTGTTTGCTTGCAATGATTCATTCAGATGACAAAAAACCAAACAACACATGTTGCCAGATCTTCTTGCAAATAAAATCAATCAAAGCGACAATACCGAGAAGCTTTTTATAAATAATCTAGGCCGGTTTGTCACTTCCATGCAGAATACGTTGAGTATTCGCAGAAGAATAAACGGGTGGAGATACGCTTTCATGGACAAAACAATTCATCCCACAATTGCTTACAATAAATAGCAAACGGGCTTTTATGACATAACATAGGAAAACAGGAGTGATGGCCCAGAGGGTGGGAGAAGGTCTTTAGCCCTCGAGATATCAGCTAGATGCTTTGTTGGCTTTCCAAATGATGCAGATACTCTATGGATTTTTAGTCAACTTCTTACTGGACAAAGTAGCAACCTTAAATTATTCTTTTGGTGACATATACTCCAAAAATCTTTCCAATTCCATGCAATTCTATTTTACATATCTTCATGTGGGTAGTTTTGTCCATCCTTATTTCGCATATAGAACATAAACATCAGAAACTTGAGAGTCAACCAATACCCCTAGCCCTATTTTCAATCGAGGCACCAAGCTTTTTCTCTTTGAATAAAATGAATTTCTCAGACAACAGCTACCTAAAGGCAAACATGCATTCCTTATATCTAACATCATATGCTTTGCAACTAATACTGGTGACGTAAATTTACGGATATTTTTGGGAGGGCGAAGGATACGAAATTTCCGACTGGCGACTAAGCCCATTGCCTTTTTGTACTATAATTTTAAAAAGCCTTGACTTACAAAACCTTAGCATTGTATTGTTCTGTCAGTTCCTTTCTGAATCGAGAGAATTCTCAGCATAAATGTTATATTAAATTGTAGGCATTTGGGTGGGGGGGGGGGCAAGGGTGGTACCAAGGCTTCCATGGCCTGAATATTGTCATCTCTAGCTATCGTATTGGGAATCTTTCCTATCAATTTCTTTGTTGAAGAAGCTACTGACATCACCTTTCCATTGTATCGAAGAACAGGTCAAAAAAGTCTATGTTATCCTAATTTTATCTTTTACCTATTTAAAATAGAATTCCCTTAATGATTCTATCAGCTATCTTCACCACAGGCAAGTAATGTGAAGCAAAGATCTTAATTGTTTATATTTGTGTCAGTTTGTGACGAGATTAATATTCGAAAAACAAACCGTATAATTACTTAAGCTCTTTTTTGAAAACAGTTGTTAAAAAATGGAACAAGATTCAAAGCTGCAGACATCTATTTTGCAACAATGAGATTGAGAAATTTTAATCGAGACAATTTTCTAGCAAAGTCGTTGCTACTAGTTGCACCTCAAGTAATCGAAAAATGCACAAAATACAGTGTTACCTACGCCTTTTTACACGCAGCTGTGATTTCCAGCCTAGGTATTTCATGACGATGTGTTTCCATGGAGATTATTTCATCTTGAAAAATTTCACTTCCTTGAGGAAAATACGTTTGCACTTCATCTGCTTCCATGGCTAATTCTTGTCTTTACTACCACCAGAAGAAAATCGAAGCTGAAAACTTTGATAGCTGAAAACTGGTATGTTTTCAACACCTTTTATGTGTAATTGCCTTAAATATATTGTGTACACTTCTTTCTCATCTTGTGAAGACTTACAATCACGGCGATTTGATACTCAAGTGGTGATTAACGTTAAGAGTGATGTTTACCTTTATTGGCTCCATTGCACTCCTATGTGTTGCTACATTTGCAGTTGGTATGCTAATTACAATATGTCAATATTAAATAATCTTTTATTAAACATCACTTTTTATTTAATCCATTCAGCAAAGTTCCTAAATGAGAAAAAACTTTAACCTTGTTTAAAACAGACACATTTCATAAGAGCTATAAATCAACTTGTATTATATTGTGTATTTAGGCTTTACCTGAGCTTTATCAACTGTTCCACAGGAATGGAAATTTTGATTACTTACATATACAAATTCGATTATATCTTTGCATATAACAAAACATTGCTGAATGTAAGATCCGTGTAGTTCAAAGTCTCCTTCCATCAAATTTTCCATCAATTTGTGTTGCTTAAATGCTGAATGGAAATGTGATCACGAATAAGCATTTGAAGTACATGAGCATTAATGTGACTGAAAACTATTTATTTGCGTATTTCAATATATAGTAAGCAGTTTCAACCAAACGCTTCTTTTGAATTTAGGTGCCGATTTAAAGAATGCAATTAAAAGAAATAAAGGTATTCCATTTTCAATTTTTAATAAAATTTTCAATTTCTAAATTTTTTTTCAATCTCTTGCAATAAAATAATTTCTTGAATTGTTTTTTCTGTTATGAGTGTTTGCAGGGATCTGAAAGTCTTTAGCAGTTTGACATAAGCAAGGAAGAAAAAGCCTTTAACAAAACTCACCAAAGTAAATTTGTTGGGCAACATTTTCAGCAAAAGCTGCCTACAAGCTATGACAATACGATAACATTTTATTAATAAATATGTCAAGTTGAAAGTTTAAAGATGCCACTGTTTATGCCATCAAAATTTTTTTTAAAAGTTGCATGAAACTTTACAAAATCCAGAAACATTTTTTAGCTTGCAAAGAAGCTATGGACATTGGAATAATCATGGACGCATCAAGTAGCGTAAGAAGGAAGAATTACAACAAGATGAAGCTCTTTATCAAAGACATGGTGAACGATTTTGAAATTTCTGAAAAGAATGTCCGATTTGGTATCATTCATTACTCAAACTATGCTCGCCTGGACTTCAGCTTCAACGATCGCCGTTTCCATAACAGAAACAACCTCAAGGCAAAAATTGATTCCATCGTATATTCTTACGGTAATGTTCTTAAAACTCCTCTTCAGAATGTTGATTTTGCATAAACACATTTTCTATTCATGCCCTCAAATATTATTCATGCCCTGCAGCAAAAGTTCAACTATCACAGTTTAAGGTTATGCAACTTTCGTTTGTTTACAGGAAAGGGCATATGAAAATTTTATAATAAAGGTTCAAATAAGAGCCATGTAAGAGCTTTAAAGGTTTGCAAAGAGCGTAATTTTTCAATACGTCAAGGTAAGCAATTTACTATGAAATTCATTTTCTATATGAAATGGATGGAATTCAAAAGTGTTTCCTTGACTACTGACTACAGATAAGTCATCAGAGGCCCCCCTCTCTATGGCAAAAATTTCTTTGAAAAAGGAATTTTCTGGTGTTCAAGACGGTGTGAGCCCCATCTTTTCCTCGCTCAACTCGCCTTTGCCCCTCCAATCTTGACTTGCCTGGCTAAGCTCCTGCTAACGTAGATTGAAGAAGATATATAGACCTATGAAACTGTATATATCCATCATTAGGCCAATATCTTGAAGAGCTCTCAAACTGTCAACTTTGTTCTTATGATTTTCTGACCAAGCATTCAAAGCTTAAATTGAATATCTTCTAAAGGCTGATCAGTTGACATTCTTGTTTATAGGTGGCACTCGTACAGATCGGGCACTAAGGCTGGCCAGCAGGAAATTGTTCTGTTTATCTTGCTCCCGCGTCAAAGCAAGAAAGGTTTTGATAGTCATCACAGATGGCAACACAAACAGATCTTCTGAGAGTCTGGAGAGAGCAAGCAGATACATGAAGGTAAGTAGGCCTTAGAACTGCTGGGAGATTTACTGTATGTCTTAATTCAAAGTCTACTAATTTATGCAAAAAGCTGATTGAAACAATGGCTTTTGGAATTGGCCACTTTTAAAGGGTGTTTATTAGACTTGGAATTGTTATGGGAACCAGAGTAGGTGGGGAGGAGGGGAAGGAAAGTCTCTGTTTCCGATCCCCAGTCAAATTAATCAATATCTTTGTGTAGATAAAAACCAAGACTTAAAATCAAAATAGTAGAAAATGCGTTTTTAAAATATCTATCTTGTTAACACTGTTTGTAAAACCTACAAAAAACAAAGGAGTGACATTGAATGATGAAGATTGTGGGTAAAAGTCCTTCTGTTTCCCACTTTTATTGACATCCCTCTATCAACTTTCTAAGCTAGTGTTTATGTATATTAACAATACCATTCAATTCAAAGAACCTTTTCACAAAGAAAACAAGGAAGATGTTGTTTGGGCGTGGTACTTTAGTTTCTTTTGTTTTGCTGGTCATTCCAACTGATCGTTAACAATGGGAACGCCAAATCTTCAGGACTCTGTAGCAATCCAGTTTTAACAAGAAATTGGGTTTTACATATCGTTACTTTTTTCAGGAACAAAATGTGATTATTCTGTCCCTTGGCATTGGAAACAGAATATCGATGTCAGAATTACTGGAAATTGCATCAGAGCCAAAAGAAAAGCATGTCTTCAAGCTTAATTCCTTCGATGATTTGAAATCGATGCTGAATTCGATTGAGGAACAAGCGTGTGCCAAAATACTCTAATCTTGTACGTAAGTATGTCTGATTTGACTTACCGTCATTGTACCTTTTGTTGCTATGCATCTAGCCATCCAGTTTAATGGTATATATCATAAGTGTTGCTTTGTTACTCAAAATGCACTGTTTCGGAGACTCAGCCTGCTTCTACAGTAAAGTTCGTTGCTGGCTAATGAGCTCAAGGAAAGTGCTGAGGTCCCATTCGCTACCAAAGTGGGTGAGCCATTCTTTATTTTGTCCGAGCATCCACGAGTCGTGATTTTCTTTACCTGACAATCAGATGATAATGTTCACCCATTTTACAAGAACAAATGGTTAGCATTGAGTACTTCAAATTTTTGCCGCAAATTTTGGCTTTCAAAGTTTGTCAATAGTTGCTTAATTTCAATTTCACTGTAAATTTGTGTCTTGTTTGTGGGTTAAGGATGGCGTCCTTTGTTTTTATTCAACGATGGTGTCCTTAATGTGGCTTTTAATAATGATGTCTTTAATGTCGTTTTCCCACTAGAAGTTTTAATACTTCAAGGGCCTTCAAGCCTATTTCAAAGATATGACACTCTTTAAGTTGATTATGGAGAAATTGTTAGACTTTTAAAGAGTTTCTTAAAGAGTGAGCATCGTGATTTATTGCCAGCAAGCCAATCACAATCTTTAAAATAGCAAAATTTTGTAGCTCTGCAATTGAATCGTTTTGTCTCTGAATATGTTGTCTCGTGATTCACCTGAGTATCCGGTACCCATTTATTACAGCATTTTAAGCTTTAGAAAAGCAATGATGTCTTGGATCCGATGTGTTGTAATGAGCTGCAGAGTTTCTTATAAAGATATGCAAAATGTTGACTAAAAATTATTTGTATCCATATCTTAAATTATCTGACATCTTCCTTTGTTTACTTCTAGGTAGTTGCAAGCATCTTTGGTGCCCAGTTTAAGAAGTATCAACAAGTCTAAAAACAATTTATACAAAAATGTATTTATCATGAATTTAGAACGTTTGATGTGCTATGAAAACTATAAGTGAATGTTTGTATTCATCCTTTGTTCTCATCTCTTGTGTTCTCAAATGTTTTTATTTGATAATGCAAGTAAGGAAAAATTGTTTTAAGGGAAACCAGTTTTAAGAAAAACAAGAATACTGTATAACAAATTTTAGAGAGGAAGGACTCTTCATGGCTACAAGAGAACAGACGAACCAGTGATGGAATGGCAATATCTAATCCATTCCTAGCTATGATCATGATTCTGCAAGGAAAATGATTCAGCACTGAGAGGGCAGATGGTAAACGACCTTTCGTCTTCTGTTCTCTTCATTTTCTATTAGTAAGAATCTTGCCAATATTGATTTACCACCCACATATTGTATAACGTGAAAATAAGCAGTAAAATAGTGTTGCTGCTCTACATAAATAGATCTAGCGAAATAGTATTTTTAATGGACTTGCATCTTTGTATACCGGTAACGTGCTCTGAAAGTTTTGTAAAATTGTCTGACTCAGAAGAAGTTTCAAAATTTTCAATGTTGTTGCAAAAATAATACCAGTTTGCACAGATCTCAATTGCTAGACAATTTTTGGTCTCGCAGCACTCTTTCTTTCCAATTTTTATAAAGTATTTGTTTCGAAATCTTCTCAGATGCTGAAAATCCAACACATATTTGCTGTGGCTGATCTTTCGGCAATATTTTTAACGAAAACAAACGGAAAGTCATAGCTGATTCCATGCATTTATGTTTTGAGTAGAAATAGACAAAATATTTCTTGCAGCAGAAGCTGAATAATGTGTTGTGGTTTTTAACAGGTGTATCATTTAGTAGCTGACAGCTATCATTTAACGACATCTGTAAATTTGGATGAAAACATTACATTAACAGCGAGGACACAACTGTATCTATTTCTCTAAATTTTTGTCCTAGTTGAGATAGGACAGGAACAGTTGTGCGACTAGAAAATCTAGCAATCTTTTCGCGGTACGGAATTTAAAAATGAAAAAATGAAACATTTTTAAACATGTTGATGGGCAAGCAGCACTGATTGGGCAACCTCAATTGTCATGTGCTCGTGTTTCTGGCCACTGGGTATATATTTCGATACACAACTGGGAACATATATATACATATATTTCCTAGCGTAGAGTTTTCGATCTGTGTTCTGAAATTTAATACTCCAAATATTTCAAAAGGAAAGTTTTAGTAACATGTAATGATTCCTAAACGTAGGTCCCATAACCCAAAAGGTTTCACTAAATACCCCGAAATGCGAAGATTAGTTAAATGTACTACAAATTAGCTTTGATAAAGTCACGTTAGCATAGCCACTTTCCCCATCAAACCTCTGTAATTCGGTCTCTGTTCATAAGTTGATGAACAGAGCCAAAATAACAGTAATACGTCTACAAATCTTCATTGCAATATCTAACCTGATTGTTGTCTTAGGGCATTCAGCATTTGCAGGCTAAATGCGCTTAATGTAAAGAGGTTTTTAACGTTTAAAAAGGGTGTTATTTTGGCAGAAAATTTATTTTGGAATGCCTATTTGGCGATGGCGTGCCATCTCTTGAAAAATCTTCTTAGCGAAACTAAAAACTTCGACATTTCAACAAATAAAATTTTCATTCATTTGTATTTTAATCCAGTGCACTTGATTCATATATTGAAGCTCCAAACAAAGATGGCTAGATTACAACTTTCAACGACCTAAAAACAAGAAGGCTCTAAAATTTCTCCGATGTTTTCTCATTTTTGCTTTAGGCCAATCATTCGTCTAAATAATGTTTCGCTATGGTTGTTAATTTCTATCAAATTCATATAAGTACCTGCAAATCTCAGCTGTATGTCTACTCGAAAATAAACTTTTTCTGAATTGCCACAAAACTGTTTTTACAGCTGATGCTATAAACTTCATATTTGCTGAGAGAAATAGTCTGAACTGAAGTTCACTACAAACAATAAGATTTTCTTGCAATGCGATTAAAACTTTCAAAAGAAACATTTGGATAATTATAATCTGATTCCTTTACTTTTTAAAGATCAAGTCGGTGTAAGAAAGCTTTTAAAATATACACCACCATGCTGTGTGTGCTGTTCTTGAAAATAGAAACAATGCATCAATATTTCAAAAGGATGCGATAAGTGAATTGTTGGCATAACTTTCACATACTGCTATTTGGCTTATATGCCTGTTTTTTTCTGAAATTTCTAATGTTGAAGAAACATAAATATAAGTTTACGAAAAAGTTTCAAAATATGAATTTTAATGCCTTAAGCCTCCTTTTCTTGCACTGGTCCGACCTTATTAAAAGTACGATCGGTAATGAACAAAGCTTTTTTGTCATTGTTGGCAGATGTTATGTGTTGGTTATAAATATTAAGCAACGAAAAGAGATGTAGACTGTACAACGACAATATAAAAAAACATTTCGTGATCACCAATAGTTCTAAATGACGGATTTTTACTTCCAGTGATACATTTAATACAGGTTCTAACATGATAAAGTTCTTTCCATAGCTGAATGTTCAAGAAATCCTGAAAGTAGAAATATATGTTTAATGAATTTAAAAAATAAGAAACAGACTTTCTTCTCAACTCAGACCTATAACTCCGATTCCTCTACTTCTTTCCCTAAATATTTTTCCAACCTCCCTCAATCCTCAAGTCGTCATTTCTAAACTCGACTTTTTTGCTTTTGTAACCTAGCGAAAAATTTTAATACAGAAAAATTTTCCCTTACGAAAATCCAGTTTAGAAGTCATTGACTTCGAGCAGTTTAGGTTCGACAAATTTCGTGATAGCAACCCTTGAACTGTAGAATTACAATGGTATGGAGCATCAGGTACCACACCTCTATATTTTTAACTAGTTCAAATTGTCTCAAATCACGAGCTATTTTTCTACGAAATTCACAAATGCTGAGGCATCTTTGTTAATTGCTTGAGTGTGACGATGAAAACGTGACGATTCTCAATGTCCATGCTTGTAATTTTAGAGACTGTACTTTGTAAGGCTTATTCTGTTTGAAAATTTATAATATTCATAGGAAGAATACCTTTACATGGGAATAATTATTAAGTACCTTGACACTCCTTTTTTTTGACAGGCTGGTGCCTTTAGCGAACCGCTGCACATGCAGTTTCTAGAATGGTGTTTAGTTTCTCTTTCAGTTCATCAAATGAGCTGCTTTGGAAGACATGCCTGTCGTCTGCAACCGAAGCAATCAATTCTAGCTCCGCTTTAGAGATCTGTGGACCGATTCCCAATGATAGAACGGTAACTCCTTTGTCCTGTTAATGTAAGGAAAAAACTTTTAGAGAATAACTCAAATAGCTAAAATTGCAACTAAAAGCTGTTGATTAATTCAATGACAAAGCTGAAATACATATCTAGTTATTTTGCCAGTAAAGGTAATTCATTGCCTTCCCATAGAAGCATGATAAAATGTTTAAAATTCCAGAAGAAGGATAATATAAATGGTGTCCTGTTCCTGGATACAGCTACAAACCTTCATTCCTTGCGATGCAGTTCCAAGATCTTCTGATCCTTTGTTTGTATTGCCGTCAGTGATAACTAAAAGGACTTGTGGTCTTCCAGCAGGATTGCATCCCGAGCAGAAAAATTGTTGGTCAGCTAGTCTCAGAGCCCTGTCTGTTCTAGTACTGCCTGTAAAGATAAAAAGGAAACAGCCTTTGTTAAAATGCAGTCGTATTGCAGATTTTATGAACCAAGAAATTCATTAAAACAAAGAAAATATTGCACTTACATGCAAATCTTCAGATTTCGGGATGTTGGGCATGAAATCTTATTTGTTTGCTTAAACCTTTCCCAACCACAGCAATCAACTGTTCCCTGGCAAACTTTTCTCAACGCGAAAAAGTTTTTCAACAGGATGCAAAGAAACTTGGTTCCCTTACCCTGCGAGCCCCACCCCAGATGCGGTACCTTGTGATGATATCTAGCAAATATAGAATCAAAAAGGAAAAAATGTTTGTCAATAACGACTTTTTTAGCAATTTCATGAAGGAGTAACTTCATAAGGCCAATAATAATCAAAGGCATTACCGTAAGAGTAAGGAATGGAGTCAATTTTTGCCTTTAGGTTGATTCTGTTGTAGTATTGAGAGTCTCTCATTGTGAAGTCGAGTTTTGCACTGCCTGAGTAATGAAGGATGCCAAAGTGGGTTCCAGTCTTAGAGATCTCGAAGTCTTCACTGAGCTCTTTGATAAAGATTTTCACTTTGTTGTAGTTCGATCGCTTAACACTGGTTGATGCATCCATTATGATACCAAGATCAATTGCACGTTTGCACGCTGTGACCAAAGTAATATCATTAGACTACAGATTTAATGTTTTGCACATTTTGGCAGGCTGTTTTCAATGCAAGCTAGTAGTGTTGCACTTGCTTAGTCAACATAACGAATAGGTATGCTCGAACGAGCAGTGTATACAAAACCTTGTTTTAACTGAACATATAATTTATAGTAGAGGGAAGATATTCCAAAGGCTAGTTTCTAACAATTTATAAAATTAATGTAGCACAAGCAAAAATGTATGTAATAGTCCCTTAGTTTATGTTATTGGAGAAAATAACACTAAGCAAAGTATGTCTAGAATGGTATTGATTTTTCAGCATGAGATCAAGAAACAAAGTTGTTCTTTCTCTTTTAGTGTTTAAATCCGTTACTTAGTCCTACAAGTGACAATAGCGCCAAGTGCAGTGTTTTTGACGATAGAGGAAGCAGAATGTCTAAGCATTTTTATACATTTATCATGTTAGAAACTTGCTGACATTTAAAACAGGTAGAGAACAGAGCTCCTAGAGTCCTAAAGTTTATTAAAGTACCATGTTAGGGCAATACCAATATAAAATAAAAAATAAGAGCCACAAAAGAATTCTCTTACGCTTTCTGCATGCCTGGTTGTTGCATACTTCAAGCTCTTCACTTTCACCGAGGCTGGTGCAGTCTTTTCCTCCACTCGATGGAGAAGGATTGTTGCATGATCTTGTTCTTACACGAACTCCTCCTCCGCAGGTCTTGGTACATTCGGTCCATTTTGTCCATTCAGAGTAGCCTCCATCGATTAACTTCGATTCTTGATAAAAAGAGATTTGTTATATTTATCAATGAGTATGTTCAATGAGACAGCATGGAGTTTCTATGTAAAGACAAACAACAATAAACGCACGCGACTTTATTTCTTTTCCCAACTAGTACCATTTCGGCTCCTCTTTCTCCTAAAGCAATGTTGTTAGTGTGGAAAAATATATACGAGCAACAAGAGCAAAGCTTCGTAATTGTGTCACCTTGTAGTTGCTAAGTATCGAACAAATAGAAGAAAGAGCCTATCGAATAAGACATTGTAAACTGCCGTTAGTGTTTCAAGATATGATGGTTTCTTTTTAGAAACAGTTCGAAAGATGTCTATAGTGTTTTAATGATCGTAATTATTTAAATAACAAGAGAATGCACATTATCAAGAAAAAAACTAAATTTGATGCCAAATCAATGAGGATGTTGGAAAATAGGTTGGTAAAGAAGAAAACTATTATTCCTGATGTATGTCTTAGGGCTGTTACGGGGTGTTTAATGTTATAAGACGGGTAGGCTATAAGATGACAGGATTACAAAAATGCCCAGTTAAAGGCAATCTGTCTCGTTGTGGATTGGTTAACGAGAACAATAGCTGGAACAATAGCCTAAACACGATTCCAGCGCTCCGCCATATTTTTTAAAATGCGATAAATTAAAGGGGGACTTGAAACAATAAAAATCCCTTTGTTCTTATAACCAATCAACGTCGTGACAGATTGCCTGTAAGATGATATTTCTCACCATTCTTTGCAACCAGTTGATAAATATAGTTTGTCTTGTCCTTCCCAATGCAGTCAGTTTCTGCTGAGTCATCACAGGCATCGTAGTCAACACCAATGCACCGTTCAGATTTGCCATACATATTGTATCGTTCATTGGCTGAGGGCCCCGACCAGCATTCACCGTAGAATTGCAAGCCAAAATGCGTGTAACCTTTTGCTTCTGTGAGTTCAGCACATTTGCAGTAGAGACTATGTCAAAATGAGACTTAAGCCGGTATCAAGTCATTCAAGAAGATACAAGCCTAATTTAGATTGACGATTATCATCATTTTGAAAGCCAACTGCTTCTTAGAAGATAAGAAAAACGAAGTAGAAAGCTGACCAAGAGTATGATAACTTTCGACAGACAAGACTGATATCTTTCTTATAACTTATCTAACATTGATAAGAATTATCTTCTTTATATGTAAGTAGCTAGGTTATTAATTTTTCTCTTCTATAAACATTAAAACGATTATTTCTAGAGTAACTTTTTAACATAACGTAACTACAATAACTAGTTTATAGCCTATTTTCATAGTACCGAAGAAGAGTCACGTTAACTTTAAAACACTGCTTTCATACTCAGGTCACCTTGAGGTTTTATCTTCGCTGGAAAATGAAATCACAACATAAACTACGAGTGGTATATTGTCTGGCCAAACAGTTATTCAATTTCTGTGTTAGCTTTATCGCATAAGCTTCTTTGACACAGAATATGATGTGCCTGTGATTGACTATATTGATGGTCATTTCAGGTTTAATCATCAGTAGCTTTTACCTTTGCTTCAAACGTATCCTTTACATAAAAAGACATACAGTAAGAATTGTATTTAAATACATACGAATAAAGGGTTCCAGGGTAATCTTGCCAGTTGATCATGTGACCATCGAAGTTGTGATTATATGGATCTCGCCGATTCAAAAGCTCATACTTAAGAGGGCGCTCTGGAAAGATGTTGTCGTGAAAACAGCCAACTTTCTTCCATTTTCTTTCGCACGTAGCGGCTCCTGCAATAAAATTTGAAATGGTTTTTGCTTTTTCCAATACCTAACTGAAAAGCGAGTACTAAATTTGATCTTTCGGAAACTTTCACAGCCCATTCTACTTATTACAACCCTTGCTTTATAATTGGGTATATAGGTAAAAAAACATTGATTAATAGGTATAAGACTGAAAGCTAGTAGAATGATATTTTATGTTGTCAATTTGTTACTTTTATTAGTCTTTACAACCCAACAAATAGTTTTACCATAAGAATAAAGCTTATCAACAATTTGACAGAAAACTGCATATCAATTATAATCATACAACTTTAAATCAATTTATACCATGCAACTTCAAATCATCTTTAAGTTTTGCCACATTAGTATCAAATGAGGCGAGAATTATAGAATTCACAAAGCAGCTATCTCCATTCGCTTAAATACGTTATTTCCATTTTTGCAGCCCAGCAGCCCCATGTAAAGCTGTTTGTGCTATTATCCCGTTGTTTTACGCTATTTCCCACACCATTTATTCTGATACCCTTTCTTTTAAATTGATGTAAAAAGATAGTACCAATTCTCCTTCATTTCAACAACCCCCCCCCCCCCTAGTATCTAATTGAGCACTGGAATATAACATAAGCATTTGCTATCATTGCTGTTCCATAATGAACCCATACTTAACCTCTAATTATATCGCTGTTAGTGAAGTACAGAAATTGCTGTTAGTGAAGTACAGAACGTAGAATGACTCAAATTGAAAAGAAAATATTGCTTCTTAAAAGAATGGCCTTTCCATTTTCGATAACACCAGATGCAAACAGCTGTTCTGGGGTGTTGCAATAAAAATTTACGTGTCAGTAAATCTCATAAACTTCATAACCTTGATGCGGTTTTTCAAATAAAATAGAAAGAAAAGAAAAGGTTCCTATGTTTATATTTTTGTTAATCACTTGGAGAATACATTGTTCCTTGTTTGTATTTTTGATATTCAAAGCAAAATTTAATAACAATAAAATCCAGTCAATGAAGAGATTATCTTTTATTATTTTCGCTATAACTGACACGCACAAAGTGCATTTTTAATAATTTGCACTGTTTGATTTGGTATGTAAGTATCAAAGTAGATTGAAAAACAATTATTGATAGCAGCATCAATAGAAATGATAGATAAGAGATATAGCACTAAAGTTTAGCATTGACTTATCATATTGCTCGGCATATTACGGAAACTCAAATAGAAGTAAAATCATATTAATGCAGAAAGAGCATGCATGTAAATCACGGTCAAGTTTATCCTTGCATTTTTCATCTGTTTACGTTAATAAAAGATGCTTCAGCGCATTTTTTTATTAAGAAATCATTATAATAAAAGGTAGCAGTGGCTGCAATTGTATTATACAGGGGTGTGGATGGCTCAGTGGTTTAGGTTGCGGACTACAGATATCCAAGGGTTTGTTGGGTCGTGTCACTGACATAAAGGAGCTGTCACTCAAAATGAGGAGAGTCACCAGCCCTGCAATTCCCACGAGGTGTGATGAAATTGAGAGGAAGGACGAGGACACTACTCGATTATCACAGCTTCTCGGTGTCCTAACAACAACCATTGGATTAGCTGACCCTGAAATTTATCTAAACCGTAAAATAGTGCCTCAATGTGTTATTGTGAATAGGAACTTGCAACTCATTTTATTCAGCAAATGACAAATAGCTCTTTAAGGCATATCGTTATTGTATACTGTAACAATTTTTCTGTAATATAATTATCTTTGTAGTTTAGTTATTTGTTTGTATCGTTAGATTTATAAATCGGCGGTAGAGAACTTAAATAATATGAGCTGAAGTGAACTGAAATATTTTCTGGGTTTGATCAGCTAGCAAGTTTTCAAAACTCCGAAATAGTACATTAAACATATTTTCATCTAGAGAAGAAACTGACCGCAAATCAAATCAGTTTTCATGGTTAGTATAGTTCATCTGCAAAAAAAGAATTTCTCATTTACTAACGACTCTTATGATCCCTTCTTCTAATAAAATAATGAACTCATTCATCATCTCATTAAAGATCTGAATGCGTTGATGAATATAGATTAGAGTAAAGTAGTAATTGCATTGTCGAATAGGTTTGGGAACTCGATAGGCTGGATGAAACTGATAGCTTAAAATACGTAAAAGTCAAAGTTAAAACTCAATAAGAATCTTGTCTTTACAAATTCAGTTACATAATCAATTGTATTGGAGACAAGCATCAGGCTTGCCACACTGGCGCCAATTTTGCAATCTGTATGATCAGCTAAATAAACTTTTACGCTTAACAAAACATGTCATTTCATGTATTCTTTTTAGATAATTTTGATACGAAAATCGCAAAATGTTAACCATGAAAAGAAGAAATTGATTTTCAATATGTTTAAAGTAATGCAGCCAGACGGTATATTCAATTAAGTGATTTACTTGACAAGACAACTTGGTCAATCTTGTCATTGAAAAAGGTTAGACCATAATCATTCAGATGACAAGTAATAGCGTCTAAATAGAAATGAAGCATCTAAAAGGTTGTAGTATGGTTCACTTGAGAGGAATGAGATGACAGCAAAAAGTTATGTTTCAGATCTATAGAGAAAAAAGTGTCTTTGCAGTAAACTTGGCACTGCTAGAAAGCAAAACGCTGCACTATTACAAAACTGCAAGCTTCTTACCATCTAGACAAGATGATAAGAGATTAGATGTTTAATAAAAGAGGTTTAGAAGATGTTGTTCGTCGTTTGTACACTGCTGATATCATTCGTGTTGTCAGAGATTTAACTTAACGTATGCATCTAGATGAAAATTATATTTTGGCTAGGTTTTTGATAAACTTTACAATTAACTGGTAAAAAATATATAATGACTAATAAAACACAAGAGTTTTTGCAAAAATATATCTCACACTAACCATGGTACAAAAGGTTAGGGTAAGGCTCGATGCTATCAAGTAGTATACGTCTTTTCCTAACACCAAAGGGTAAAGTTAAGGGAAGCATAAAGCTTTTATTATGGTAAGGAATATTCAAGGGAAATTGCTGCATATGACTCTTAATATAAAATTCAACCAAAAAGTAATAACTTGCATATAATGTGATGATATCTAATTAACTAAGAAAGGAAATCCTGAAATGGAATATTACTTAAAATTTCCATTCCTGAAAAACATCATAGAATGAAAATACACCTTGTATAAAAATCATTGAAAAAGAGAAAAGTGTGTTGAAATTCTCAACTGGTAAGTATTCGAGACATCGAACAGGAATATTGTATTGAAATATTTTAATGAAAATGTATTGAAAAAATTAAAAATGTTACCTTCAAGACTTCCAATGTAACCCAAAGCTATAAGCAGCACTGGCAGAATCATTTTGTCTTGTGCAATGAATCGATAGTAAACGAAGCAGACCAAGACCAGAATGAAGCAAAGCGGATCCAGCGATGCCTTTTATAGAGCCACTTAACAATGTTGACAGGAAGAAAGTTGATTTGCTATGAAAAAGGAAGCAAGATTCTACTGTTATTAAATTGATTAGCAAACAGAAAGCAGAAGCCTGAAAATATAAAAAATTCTTTGTTATTTCAACTGGTTGTCCGGGTGTCAAGAATAATCTGTTTGTAAAGCTCGTAGGACTGGTGTATGACGTTCTCAAACAATAGGTTGTTTTTGATTGCGTAGAGATAGGATAGCAATCACAAAGATATGCAATTCAAGTGAATCTTTAATATAGATAAGGTTACGATACAAAGTGCGTTAGAGGAGGGGAATAGGAAGAAATAAAGAAGACAAACAGATAGAGGAAAGTAGACAGAAGGGGATGAGGAGTTATTAATGATTATCATTATAGGAAAATATTTCACGATTTCAGGACTTCACACGAACTTTGCCACATACATCCTTATCACGATATATTGCAATCGTATAAATTTTTTTTGCTGGATGAGATGAAGGAAAGATACAATATTTTCTTTGTTTTATATTATATTCGAAGTGAAGTTACAGGAGAAATTTTGATAAAAATCTATTCAAATCTAAACTGTTACCAACCTCAGTAACTCCTAAAAAGCTTTCTATGGCTTATACGAGTTGAGTACTAATTGTGTGGGGGCTCATCTGGAGGTTTACAATATTTTAGACCCTTCCATTTGCTACAAAAGCATGAAGTATTTGATTAAATTCAACTAGCTTATCGTTCACAACGCGTGTTGAGCATGAAACAACTTTAAAAGCATAGTGCTTTGGGGACAGTATAAAGAAAGCCTGAATTCTGAGTACTGAGTTGAGTTGCATTGCTTCACAGGAGATCAAACAGCTATTCGATTTAAACCCTTGATTAAGTATCATGACGTCATTTATAGCATCGTGCAGAACTGGAACAAAACAAAAATAAATTATTTCGCTTTATTCAATCCTATTTTTGAAATTATGCTTACAAAAACACATTTCATAGTTTGCAAGTCTACTGCATTGAGCTGGAATCTCCAGTGTCTTGGATTGAAAGAACATAAAAACAACAATAAAAGCACAGGGAAACAATAAGGTAGAAAAATAGGTCTCCAGCATCGAAGAAATGAATAGCTAACATGTATTATAGATAGACTTTTCAAAAGCATTTAATTTATGTATAGTTTTCTAGATAAAAGAGAATCACGTCTAAAAAATTCTATTTAAATTAGTTATTTCTAACTAGTTGTAGTGAAGCTAGATCATTTTAGCTAGATGTTGTACCTACCTTAAAGAAGAATAAAAAATATGCATTCCCGTCATAGAGATAGATTGGACTTTTACATCCAATAACAGGCAAAAGTAAATTCAGCTGTTCTTATTTTCCCATGGCTGGTTTGTTATCAAATGATGGAAATCAAAAAATGTGTTTTTCAGTGTGATATGTATGACTCTGAACTAAACCATCAGACTTTTCTTGGTTGCATTGGGAATGGGATAAGAAATATTTGTGTGAAAAATAAATATAAAAACAGGACTCAATGTTGTTGGCTTCTGAAATAATTTCTCTTGCTTAAAAAAATGAACTTCAATATGAAAGTGTTTTGGATTCTTTTCGTTCCTCTACACACCCTCTAAAAGTGATTAATACCATGCTTGTAGCGATACATTTCAAAAAAAATATTGACGGAGATGCAGAGAGCGTACGGTAGGAATCGAGAGAATTATCAGAGTACCCAGAAGATACCTTTTTAGCAGGGCCTATTTTAGTGTACAGTATTACAAATTTTGTGCAGTATTAATTTAAAAACGTGCAGTATTGATTTCAAGAATGTTTAGTATTGGATTTTGGGATTCCTGAAAGTGTCTATTTGCGGCTATCCAAGATTCCTGCTTTGTTCACAAAATGTGAATTTTCCTCGTCAGTTCGATAGAGGTCATGTATTGTAATTCTCGTATGACCATCGGAAAGAATCCTTTATCAAAACTTAAAGCAAAACATGCCCTGAACCAAAAACAAAACATCTTTTGTAAATGTCAGCATTGCTGTAAAATCAAGTAATTTGATCTTGTCGAAGACAAAACATTCAGTCAGTAACAATTTATCAGTTGATCTATCATGCCTTGGGCATCTAGCAGAAGCTCATTCAACTTAACAAAAGGAACGATAAAGAGCCCAATAAAACGTTTAAGTTGTGCTGTCCAGACAAGACATGAGATAGTGACTCCGTTTTTGTAGCTACTGTTTGTTTTGTTGCTGTTTTGAAGTGTTAATCTTGATTGTGTTGATCGTCTGTCTGTTTGTGATTTCTGCGCCATGGCCTATACACGTGTTCAATATTCGGGGCATTTCCTCGCTACACTTGCATGGCTAAGAAGTTTTTCAAGGATTTTAACAAAATTGTTCAAAAACACTTTATATGAATCTATGAGTATAGTATAATCATAGTATATGAGTATAATATGAGTATAATCTGTGAGTATAGTTTTTCTCTGCAATAAGCTGACAGGTTTGTTGCACTGATTGCAACAACAAGATTTCCTATAAAATATATAATTATAAATGTGTAGTATTGAAAATTTCTTTAAAATAGGCCCTGCTTTTTAGAGTTTCCTGACTGTTGTAGCTGAAAGAAACATTTCATTGAGGTTCAGTGGTTTCTAATTTTAATCTAAAAGAAATTTTAGCATAGAGGCAATATCAGACAAGAAGGAATTTCAATCTAGAAGCATCATCGCTCGAGATCTCTCAAGTCTCTTAAAAGACATTTGAGATTTTTTAAACTAGCAGTGTCTTTATCTTCCACCATGATTGCTGCAGCCTTATGCTAACATAGAAATTATAGAGAACCACAGCTCTCATTTCTAAGTTTTAGTGAAGTGAGGGATATGAGCTAGTCCCCTTTCCAAGTTTGGCAGCTTGGAAATTAAATTAAAGCGCAGAGATTGAAAACTCATTAAAGAAAATTGATTGCTCAAGTGTCCATATTTTGCTTCCACTCTGATCTAGATATAAACAAGAAAAATATCATTGCGTTCTAGATGTTAAGCAAACAACCAAGCAGCTATACCAACAGACCATCTAACACTAGAGTGGTAAGTGATGATGGAACCTTATAAGGCAAAGAAAGCATTCAGTTTTGAAAAGAGCTGCTTAAACACCTTTCTATATAGAATTATTACTGTTTTTTCTAGAGGGAATGTTTTCTACATTATTTTGAATTGCACGATCAAACCGTACTTGTTATATCATTTACAAACGTTCTGTTTACAGTGTATGTTTGCTTAAAACGAGAGCAAAATGGCTTAAGATTACATTTATCTAAAAAGTAAGCAAATCTTTCTGCAAGCAGTCATCAGAATCTTTTTAAGATTAATGTTGACGACCTTTTAACCCTTACTAGCAGTTCTGTTAGAATGAGCAAACTTTAATTAGAATAATACATAATAAAAATTATAGAGTAAATTGAGAATCAAAATTTGCTTTTGAAAGCAACATTATGAAATTTTTGAAAAGCAGAGTTGATTTTACCAACACTTACTAACACTTCTTCATATTTTTCAAACCTAGATTATTGCAACAGAAATTACTGGTAACGGGTACTGAAAACATGTATTTTTGCACACGCTCAGGTGTGTAGAATAGAACAATTTTAAGGTGCAACAACAAGTTCCAGGTGCAATGGGATCATCAGGAAAGTCGGAGTTCGTGTACAGCTCTACCTATACGCTTACATCCCTGCCTACACAACACTCTCGTAAAAAGCGATTTCTTAAAAAAACAACACTTTGCCACATGGAAAGTTTTTGCCACCTCAGCTTTCTTCAAATAATCTTTAGATAAAACTTCAGAAGATAATTCTTGAAGCAAAACACTTCGAAAACTTGCCATGACATTTGTTGAAAATACAGTCTTGCTAAGATAAGTATCATATTTGGCCTACCTAATCTAGCCCTGGTTTTATAGATATTGTAATTGTTTAAAACCGAATTCCACCTGATTCCTTGGGAAGAAACAAGAAATGCATTTTATGGGAAGATCTCAAGTTGTGCAACACTCGGCAAAAATGGGCATAGTTTTCTGAATAAAGGCTAGCACAAAGGAACAATTTTATTAGCAGGGCAAACTCTCCTACATCGAAATCTCGTTTTTGGGCGAATATTGCATTACATTTAGGGATGGACACCCCTAAACCATCCTTATCTTCCTTGCAGGCTAATTTCAGTAATTGTAAACTGTTTAAAGCTTCATACATGCAACATTATATTTGAATGGTGACTTAGGGATAGACAATTAAGCAGTGACAAAGAGAATATTCTTTCCATTTGTGAATTGAAGACATAGGATTTATTTGCTTAATGAACAGTCACTTAAATGAAAGGTTAGAAAAAGGAAATTTGCAATTGGAAAACTGTGACACTACGGGAACAAATACGCTCATATTCCCTGGAGTTGACCGTGAAAAGCAAACTGGTCCGACATCTGTTCCGTGGTTAAAATAAGTGTCGAGACGTCAATCTACTGATTTCAGACAGACTGTTTAACATGTTGTGTAACATATTATATGAATGAGAACATTTGATTGTTAGAATAATCTGACTGGAAGCGTGGAACAGAAATAGGTGGCGACAAAATACGCAGAAGCATGTTGAGCCCCCCAACTCTATAGCCCCTTTGGATCCTTAATATGCTCCACTGTCCCTGGGTGGTAACATGTCCCCCTAAAAAGCATCTTTACCGGATATTTTGTTAGAAAATGTTTTTTGTTTATTGTAAACATTGTAAAGGGTTGTTATTTTCATTATATGTTAAACAGTAAAAATTAAGACAATGCAAGAATTGAGACCCACTCTTTCAAAAGTAACAGATCGTGTGCCCATAACCCCCATGACATGTAATTCAAACGCACTAAATTGAGCTTTTCCTTTTTATTGAAGGTCATATTCATTCCTACTTATCAAAAACGCTCAAATGGGCAGCAACGGCTATCAGCAGATATCAGAACGATCGGTTTAGCCACTGTAGAACTGGC